GCAGCAACAGCCCTTCACTACCGACAATATAGAAACTCTTCCAGTGTCGCATCTTCGCTTGGGTCAATTCCAGACGCAAATGATCTTTTATACATCAAGGCAGATTTAGAAGCGCTTTTGCCGCTTTCGGAAAAACGAATCCGAAACCTTCAAAGAGACTTGGTTTACTTAAAAAAGAATGTCAAAGTTCGGGAACCAAGTAAGAAACAAACATTGAAGTCATCATCTTGAGACTAATAATTCCTCAATTATAAAAATTAGCACAGGAAGAGCTTCAATTAAGAAAGCTCGGAAAGACCACAAGTTCTGCTATTATGGATAAACCTCAAATCAAACAAGAAACAACAGGTTAGAATCAGCTTGTTATCATTATTTGTTATTTACATTTATTTTATTCCCCTCTATCTCTCCCCCTTCCCCTTATTTTTTTTTCTTTTTTTCATGTTTTGTGTTTCTTTCTTTCTTGTTTGTAGATGAATCTTCCGACATTTTACATTCAGCTTCACATAATAAGAACCAAATGGAAAGACAACTGTAAGATACGGTTTCTGCAATATTAAAAACACGTTCTAACAAGAAATAGTGCACTGGAGGCTTTGCGAAGGAAAAGAAGAAGAGAAGACGACACATCTAAAAGTAAAAAAGATAGAGAGAAAATCACAAGTCTAGTGATTGACAACATCTAACTAGTTCAAATGTAGATTCCAGAAGTGAATCACCCCACCACACGGTAAAACTTAAACGTCTAGACAACGTGCCTCCTATTTCCATAGCACGTAGTTTATCACCTCCTACGCCCTCTAAATCGCATACCAAATACACCAAAAAGAAAAAATCGGTTGAAACAACACGCCATAGTAACAAACAGAGTCAGAACGTAAAAAATAGATCTAACAACAGCAATAGCGTCAGTCATGAAGTCGACTTTGTGAGAGTGAAAGCTAAAGATCAGGTACCAATCTTGACTTTCTGGACGACAATCGACCCTTATTTCAAAGTATTGGCCGAAGAAGATCGCGATTTTCTAATTAGTAAAGAGAATGAAGAGAAGCCTTATATTATACCTCCATTGGGTAGACATTACACGGATATTTGGTCTGAAGATGAATTACCTGCAATGAGCCGTTCGCATTCTCCTGCAACAAGCTCAAGCTCGCATGACCACCTACGTTATGTTGACCAGATTACGGACGATCATTTATACAAGGATGACATAACGTGTGGGAATCTGACAGAGAGATTGCTGAGTAGTTTAGTGGCAGATGATAATATAACTATTGCTGAAGAGGATGATGATATCTTTAACTATGATCCGGTGGGGAAGCACTACACTCCGCACGATGATATTGCTCAATTCGAAGAAAGATTAAAAAGTGAATTGCGCTATGCAGGATTATTTGGAGAAGACGATGTACGTTAATATCCTTTTTATAATAATAACACGTTTCTAAAGTATCTACAATATTAGGTCGATTGGAATACCAGGGAGGACGATGAAATATGCGCTGAATTAAGATTGGCTTCTCGAGAATTAAAAGATCAATATACCACCAATGAATATAGGAAAAAGAAACTGCTAGACGTTGTCGACAGTCAGTTACAATATGAGCAATACAGACATGTTTTGGATAATTTGGATTTACAGGTTGAGCAATGCTACCTAAAGAGATTTGTGAGTATTACAATCCTTTGATCGTGACATATACGCTGACTTAATACACAACAGAGAACCCAAAAATCTAAGAAGAGAAAGACGCCAGCTTCACAAAAAACGGCCTTGTCAGAACACGCTGTACATGCCATGAATAAAAGAAAGGCTTGGGTAGATGCTCTTGAGGGTATATTCAAGGATAAAAACTTGGTTAGGCCCACACAATCGATATTTAATGAGGAAAAGCCCCAAACAGACCAGTAGCATTACCCACACTAACTTGTACATTGCTTTGTTTTTTTCTAAAAAAAAAAGAGTTGGTTGTAATAAAACTAATCTTTGTAAAGGAAGAACTATATTTGAATACCCGCAGTGCTCTGCTAAAATGTCGAGTATCGAAATTTTAATTATTAGGAACCATATAGTTATTTTACTAACAACAGAGAAGCAGTAACATAAGCTTCACGGTATTACGTAGGAATAAACCTGATATATCACCCAATATATAAGTAACGCACGACGGTGTGACAATTAAGAACATTGCGTACGCTTGAGTAAGGTTGTACCGGAACAAAATCGGCAAGTATAACCTATATTGCATAATTCAACCTACTGTTTTTCCAAGATAAGCTATATCATGTGATATGTTTTGGTCCAGAAGAATTTGCCTAAGAGCCTATACATATCAAGTGTAATTATAAGTCTTCAAACAACATCTCTTTAAGTGAGACAAATGACTTTTTTCATAATCTTTTTATTTTATTTAGGCAATGTACAAACACCATATGTTTATGTTTCATGCAGCTATATATTTAAGTGAGAATCATGCTGTATATTAACAAGTCGAGAAAGCTGTATACTATAAGTAAAAACTAGCAGAAAAACACCGATATGAAGATGCAACAAAACGCGTGAAGAAAGGTTGAGGTTCACAACGTTTTCTTTAGGTGAATAAAATATACGTCTTACCAAATATGCTTACTTACATATTTTTTTCGCGAGTTCAATCACAGCAGTGTTCATCATAAGTGTCAGATTTTGTGCCATTTTTTTTTTTTAATTATTGCCGAAAGTGTATACAATAATCCTACAATGCTATTAATGTTAATTTTCTTTTTTTAAAAAAAACCAAATGCATAGAACACGTCGATGCTTTATTAATAAACTTGGATAATAATTTAGGAACGCTAATATTACAAGGATTAATAAGAGCACAGACAATGATCGAAAGTACGTGAAGATAATGTGTTCCACCCCAATGTAATCAACTTTACTTGTAGTGTTTACCTTGAGTAACTCGCAAAGAATATAGTAACCATTGAGGTATATGAACAATGTACTTAAATTCTCAGGTACAATGACGATGGTATTGTCCAAAACACACTGAATTTCAATGACTAGCTTCAATTGACCATAATAAAAGTCTTGATATTTTATTTGCCTAGGTGTTTCAAGGTTACTTAAATCATTTTCCTTTACATTTACTAGGAATATAGTCCTTACATAAAATATATAGTATTTTCAACATGCCACTAAAAGGGATTAGCCTCTATAATTTTAAGATTACTTTAGTGAGGTACCTAGATGGATATATCATTTGTGTCTAAGAAAACTGGTATCTTCACGTTCTCTCTTTATTTTAGTTACATAGTTGTATTCAGTGGGAGTTTTCTTAGGTTTTGGGTAAGGCATATCCCTTTATTTTCAATAATGCGTATTCCAGAGGAAGAATAAAGCAAGTTAGAGACACGATGCTCGTCTTCTTTAATACGTAAGAAAGTAGACATGGTATTGATTAGATGTTCGATGCCAAGCATTCTGCACTATTAGTCGGCTACGTCAATAAACAGGCTTAGATATTTTTGAGTTATTGTTTATATAATAATAATCGTTATACCAAGTTTGATTTTTTTAAAAAAAGAAGCTAACTGCAGTGACCCGTGAATTTTCTTTAACAATGTTCTGTGAAAAGCTTCTAGTAACCATCAATTTTAGAATTTGATAAACCAAGCACCGAGTTCAAGCAAGAACTACAGCGAATCATTAAGGATTGCTTGGCTAAATTATAATATTTTGTAATGTGATGTCTATTTTTAAGTAAGATCTCCCGCCTTATCCTCCAACATTTTTCTGAGACTGCGCCAAAGCTTTCGTCATGAAGAACTATTTAATTCCTCATTACAGCCACAAACTTCACGGAAATAGTATAATATAAGTTTATTTCTTGTTTATATCATTGATTATATAAGACAGATCAGTTTACTAGTTTTAATAAAAAGGTATAATGTCAGTGCTTTGTTGAATTGTCACTGGCTGTACAATGTGATCCAAGCGGCCAATTTTAGTAAAAAAAAAAATCATTACAATGAAAAGTGTACAAAAGGAAAGAAAAACCAAGACTTTCATTTCATGTCAATTTCATAATAATTATCAAATACTTGTTCTTGAAAAATCAATAACTTGTTACGTCAGGCTAAATCCATTTTTCATTTCCTAATCCTTTTATTAGATAAACAGATGTATATTTCAAAACACATTTATGTAATATTTACCATCCGATAAAATTAATTGTGTTATGGTAGCACCTCATCACTAAGAATGGAACTGTAAGACCTTAGCGTAATGCTAAAAACTCCAGCATCTTTCTGCTATTCAAAATTTTAGCTTTGATCAGAAACCCGTCGTTGACACCTTTACCTTGATTACGTAGATCGTCAATAAAAAAAGAAAGCAAACTTTTGATTTTGGCAAGAGTAGACTTTACATCAAAACAGAAGTATCAACAAGCGGTGTCAAATTTTACAAAAATTGATAAACATGCATATGATTTTCCATATCGATACTCAGTTTATATTAAAATAGTTTCTGGATTAAGTCAACTAGTTAAATATAGATTTTGTTGTTTGATAAATATGACGAAGATGAATCTATTGATTTTAAATTGTAGACTTAATTTTTCTAGAATCATAGTTCGCCGTGGCCTAAGTGGATTTAAGAAAAAGACCTATGGTTTCCTTCCACCCTTAATTCTCTCCAAATTTACATGATATAATGAGAAAAGTCTCCAAAGTATTAAAATCACAATGTTATGAGTTTAATTTGAGTTTTTTGTCATATCAATAGCTACTAAATCTGGAGCATGCAGCCAAGAATAGCCTTTTTTTTTTTTTTTTTTTTTTTTTTTTTTTTTGATTTCGTAGATACGGTTACACTACAAAAGCACCTATTTTGATTTATCTCACGCCCTTTCAAGGTTATTATGACCAAAGTTTTTACAGTAGAAATCTTGGTTTTTGATCTAGTTATAATTCTAACAAGTTAGACACCTACAAAGGCTTTGAAAGATAAAACTGATCGTTGAATATAATAAAAATATGTAGATGATAATTTCCAAAAACAAACCTTTGATCTCAGAATAACCAATTTGATCAAAGAGGCTTCAACTACTTTCGATGTTTGAAAGAAGTTTTGGACTTTCTATTTTAGTATTGATTGCTCTTCACCTTATTTGACTTCCGTTATCAATAAATGAATATTTTTTTAGCATAATTCAGCTAGATATCAATGTCAACTTTATTTTGAAACTAAACTTGCGAGTGTCAATTGAGAGTAAAAAAATAAAATGTGTAATGATTCAATGATTTTTTTACCCGAAGAATTTATCCACTTATTTTTAAAATATTATTTTTATGTATTTTCAAATTCATAAGACACTTTTAGCTCATCGTTACCCAAACAAGCGCACATACGATGCATATGATTATATGATTAACACGTATTTTTAAATTTTGTCTCCAAAAACGTGTAATATCATAAAGCTCTTTACCCAATGGTTTCAATTACTCAATTTAAACAAAAGCTGGCGACCATCATCAAGAAAATTGAAAAGGAAAAAAAAAGAAATCATTTTTATTTATTGATGTTTTAAAAATGAATGACGCTTGAGAGTATCTATTGTCACCACTTAATTGGCATCACACTTCTTGTTGACACAGCTGTTCTTACAGTCATCGCTAGTAGTGCAACAAGCATTAAGACGACCTTCACCGTTCTTCTTTCCGGCGAAACCAGGAATACATTTGGCAGAAGTGGTAGAAGTATGCTTGGCAGTAGTGGTAGTCTTGGTCTTGGTTTTGGTAGAAGCAGTAGTGGTGAAATGAATGGTGCCTTCGGGACCGGTACACTTTTCATTGACACAATCATCGATACAATCGGCTTGGTTCTTACAACAGTAGCCCTTAAAACCGTTACCTAAACCTTTACCTTCAGTACCAAGAGCACAGGCCTGAGCAGCATAAGGGACTTTGTAAGCGCTAACATTGAGAGCGGCAGCAACAACGAGGAGGACAGAGAGAGAGAGCTTCATGATTGATTTGTATTGAATTGATAATAATAATTGATTTGAGAAAAATAAGGTTCCCTTTTTATACTTGTGGCAGTGAATATTACGTAACCCAATGATCCAGGACGAAGGCGGACTTAGGAAGAACTAGGTTATGGAAATATGCTAAAATTAAACCTCGAATACTAATGGAGTGTAAAAAAAATATTAAGGGAGGTAAAAAAAAAAAGTATACGTGTTTTTATACATTACAATGGCAGTATGAAGTCACGTTTTTTTGAGCTATATCAAAGCACGTTGCATTATAGATGATAGTAAGATAATATGTGGTTTAAAGCATGATTTGAAAGGTGTATGTTACCTCTTTCGGAAAAAAGATTTTTTTTTTGCAACTCTCAACGTTAAGATTCAAACAGGCTAAAAATAGGTTTTGTTGGTTCGTAATAAGGTAACAAAAATTTATAGGAGTTTATATATACGTTATCATCTATATCTTTCTTATTGACAGCATATATTGTACTACAGTATGTACTGAGACCAAATGAATATCTTTTCTATCAGCATTATTTTTCCTGTTTGGAGAGATACAACTAACTGGGTGGCACTAAATGTTAGTTCTATTTGACGTAAATGCGGTTATTATCCGTGATGAGGTGATAAAAAAAGAAGAATGAAGATTGTAGAAAGGTAAATTAACTTGTTTTTGTGACGGAAGGGAAACCTGACTGTTTACAATGTATATAAAAGTGAGCCGCATGTAGATGTGTGAGCAAGTTTTATTAAAATGTGGGGGGTGTGATACAGCAGGAGGGTTTCACAAATTAATGGTAAAGTGTGATATCTCTTGGTTGAGATGAAGTACAGCCATTTGTACTTTCTTTACAGCAATCGGGAAAGGCCTTTTCACATAATCTACCGCTCCTTTTACATGAATATTAGTTAATGAATTAAGATCAAGATATATGTATATTTACCCGTCAGCATCGCAGAATGTATCACATTTAGATTCTTGTGTACCAGGGTCATAGCTTTGACAAACAGGTGCCTTTGTGAGAATACCACAACGTACGGGAACCTCTGATGAGGAAGAGCTAAATGCCATACAAGAAAGCGAGGCTACACCACAGATGGATGCATCTGTAGAAAACAAGAGGGATAAATTCTGTCGAGGCTGGATGACGTCTGCTTCATCCACGCCAGATTGTAAATGGGAATGGTGTTTGCGTAACGGTGGTAGTCCACTGACTGACACAATGAGTGAGACAAGAATCCAGAAAAAGAACATGTTAAAGTATTAAGAAAAGAAAAAGGCTAATGGTGTCATTAAATACAATGTTAACTCAAGGGTTTTAGATTTTTTATTTTTTTTATACAGCGTCTTGTTGATAATGGTATGATGGATGATTCCAATATTGATGATTTGGTGGTGGGCGAAAAGCACTTGGGTATGGACTTGTTTCGTACTAAGCAATAATTAGCCGAGTGAGTAAATATTATAATAATAATAAAAAAAGGACTTACGGGACGTGCTAAATAAGTCCTGTGAGCATGAATTCGATAACTGATATGAATATGAGCTGTGCTTCTTTTGTACTTTGATCTGGCGGGTTTGTTGACTGGCATGCGAACATTGCTTGGATGTCGAAAGGATTTTGTACGTCGATCTTCCATGATGGGATGGCCATCGACCAGCGTTGAATTTCGACGGGGAGTTATACAGACTAAATAAGCTGCATGAGTTTTTTTTCTTTCTTTTTCATTATGAGTTTGATACCAGAATACTTACTCTGGAAACCTTTTTTACTATTGCGCCTATTTTCGTGATAGATTGATTCTGTGGATAGTGACACATGCTACGGGAATTGAGTGAGTATCATGAAATGATTCGTAAATTTTTCTTTTCTCTTACTGGTGATATAATGGATGCATCAGACTCGGAATCTATAAAAGAGGTGAATACAACAAATATGATGACAAAAAATAATAAAAATAATACCTAATAGATTTCGTATGGACATTGAATTACTTCTTGCAGGCTATATTCAAAAAAATAAATAAAGAGTTACACAAGCCAAAAAGGAAGCTTACTTTTTCATCATATGTTGTGTGTATTCTGTTTGCATGTTGTGCTAAGGACATTAAAATTGTGCCCGCTTCTTCATCCTCGGCATCGATATCCAATGGTTTATTCTTTTCTTTTTGAAATGGACTTGGTTCATTGGCATCCGCAGGTGATTTATAAACTCGTTGTGTTTTGCGAGAATGGGTCGCGAATGGGTTCATTGTCTCGAGATGGGTGAAAGTCATTTAAAAAAGAGAAAAAGAAAAAGAAAAAACAAAAAAAAATTAAAATAAAAAAGTGGTTGGAACACAAGGATTGTATGACATGTCTTTTTTGAATGATCTGCGGAAAAATACGTGAGAATGAGCCAAGAATTTTTTTATTATTTATTTATTTAGGATACAAGTAAAATGCCATGGCAATGATGACATAAGAAGACTGTTATATATAAAAAGAGTTTAGTTTTATCATGTAATATAAAGACAGATTGGAAATATTTACCAGTAATAAGACACCTTCCAACCAGTTTGATCTACCATCTTGAATCAAGTAATTTACAATTAAAACACTTGCAAATAAGATGACTGTTTCAAAATCCTCAAAGAATAATGTCATTGGCTGACCAATAGCCCAACCAGTCAAGACAAGTACAGGAGAAACTAATAAGCCGATCTGGAGAGAAGATGAAACAGCAATACCGATACACAAATTCATCTTATCTTTAAGGGCAAACGTAACAGAACTGACATGTTCCGCCGCATTACCAACAATAGGGAGAAGAATAATACCAACAAACGTTTGATTGATACCCCAATGTTCTACAACACCTTCGATTCTAAAAGAACAAGGTTAGACACGGTTTGTTTATCATAAACAATAAACATTTACGCTCCAACAAGATATTCAGCGTGGACAGATACAACACAAGCAATCACAAGAAGTCTAAACATAGAAACACTCGTTAGCTAAACAAACAAACAAATAGAACACAAAGAAACATACGATCCGACAGAAAAGCCAAGTGTTGTGGTAGGAAACTCTGTTTCATCTTCCTCATCTTCATACTGTATGCTGGTTTTAGTAATCTTTCCTATCCTATATATTGACCTTTTTACTTACCAAGAATGTATGTGTTTTGAGCTAATAAAAAAGTGTTAGAGTCTAGCAATACAAAATAACAATGAATTTGTGTTACCTGAAAGAATAAATACAGAAGGTAGACGATCAATAAAACAATAGACACTCCATGACTGAGCTGAAGGATGCCTTCTTTATCTTCTTGATCGTCAGGGGTAGAAGCCGAAAATGCTGCAGGAACAAGCAATGAGAGGGTGGTTAAAGCCAAGAGAGAGCAGGACGTTTGAGCAGCTACATGTTGAAAGATGGTTTTAATAACACATACACACACACACACACACACGTATTTACATACCTGTAACATTGAATTTTTGTTCAGTTCGGTTTACACCACCCAAGAAGAAACAAAAGCCGAGCACCTACAATAAAAAAATGAGTACATACCAAAAGTCTAGCACATCGTAACTTACGAGCAAAAGATTAGACAGTATAGAACCCAAAACCGATGCTAACGATTACGATAAAAGGGTGTTTAGTATATATACAAACAAGATATATGAAACGTTACCTTGGACAACTCTAATTAATCCCTCTTTTAAAGCGATAATACCCAAAATAAGTTCAACAGCGTTACCAAAAGTAGCATTCAATAAGGCGCCGATGGTAGAACCTGATCTCAAGGCGATTTCCTCGGTTGCTATGGGTTACTAAGTTAGAATGTTTATGAGTAAAATAATAAGTCATGATTTACCAAAGCCTAAGAGTTTAGCGAGAGGAATGATGGCAATAAAATTGAGAGTAAAGACAACAGTAGGGGACGCGTCCAAGATAGAAAAGACAATAGCAATAGGCACAAAGATCAAAAAGTAATTGATATAGGAGGAATACAAGGTTACTTTGAAGGAAGACCAGACAGTAGGTACATGGCGCTCTTCAGTCTGTCCCAACAAGGGTTCGTTTTCATTACTCATCCTTGAAAATTGTTATTACAAAAAGTGAAAGAAGATAGAAAAACTCAACAAGTTTCAACTCCTTTATTTAACCACTTTTTTTTTTATTATTATTTGCTGACTCGGATCAAATTCCGTGTTCCTGAAATGACATTGGGTTAAAAATCATTTCCTTCTCCTCTCTCTTTCTTTTTCTTTTCCTTATAAAATTTTACACTCTCACGCACCTATTTTTTTTTTTTAAATAATAATAAATGAATAAAGATAAAGGCTCAACACTCGTTATACAAACAACCAGAAGCTCTTCTTTTCGTCGTAAAAGTAGGAGAAGGCTTAACTTTATTAGTTTCTAAAGAGACTAATTATTACTTTGTAGACACGAATGCAGCCAAACCGAAAAAAAGTTTCTTGTCCTTGTTAATGTGCTGCTCCTTCAAAAAGGAAACAACGCCACATGTTACAGAAAAGAATATACCTGCAAACACAACAGTGGAAGAGTTGCAACAAAATCAGTCCATTGAAAAGGAAAGTACAGATGAGAAAGAAGAACCCGAAGAACAAGTCGAATTAGCAGAAGAAGCAACAATAGATGAACAAGCATCTAATGTAAATGAACAGAATAACCTTCCATAAGGAAAATAGATACTCATAATAATTTTATTCAGGTGTCGTGCTTACTGGAACCACTGGAGAAGGCACATCGCAGTCGAAAATGTCTGGTGTTAGACCTTGATGAAACATTAATTCATAGTTCATTCAAGACGGTTGCTGGAGCGGATTTTGTCGTACCAGTTGAAATTGAAGGACACTATCATAATGTGTTTGTCTTAAAAAGACCCGGTGTAGATGCTTTCATGAAACGTATGGGTGAATTGTATGAAATCGTAATATTTACTGCCAGTCTTTCCAAATATGCAGACCCAGTGCTTGATAAATTTGATTTACACAAGGTGGTTCATCACCGCCTGTTCAGAGAATCATGTCATCCACACAAGGGAACTTATATTAAGGTAAAACATTATCATATACTCATAACAACAACAAAAAAGGAATCTCATCAACAGTTGTTCTTATAGGATCTGTCGAGATTAGGCCGTGATTTAAAAAGTGTCATCATTTTGGATAATACACCTGCCAGTTACAGTTTTCATCCCTCTAATGCTGTACCTGTTTCTACATGGTTTAACGATCAGCATGATTCTGAATTGATTGATTTAATTCCTTTTCTAGAAGATCTTGCTAAAGTAGATGATGTAGTGGACGTCTTAGATATATCTTTCAAGTAGTCCATCATATTTTACTGTATATATTTCACCCCTTTCTTTTCTTTTCCCCACTTTTATTGTACTCTTTCACTCTCTCTCGTTCTCTTTCTATGACTCTTTCTTTTTTTTTAATCAAGCATATAAATTCTTGATGCAACATCATTTACTACCCAATCCATGCCCCTCAATAAATTTTCCCCTGTTACTGCACTGCATGCAAGAATAGCCCAATGATGGCTCTTGATATCCTCCAAACCCAAAGCCTATAAAACACGTTAAATATCTCTCCTTCTCTTATTAAAATATGTCTGCTCTATTTACATTCTTAATCTCGGTTTCTGTGAGAGCACCCGCAATATCTTGTTTATTAGCAAACACCAATAACGTTGCACCTGCCAACCGTTCTTCTTGCAATAATAAGCTTAATTCTCGTTTACAATCCCCTAATCGTAAACGATCGGCCGAATCGACCACCCAGATGAGTGCATCGGTTTGTTCAAAGTAATTACGCCAGTAAGAACGAATAGACTTTTGTCCTCCCACGTCCCAAATATTCAGCTTGAACCTGTCTCTCCTGACTTTAGTACATGTTTTTGTCAGTGTTATTTATATCTCACCCTTCATGCTCGAGTGTTTTAATATTAAAGCCTAGTGTGGGTGAAATAGTGTCGATGGGTTCACCATTGATGCGTTTCAAAATGGTGGTTTTACCAGCATTGTCTAGACCTCTACAGGTTTGTGTTTCGAAGGGTGAGTGGACGGAATTAGTAATGATAGCTTAAACTTACAACATGAGGATACGCATCTCCTTTTCATTTTGGCGATTCTTTTTTAAAATGGTTAATAAACCCATTGTTGTTTAATTGTAAACGTTGAAAAAGAAAGTAACAGGAAAAACAAATAAAAGGGTACAGAAACTGACTTTGAATGCCTAAGGTGCTGTATGATAAATTGTTATGCAAGTGTGTATGTGTATAAGAGGGTATATTTTGCCATCGAGAATTACAAACGAGACAATATAAGACAATCTTCCATTAGATTAAGTTGTTACTTAGAATGAACTATCAATTAAGCATAAGATGTGAGACCTTCTTTTTTATAGTTTCAAGCAAATGGTCACACAAAAAATCCCGTCCCCAAGTATCTCTTTTTTTTTTCTCTTTTACAACATATTTTTTCCTTGTCAAACATCATGTCAAATAGAGAGGGAAGTTCAAAAGGTCAAAAGCCTTCAGCCATTTCTAAACAAGTACTGAAATCTAATCCGATTCCGCAATCTGTTCACAATACAAATGCAGCGACTGTCGACAACAATCATAATGCAGTACGTGGTAAACCCACACAACCACTTCGAAGTACCAAAGTGTCTCAAAAACTAGTTTTATTCCCGCAATCTTCAGCTGATGATGCCGATACAACTATGAAGTCCACCTTACCCATCGATGCGCATCCTAGCTCCTCTTCGGATACCACCATGGGTATGGAATACTTGGAAGAAGAACAACCCCTTCGCACCTCCATGGACGACCATCAGCATCAACAATGGCAGGATGAACAGCGTCAACCACGTACGGCTGGCGTTCCTTTACCTATTGAATGGACTTTTGGCTCACGTACACCTGCTGAACGCATGACCAAAGATGAACGAGAGTTAGCTCTGTTACCTAGAGCTGCTGCTTATTGTACAGGTGAAGGATACGATTTGACTCGTCTTCGGCCATTTTTACGACAACATCATCGTGTAGCACCTCGTTTATATGATGAATGTCTTTATGCAGCCTATCATTTCCCCTTGAGAACCTTACGTCCGGATAAGGATAACTTGTATAATATCAAGGTGCGAAGTAATGTACCGAAAGCACCACATCGTCATAACACCAACGATGAAGAAGAGATGGATTATGACGAGGATCATTTCAATATGACTGCAGAAGCTCCTACGATTGTTCAACCTAGACCTGGTCAGCCTTTCCCTGAATATTACATGAAGGAAGAACAAGAAGATGAAGTAAGGCAGCAACAAGAACAAGAACAACGGCTTTTAGACGAGTTCCAAAAGCAACAAGAAGAAGTACCCGAAGGTATCTTTGATAATCCATTCAGTCAAGAAAATGATATACCCATTTCTTCTCCCCCATTACTTTCTCCTACGGTGGAACAGGAAGAAAAGGAACTTAAGCCTGTACGTGAACCCTTCAAGGGAGGCGAAGTATTCATCTTTGATTATGGTGTGGTTGTCTTTTGGAATTTCAGAAGAGCAGAGGAGTTATTAATGTTGGAGGATTTTATGCAGTTCTCGATCGAACCTTTCCGTGATAACCCAGATGAGGATATGCAGATTGAAGAAATTCATTTCCAATATGATACATCACAAATGAAGCCTCGTATCTTTAATGATATGATCACTTTAAAAAGTAGTAATCATATGATCAAACTCACTCTATCTCACGGATTATCGCAAAGTGCTGTCGTGGCAAGATACGAAGATATCATGGATAAAACCATTGAAGATACCAAACACTTACCCAAGGAAATGGCAGAGACAGGAAGATTGGGTAAAACACGTAGTGAAATCACAAAGATCAATGGCCAGCTATTTACTTTGCGTATGAATGTGAACCTTGTCTCTAACGTATTGGGTATGCTTATTACATATTAAATTGAATGGACCTTTTAAACTTATTTTTTGTGCTATAGATACACCCGAGATCTTTTGGTCGGAACCTGCTTTACAACCTATGTATACAGCCATTCGAGAGTATTTGGAAATCCCACAACGTGCCAAAATTTTGAATGATCGTCTTCGTGTAATTTCTGATTTATTATCCATGCTTCGAGACCATCTCACGAATTTCGGAGTAGAGTATCAAACATTGATTATTATTTATCTGATCATTGTTGCTGTCATTGTTGCCTGCGTAAGTCCATATCTTGGAAAAATCAATCATCATGTTATTCTAACTCGTTTTTTTTTTTTAGTTTGAAATTGCTGTCAAGATTTTACAATCCATTAAAGTGATTTAATCGTATCAAATAAAAGAAATGAAAAAAAAAAAAAGATATAAGACATATATAAATTACATAAAAAATTAAATAGGGAGTGATTTCACTTTGATTAAACCAGAAAGTAATGATTTGCCCAAGAGCATGGGTGCCACGACAAGACCCACAAATAATAAAAAGAGACTATAGAACATCAAACCGTAACAGATGGCAACCCGCTTTCGTTGTTTCCGCTGTTTGGCGGTCCAGATATGACCACGAATTTGCTTGGAAGGACGTAACCAAAAAAGCATCAAGGAATGAGCTGTGTTGATGTAGGGGATCACGATAAATAATGACAAGAAGAACAAAATTACATGACCTAGTAAGAAATCTGTAGAGAATTCGGTCATTTCGATAATTTTACATATAAACTCTCTTGCTGGCTGTGTAATGGCTATATTGAAAAAGAAAGAAAGAAAGGGATGTTAATAAGCTTATATTAAATCCATAGATTTCTTATTTACCATGCCATCCAAGCTATCCAGTAAGAATAATATATAAAGTTAGTAACATTCGAATGCATAGCAAGACATATTGAGAGAGTTGCAACTTACCCCACGACCATACCATTTTCCAGTCCACCAACCACGATTGGATTCATCTTGTTTAAACTCTCGCGTAAGACACATCACTGTCAATAATTTGAGAACAAATCGTTGAATACCAATCATTGACACCATACCCAAGACAACATTCAAAAGTTTCCATTCCTCCAAGACAAAGAAGACTTCGAAAAAGATGATGACATTGATGACAGACCAAGCATGAGCACATGCGGCCATGATTGAACCAAACTTGACGACCCAATTACTCAAGATACAACCAATCCCCACGGACATACCAAAAAAGATCATGAGGCCTACAATATTGACGATAATGGGAGCCAAAGCCATGACAGCAATACGTATCAAGGGACTAGGGCCTGTAGCGGGTAAAGTAGAGTCCTCGGAATCAAAACTCTTTACAAAACTATAAGGGATAGTACATAAGATGGCATAAATCAATGGTAAAATGAGTTCCGAGATAAAGATAGCACCTAAACCTAGACGAGGTAAATCCGCAATCCCGTTGGAGTTACCTGCAGGTGCAGACCTTTTATAACCCGTGATACGTGCACGCGCAGATCGTGTATGACCGATCCAAGAATTCTTATGGGTGTTCGAATTACCACGCGATAACCAACGTATGAATTCCTTGTAATCGACCAAGAAATCAATAGGGGAAAACTGGTTTGGATTGAAAACAAAAGGAGAGACCATCAGTGCTACGACTGTAAACCAAAAGTAAAGTAAATGGGGTATCCAATAGGCAATAGAAGCAAACAGCATAATGACAAAATTACGTGCACCCACATAGATACTAGGGCCCGTAAACCGGGAATACAATGTACTGAAAGGGATGCGAGAGGTAGCAAATCCACGACCTGTACCAATATACATGGCTCCACCATAGACCAAGTTTTCCAATACTGAATTGGTATAGATTTGAGTCACAAAGATTTCAAAAAGAGGGGACAAGGAGACAAAATGACGACCCATACGTGTCAAACTACGCCAAAAGCCTCTTTCTGTTAATTCTTGCAAAAACAAGGGCAGGAAAGCTGCAAAGAAGACGACAAAAATAGACAAGATACAACGTTTAACCCAATCAAAGATAGGCACCAAGTTATAACAACCTGCAGGAATCAAGGGAGCTTCTGGAGGTGCGTCTGCATTGTATTCACATATGAGTAAAGTAGCGCCCATGGAACTGATAAAGAGGATAGCTAACATAAACATTTGAACAGACATCATGATAAAGATGTTATTGATGTGGAAACCAGGATGTGCATAGTAAAAAGTCAAGAAGCGATCGAGAGGAAGTTGCGTACCGATATAATAGTATTCACGAGATAACATTTGTTCACCCATACCCGTACCAATCTTGGTGGTGAAATTCAAGATGGATCCAAAACCTAAATCACGACCTTTGCCACATTGGAAATATTCAGTGTGCTTGATTCTTCCACCACGGGTGAAGGCGTTCATGCCTGCATAAATATCCTCGTTTAAATGTAAACCCTTCTGTGCTTTCGAGACACCACCACGGGTAGTCATAAAGATCGCATTTAAAAAATCAGGATGACCATAATGTAATTTTCCTCCAATTTTAGCCATGATACGCTGTGTTAGGGTACCAAAAGTTTGTTCTTTACCAGCAGCCACGTCACCAAGAACACCCACATTTTCCGAAAAGATGTATTCACGCGCACCGACAATAGCAACAGGAGAGTTTTTGGATTTTTGATAAGCAGCAGAATAAGGTGAGATATGTGTGGGTTCTAAGGTTTCGAATTCACCAAGTACGTTACGGATCTTGAGACATTCTTCCAGATAATTATCCTGATTGGCATCGATCAATTGTAAAAATTCACCACGGTAAAAGATAACGGCGTGATTTTGGTTATCTGATTTACCATCACCCAAAATAGGGTTACCGGGTAAACGAATACGGAAACGAGGTACACGTTTACCCGCTTCATCGATAGGAGAGAAACCATCAATAAGGGCGGAATAATAAGTGATTTCGCCACCTTCTTCTGTGGGTGGGACCTCATCGATATAAGCGACCTGGAGTTCTGGGAAGGCTCTGAACAAGAACTCGGCATCTTCTGCTTCACTGGCATTGAATTTAGCATACCGTTGCATGGCGACCAAGAATTTGAATTTACGTCTGGCTAACCGATCCAGATCGTGATCTAAATTCTCCTTTTCATCATAGAGACGCACGTTCTCGGGATTTTCTACACGATACAGGAGTTTAATTGCTTTTTTATAATTCATGAAACCAGAGACGGTACGATACAGCGTTTGAGCACGCAAAGAAGCCCAGATACGAGTACGTAAAGTGTATTCGGGTTTGGAGGATTTGAAACCAATACAATAGAATGGTAAATCATCCACTTGACTCTTAATGTCCTTTTCGGTACTGCTAGCATCGGATAGATCGGAATCACTGCGCTTCATGATACTACTACCTCCATCTTCTGCCAGCATTTTGGTATCCTTGACGAAATTATCCCATTCCACTGCGTGTAATTGTTTGAGGTATTCTAGTAAAGTGACACGTGTACTGTTATCTTCCTCACGGATAATTTCTCGTAGCGATAGTAAAATTTTCTCTCCGTAATGAGGCTATTCATTTTTGTTAGTATCCAGATCCAATTGATATTAAAAGGCAGAAATAAAATATAACGTACAGTTAAAACGGTAAAGGTTGGCATGCATTCAACAGGATGGGAAGGAGGCATAGGTGTAGTTAAGCTTTGTGCAAAGAAATGAATACGACGTTCTGCTTCACCATGTTGAGGAAAGTACTCGGTCTTGAACGAAGTATCTTCTTGAGTGACAAAGAAAGTAGGCGCCTTTAATGTACGCTGACCGTCCATTGGATTTATTTCCTAGATACACAGTTTCATTGTTATTCAAAAATAAACGTTATTTTTTTTTTGGTTTACTTTACCTGTTGGTACAACATACGCTGAGCATGATCTACAGTAATTAAATGCTCACGATACATCGTAATGACAATGGCATTCCAAATTTGGGAGCACAAGACTTTGGGCTTGTACTTGACGGGAATATCGGGGGTAGCTAATAATTTGACAAAGATTCTTTTGGGCAAACTGGCAAAGATATTTCTCCAAGGAGACCAAATGGAGATACCAAGATAAAATGATCTTGAGACAGAAAAAACGGTATTCCAGATAATATACCAAAGATAGGTATCCAAGAAATACAAGACGAGATCCATCAAGAACATGATGGCAATTGTAATACGAGGCATTTGCTCACAGAGCATGGAGCCAATCAATTTATCATTACAGTTGGTGATAGTCATAGTACTAATCACTGTTAAAGGATCTTTAAACGATAAAGCCAAAAAGAAGTAAGATTCAATCAATTTACAAGTGAAAACACAAATCCAAAGACAGATGGACATGATACGATCAATACTTTTCAAGGGTGGAAAATTCGCGGTGAAACTTTCATTCGCGAGCTCTTGTCGAGTATGTTGTGATTTTCTCATGAAAAGACGTGAGGAAGGGACGATAGAGAGGAGTAAGGTGATGGCGACGCTGTATAAAAGTTGGATAATCGAAACCAGTTTTGATATCCAGCTGGTTCTATCCAGTACAACACAGTAGAAGGAGGGACCCGCATTGATGACCATGAGCACGGTCAAGATACCGATACGACGTAAAACATACTTTGAGTTATGCCAACTGACAGGTAAATAAGCGAGTTCAGCAAAGGAACCAACCAAGACGAGAAAGCAAGCAACGACACCACCCAAAGCAACAATAGAGATTTGAACCGAGACTTCCTCCTTTGCAGTTTCTTTATCCACGTTCAGGTAAAGCGAGTAAGCATTTGCCATAATATAGTACCAAAAAGTAACGATATGGATGACCCAAACTCTTGAGAAATTAATCGATGCATGCATCCATGTACGCTTCTCTTTGTAAGTCTTTGTGAATGAGTTTTTCCAATCCACACCTTTTAAAGCATTGTAACGATCGTGAGGTGGTAATTTTCCAAGCGTATTGTCCTTATTAGGCTTACTACCTGCTTCGCCAATCAAGATACGGTCATAACAGGTGGAATGCCAAAAGAACTGGTTGACATCGTCGTAACCGATAACTTGATCGTGATCTGTTTCTCTTTTAGCATATTTACCGTTCGCCATAATATAAGTCTGATCACGAAAGAAGCAGTATAAGGGGGTAACGACGTTATCGAGATAAGTGCCTTCTGGGACCTCTGTGATAGCCTGATTTTCCACATGACAGTAATAATCATGAGCGACCTTGTAAATAAAGCAGAGGGTCTCTGGTGTGAATCTTACAGGAGCAGCCTCTCCCCATAATAATAAATAAAGAGCCAAATCACGTAGTTTTTCGGGGTTTGTCAAGTTCCGCATCCGTAAAGTCCATTTCTCTTCCATGCGTAACAATTGTTCTCTTGCATCGCCAATGTCTGAAGCATTGATCTTTTCTTGGTCAGTCTGGTCGTATGTGTCCATTTCGGAAGCAAAATACCATTTACGATAATTAGCATTGTCACCACCAATGTAATCGGCATGTAAAGTATCGAGGGCTAATTGAGGAGTGATGCGGGATGCGCGAGAGTCCAACATGACCATCAAGTGTTCGCTCATGTTTTTGACGCTATCGTGTTGAAAGCCGAACTTTTTGGCGATATCATCAAAGACGGATTCGAGTTGAGTCAAGGTGATGGGTACAGTGTCTGGCGGACCCCATGCTGGATAAAGTGAATCAGGAGCACCGTAACCTTGCAAGCTATTGATATTATTGTTTCGACTGGTGTTGGTTTGGATAGAGGCTTGACTGTCATTGACACCGGCTGTCAATGCTTTTGTGCCTTGGTATTTTCGACTTTCGATAAGGGCGAGCATGGAATCGGCCGAAGTGGCATAACGCATGTATCTGCCATCATCACCATCAGCTAAAGCGGCTAGAACATCAACGTCAAAAATATCATTGGTGTCTCTGTATTGTTGTTGTTGCTGCTGTTGATTTTGTTGTTGCTGCTGCTGCAATGGTTGTTGTTGATTATGTTGTGGTGGTGGGAGAGGAATAGAAGATAGATATTTGGGTGGGAATTCAGCTGGACGTGTTTCTTTTCGACGCAGACTTTCTTTGACGTCTAGGATGTTGCCTAAATATTCAAAAAAGGAATGGGTTTTTAAAAAACAAACAAAAAATGATATAAACATTCCTTACTTTCAGATAATGATACGGTAGGTAAATTAGAAGTAGGAATATTAAATGACGACGATTCGGCGGCAGAGGAAAGTAGGCTTTCTCTAGAAGCGATAGATTCCACGCTGTTGTTGTTAGGTGTATCATCTTTAGCGATACTATTTATTATTGTTATATATTAGGAATTTTTTTTTTGTTTCTTTTTTAACAATAAAATTACTTTGCATAATATGCCCGAATTTCAGGGAAATCTTTATGAGATTTGCGCTGCTTTTGTTTCGAATTGATATCGGGTAATGAAGCTTTACTCGTATTGGCTCCATCTGTATTCAAGCCTAATGTAGGAGCTGAGTCTGACGCTCTCTGTCCACTTGGTATTGTATTTGGCGGTGAAATATTCTCCTCCATGATTTTCCCTTAATTTTTATTTCTTCTGTTTAAGTAAAAAAGGGTGGTATATATAAAGAGAAAGAAAGGGAAAGAGATCAAAAGAAATACAAGATACCAAAGAGATAAAGTAAAAATAAATAACTACAGTTGAATTTAAAAGGAACTTTTGGAACAAATAATGGTAAATTATATTTTAAGAAATGTAATTATTTGTTGCTTTACGAAACTCATTGGATATTGTTGTATTGTAACTTTTTTTTTTTTTTCATGCATTCAGTACCCCAAAAAAAACTACCGATCAAAAAAATACTAAAAAGGTTGTAGCTCCTCTCTCAGCGGAAATTTAAACAATGGCACCCCGGCATTGTTGTTAAGCTCTTACAAGCCACCCCTCTTTGCCCTTCCCGAACCCAAAAAGCACACTAATCTTTTTTTCCCTCTCTCTTTCTATCATCTCGTCATCATGTTTAGTCGAAGTGTCTCCAGACTTCAAAAGACAGCTTCTGCTGCTCTCAAACGATCCTACACCACAGAACAACCTGGTGCTCACAAGTTGGCCGAAGAAGCTTTAGCCCAAAAAGTCAGTTCAAAGGGCAAAGCTACTCTTCCCAAGGGCGACAAGAAACCTCTTAAAGCCAAGGGTGAAAAGACTAACAAATACAAGGAAATCGCATTGACCACTGGTGCCATTACTGGTCTCGGTCTTGGTACTTTGTTCTACTACGGTATGTCAAAATAAAGCGCATTTGGAATGTCAATTAACTGAAACTTTTGTTCATTTTAGGTCGTCCCTTTGAGGATGGTAGAGAGGATAAGGTAGAAAAAAGGACGAATGTGTAGAGAGCAGGGTAAATACTGACGGTTTTATTATTTATAGTATGTAGAGGAGAACCCACTTTGTGCTGCTTACAACCGTTGTCGTGACAGATTTAGAGAGTTCCAGCAAGGTATGAGTGATCCCATGTGGGATAAACTCCTTCCCGAGCCTTTACCTGAGCCATATCGTCGTGCTTATACACTTGTAATCAACCTGGATGAGACATTGGTACACTCCACTTGGGATGTAAGTACGATATAGGAAGAAAAGTTTACACAGAAGATTGAAAATTATATTAGAAAGAACACGGCTGGCGTCACGCCAAGAGACCTGGTGTGGATTATTTCCTCTCTTACCTCTCTCAATTCTACGAAATCGTCATCTTTACCTCTCAATCCTCCATGGTAAGATCATGCACGTTTATATGTACGCAGACACTGACAATGAGCTGTAGAACGCCATGCCTATTTTAGATAAACTTGATCCTTACCAATATGCCATGTACAGATTGTATCGTGAAGCTACGCGTTATGTGGATGGAAAATACGTCAAGGACTTATCTCACTTGAACCGTGATTTAAGCAAGGTGATTATTATGGATTCTAACCCCGAAGCCTTCAGTTTGCAACCCGAGAACGGTATTGCTTTAAAGCCATGGAAGGGACAAGTCAGAGACCAAGGTCTCTTGGAGTACATTCCCTTCTTGGAAGGTATGTGGTTATGTATAAGAGTTTAAAATGGTGTTTTGGTTGTTAACAAAAAGGTATTAGCTGTTGCTTTGACCACACCTGAGGATATTCGACCCGTGTTGAAGAGTTTTGAGGGAGAATATATCCCTCTTGAATGGGCCAAGCGTGAACAAGAAATGAATAGAATGCATCGCTTGCAATGGGAAGAGGAACAAAAGAGCAAGAAGACATCTCGTAATTTAGGATCTATTTTAGGTGGTGGTGGTAATAATGCTCAAGTAGAAGGACCTCCCCCTACTTATTTAGAACAAATGAGAAAGCACGTCAGAGAGACTTTTGCTTCTGAATTCGAACAACAAAAGAAGAGTCAAGAAGAAGCCATGGCACAAGACATGGAAAGACAAATGGAAATGATGAAGGAAATGAAAATGTCAGTTTGGGACTTGATGACTCAAGCAGCATCGGGTCAACCTTTAGCTCCCCCTCCTCCCCCTTCTTCTCCAGAACAACAATAAATAATCAAAAAAAAAAAGAAAAAAAAATTGACAATATCATGTGATACTTTGCATGAATATAACGGAAAGCATTCCGCTTCCATAGTAACACATTTCAAATCTATCTTTAAATCCGGCGTGTGATTTTTTCCTTTTTTTTTTTTTTTTTTTTTTTTTTCTATGAAAATCTCTCTCTTGTTGGATCAGGTGTTACCATAAACCGATCAAAAAGCTTCTTTTCTTTGTTTTGACTTGCTGTCATGGCAACATAGTTTTATAGTGTATATAAAGTAGCAAAATCTTAAAAAGAAAGGTAAAGAAGATTGCGTGTGTGCTGTGGGAATTACATGATTCGTCTCTCCCCCCAAATTATTTTAAGCCCGTGGATCTCATTCCCTCGCTTTTGAAACACTTTGAATTTCCCAAAAGAGGGAAAAGAGGAATCCTATCAGTTCGTTTTTGAACCTAGAAAAGTTTAGCAAGTTATCTGACCAAATCAGGATAATGATAATATTAACTGAAGCACTAGTTGAATCTTTCACGGAGGCAGGGTTAAAATAGCCACCCCATCATACATGTAACTAAACTACACTATCTCTTTTTATAATGATACATACTCTTACTCTTTTTTTTTTTCTTCTTTCTCAATATCCAATCCATCTACTTGTTACGCGCCAAAATAGAGTTTTTTTTTTTTATTCCTTTTTTTTTTTTTTTTTTTTTTTCTTCACTTGCCTGTGTTGAATGAGAATACCACGTCATTTACTAAAGTACGGTTCAAACATCAACGACACCTGATTTCGTTTTTTTTTTTTTTTTTTTTTTTATAAAAAATATTTTTTTTTCTTTTCTTTTTGTGTTTCCTTTTTTTTTCCACTTCTTTATAAAAAAAAAAAATTAAGCTTGTAATGCAGTATTTATCTTCAAGAAATACAAAGATGCACAAGGAGACTACACCTTGGATGTCCAACACAGACTATTACAATAATAACAATAATGAATCATCAGAAGCTGATGTGTATATGTCTGATACATCAAAGTCGCACAGAAGTCGTAATTCAACAACGGATATGTGTGTGGAAAAGAACACAGAAGGGAAGCCACCTTATTCCTACGCGACCTTGATTAAATATGCTATTGAACGCAGTGCTGAAAATAAGTTAACTCTCAGTCAAATCTATCAATGGGTTATCGATCATTACCCATATTACGGATCAGCAGGTTCTGGCTGGAAGGTACCACCTTTTTGTTTTTTTTTTTCAGGGGAAAATTAAAATAAATAGTGTAACTCATATCTTTAATATAGAACTCAATTCGTCATAACCTTTCCTTGAATAAGAGCTTTGTTCGTGTGCCTCGTCCAGTCAATGAGCCTGGTAAAGGTTCCTATTGGACTGTGGATCAATACGCTATTGATACTGAACAGAGAGTCAGAACTAATGTACGTGGTCGTTCTAACCGATCCAGCAGCGACCCTTCTCTACATCATCGTTCAACGGATGACCCTTGGTTATTAGTCCGTAATTACCGTGACGGTAGATCTCAGTCAACTGATGCAGGCGTAACTTCTTCTTCTTCTGTTGCTGCACTTCGCCGAACACCCCAATATAGTTACTGCAGTCATCCTTATACTTATCAACAACAACAACAACAACAACAGCAGCAGCAGCAATATAACTATTACGGAGCTAGACAGAATTCTTCTGTAACTTATAGTTTACCAAACAATAATTACAACAATAACTATTCTACCAGTACAACACCGTTTTATTCCCATCGTCAATCATGTCCGGATTTAACTAGTACTTATTCTGAAACAGGTATCCTTCCGAATTTTAATACTGCCGGTAATGAAGCATGCCTAGAATCACCTTCTTCTGCCTCTGCCGCTGCTGCTGCGGCCGCTGCTGCCGCCGCTATGTGTGATAGCAAGATGATTTATACCACACCATTTTATTCCAAAGTCTTTCCCAATGCAAAAGGCAGATCCTCTTCTTTTTTCAAGGACCCTTCAAACACAACGACGGTAGTGGGCTTACCTTCACCCGTTCTCTCACCAAGTAACTGTTCCTCCACTTCATCACAGCGTCTGTCGGTGGCAGATCCACTTGCCATGGTCACACAACACCCTTCACCCGTGACAACAAATGTGGTAGCAAATAACAACAACAGCAAGACAACCCCTGGAAATAGACTGACATCACCTTATTATAACAACGGTCAAGTCGGAAGATCATTGTCAACTCAATCTTTGGATGAACCATCCTCTCCTTTACATATGATGAATCATTCACCTCGTACAAGATCTTCTCCTGGACCTTTCTGTATGGATACTTCATCCGTAGCATACATTGATATGGTTTCACAACATCAGCAACAACAGCAAAATGCCTCAACCCGATCATCCTCTTGTTCTTCTTCTCAGGGGTCTCCACACGGATATTCTTCCACTACCGCTCTTGCTGCTGCTAATGCCACTACTACTCCCACTTCTACTACTTCTACTGCCACATCATCATTTCTCTCTCAAAATGAAAGATATGACTATACTTTATAAGCACTCACAAAAAAAAAAAAATTCTGTATTTTGTTCCCCCACCCCACCCCATTAGTTTGTTTCATTAAAAAAAAAATCACACACAAAAAACTTTTATATAGATAAAGCCAAAAAAAAAAAAAAAACTAGTTTATATGTATTAAAGAGTCCAGTTCACAGTGGAATTCTTTTTCATTGTCCATTGCTGTAATAAACAGAGTAAAGCCCAACCATCGGTTGGCTCTAATGTCTTGTCAAATGATTGAAGGATACCTTCTGTTGGATTTGGGTTCATAATAGCATCCACAGTTAAAATCACCACCTTGCATCTTTTTTCGCCAAAATAAATAAATAAATATTTTAGCGTGTAATTGAAAAATGTGTAGCACTTTTCCTTACCTGGCGCGTGATAATGCTACATTCCATCTTCTGAAATCGCGTAAGAATTGATAGTTGCGTTGATGACTACTAGCACAAGAGAAGCACGCAATGATGAAATCACATTCTTGTCCTTGCATTTTTTCCACAGTATCCACAGGTACGGCTGAGGGTACTCTTCTTTTGATGGCGATGCGCTGTTTATTATGGGGCGTGACGATCATGACTTTGGGCTCATCCGTGTCTCGATGCACGGGAATATGGGCTGGAGATACGTTTGTTTGTCGGGCCTCTAAATAAAGCTCAACGATCGTCTTTACCACGTCGGCTTCCGCTTCCACCACACTGTTATCGAAGCCAAAGCCTTCGAGTTTCACTAGTGTCATAGCTTGTGTGGGGTCCAAGATACGCTGAATTAAATTTAACTTGGGATCTTCAATCCCTGTCCAGTCTAGATGTAGTTTGATTTTTGGATAACGTGAGGTATAATCTGGACCATAGACTTGTTGGAAGAATTCATTCAGCTCTTCATTCTAAATACAAATAGAATAAAATTGTGTTAAAATATATCATAGAAAAAGTAACAGTAGTTTATACCATGCGCCAATTATCTTTGAGCTGAAGCGTATTAGGTCCAAAGTCATGCAATGCACCTTTCTGCAAGAGAAATTCCCGGGTGGGAATTGCATGATTTTCTTTAGTACGCATTAGACATTGCTGAATAGATCCGAACAAAAGCGGGTCATCTAGACGTGATATCGTATTCGAATAATCGTTCTTAATAATGGGACCCAGTTGCTGTTCCAAAGAGAGAGAGAATAAGATGATGAAGATGATGGCCTTTCTTTTTTTTTTTTTTTTTTTTTTTAATCTATACAGTTTACACGTACCATGTGATCTCCTGCAATGATGAGTTTTCCATTAGGTCTTTTCAAACAGGCAATTGCGAGTAATGCGTCAGACACAAGTACCTTTTTTTTATGCAATCAGTATTATTTATAGTTTTTTTTTTTTTTTTTTGCTGGTTTGTACCTGAGTGCTTTCATCTAAAATCAGCATATCACAACCTTTAAATGTCTTCCATTTGGTTCTAATTTTATCCCAGGACCAGACGGTAGCACCCATTACATAAATGTTGGGTTTGGCCTCATCTTTATTCATGCCACGAATAAGGCTATACGATTTATCCCAAGTACAACCAATCATGTTCGAATCGTCATCAAAAGTTTTGTCATTGGTCGGACCATGTACATAGATGATAGAAAACAGATTAGTAAACCCATGACGTTTCTGGATTTTTTCAATGCGTTTCAACAGATTGAAGATGGCATCACGTGTAAAAGCAGTAACACCAATGAGGATATCCTTTTTGGAAGAACATTGGATGAACCAATTTACGAATAACGCCAAGAATTCCGTTTTACCCGAGCCCTTTTTTTAAAGTTAAGGATAATATAGAGGGGTTCATTTTTTGTATTTGTATACTCACTGGTGGTCCCCAAATGATCTGTAAGCGTTTCTCTAGGATATTAGCAGAAATATCTTTTTGTGAGGGCGACATGGAAAATGCATCACGCAGTTTAATAGCCGTTGCATCCAAATGTGATGTTTCATCATGAATATCAGCCCAGCTATTAGGATCTTCAATCAATTTCTATGTTTTGAATAAGTTAGACTTGCTTTTTGTTTGTTTTCTCTTATTGTTGATCAATCATAATAATAAACAAAAAAAAAAAAAATTGCAAGTGGGTGTTTACATACTATAACATCCATGTCCTCTTGTTCATCCAATCTTTTTAAACCTTCAATATTGGCTAATGTGGTAAAATCCACGTAACGCTGGTATAAACGGTATCGTGTGGATGTGATAGTGCTGGGTATCGAAGCTCCTGCTAATACAACTTCATCGCCATTAATTTCTGCCACATTAACGCAACGGATGGCATGTTTCACGTAATTCGTCTTGTTTAAATAGAGTAAATCGGAATACTGAATGGTACTAATGATATCCTATATAATTCACTTGTAATTAGCCACACACTTTTATTTATAACGATTCTAGATGTACTCACCTCACGTGTATCAGGAACAAGGATGTAACGTTTAAAGGTATCGATAGACAAACGGTCAATTTTTTGTTGAACGTAAGGCCCATTGGTCAAGGGTCTGATGGCGAAGCGTAAATGAGTGACATATTGATTTACACGTTGTTGACCCACCAAATCCAGAATAAGACCGCCAGTATTTGTTTCGCCCATGCCTGCATGGTCGATCCTTGACAAGTCTCGGATACGATCCATTCGAAGGTCATCACACGCCTTAATACACTCCAGCTGTCTGAAAAAGACTAACTTAGCCAATATGGGGTTTCTAAAGGGTTGTACTACGGGCCATTGAAAGACTTTACAAATCAATGGGAATAACTCACAATCACTGTCCTCCATATATCTGTTCGCCAGCGACCAAAAGGTTTGCATGATTTCTTGTAACCAGAAAAACCGTTGACTTACGTAATGTTGAGTACTGTAACGTAATTCGTCTTCAACATGAGGACCTTTCCAAGAGTTGTAAATGTCATTTAGGTCAAGGCCAGAAAGATCATCGTCTTCATCTTGAATAAATGCTTCTGCCATCCAGGTGACAGCGTCAAATAGGCTGTAAAATCCCGACACGCCCAACGCAATATTTTGTTGCAAAATGTCTTCAATACTAACAAATCGGCCAACGGAAGAGGTACGTTGAATATCATCCATACTAGGAAAATCAACTACACCAGGAAGACCTAAAAGCTGAGTGTCTTGGAATAGGACAACCAGACATCGCATTGCGTCGGAGACAATCTCTTCTTTACGCGCTTGATTGAGGGTGATGAGATCCTTGCCCTCGGAAGAGACGATATTCGTCAACATGCTTTGGATCACTGATTTCTCTAACCCGTTATAGACATAGATGAGACAGCGCGAAGATACCTCATCCATGAGAGAAAGTGTGAGAGCCAAATCAGAAACAAAATTATCCACAAAGGCACTATATGTTTCCACTTGATGTTCTATATGTTTGTCGTAATCTGTTGCATAATACCTATTAAGAATCTTTTGGTTGGATTCGGAGTCAGTGATTTCTATACCGTAGAGAAACGGTTTTTGAGAAAAATTGTCTACTTGGAGATAGATGTAAATGGCATGATCAGTTTCCTTGGCTATGGTGACCGAAGCATGCCCCAAAAACTGAGGTTTTGTATCTGTGTAAGCATCAATATAGCTTTCATACCCTGTGCTGCTGGTTTGCGATTCGATTTTGAGGTTCTGCAGCAGTTCTGACAGATCCTCAATATCGACGACGGACTCCTTTAGACGAGATGCTTTTGCTTGATCCATGTAGGGAATGGACCGAACAGTACCTTTGGCATCCCCTTTGCAACGCGTCAAAAACTGACAAGTAGTACATTTCTTACCCAAGATCCAATCTGGGTCTGAGTTGTTGGAGATTTCGATCAAGGTGTTCATATATATGAACTTGATCTTATTCAGGACGAAATCAATACGAAAAGTGATGGGTTTGTCCAGATCATTAGGTAACCACACCCCACCCATTTCGTCGATCTCCAAATTTCGAATATCGCGGATAAGATACTCTAAAAAGAAGGCATAGGAAGTAACTTGGAATTGATGCGATTTGGACATTTCTTTGGATGATTTGGCATCAATGATGAGAATCTTGCGGACTTTTGTCACGGGATCTTGGCGGATGTAAAGAAAGTCAGGTATAAAGTTGTTGATTCGATAGGCCGTCGTGTTGCCAATTACGTCAGTGTAAAATGCTTCGGGTAGCTTAAACTTGAGTTGGTAAAGATACGTGTTGGGTTCGGCCTCGTGCAAGATCTTTTTGAAATCCGTGGACAATGAATGATCCACCATGACAGATTTATGCAGCTGAAATAAATTATCTTCAAAGGCATTTCCTCGATCACAATGTGCTTCGGATACAGAGCTCTTGACATGGCTATCTTCTGTTTTCATAAGTTCACGTCTAGATCTCGAGAGCAGATAAATGTGCTTTTTACAATTGTAATGAATGCTGCTTGCTAAAGACGAAATCGAATAACGAGCTTCGACATTTATTTCTTCCTCCTTTTATGCGTTCATTTAATTTTTTTAGATTTATTGCGCTGTAACCAATATATCACACCTACCTTTATATCTTCTCCAGACATACTCAACATGCTGATAAAATAAATGAAAAAGTTAACGTAACAAAGCGTGTAAAGTAAGCACTACGCCAAACGAGGTGATGTTTAAAATAAAATGGCGGGTGTCCATATTTCAAAGGGCGGTTACTGACTTTAAATGACAGTACTTTCATTTTACAAGCATGGTGCAATCAACGGAACCTCTATCGACCAGAAACGCTGACCTGTTTAGATTTTACTGCAAAAAAATCAAGCTTCAAAGCAAAAAAAAACAACTGATGTTCAAATGCGCTAATTTGGCTGGTCGATGATTTATGGTATCGCTCTTGTCAAGAAGTTCATTTCTATGTCCTTTGTAGATGTAGATATCGCACAATCAACAAGCCGTCCTGAGTGGTTATTAAATAAGAGTACAGTAAAAGATCTTACAGTTTAGATGGCGAATATTTACTCGTCAACTGGAGTCTTCTGATAAAATTAATATAATAAACTGCAAACAAAAGCAGAAAGCAGATAACCAAAAACGAAGAACAAGTAAAGGAAAAAGGATGATTGAGATTTTATTTCTTCAAAGATGACAAAAGTTGATATTTCATTGATAATCACTAAGTAATGAAACAACGATATTTATTTCATGCGAGCATGACTTCCTTGATGGATTAGCCGACGCCATCGTTGATTCTGTAATTTTTTTTTTTTTGCATGGTATCAAGCTTGGTAACTATTGATTTTACTCTTTGAAATGACCATCATTTGTTGTTTGGGTAACTTCGGGTGCTACTGATGGCGCCACATAATCTTCTTCAAACTCTTCCAGATCCTTTCCTTTTGTTTCGGGCACCCAGAGAATAGTGACAATCAGGCCTAAAAACATAATGGCAGCGAAAATCCCTAATGTCTCTGGTAAAAAGGCATGTTCTCCCGGGTACGTATCATTAGTCTCCACCAGCACATTAAACGCAAACGATGCAATAATCGCGCCAGCTTTACCAGCTGCAGCAGAAATACCGTGTGCTGAAGACCGGACTTTTGTGGGAAATACTTCACCGGGAATAATAAACGTGGTTGTATTTGCACCAAAGTTTTGAAAAAGTTGAGCCAAAGTAAAGATGGCAATAAATGCTGGTACAGATCGATCGCGCAATTGGTAATATGCTGCAGACAGAATGATGAATAGAATTGTACACATAGAAAATCCCATTATTTGAATTGTACGACGACCCCAACTTTCAATAAAGATAACGGATAGGTAGTATCCTGGTACAGAACCAAGTACTGTAATAATCACTTGACCAACAGCATTCCACCACATAGTCTCAAACGCAGTCGATTTATTGCTAAACCCAATTGCAGATAGCACGTAGCTATTGTTTAGACCAAGACCATAAAACGCAATGTCTAGTAAAAACCACGAAAGCGAAGTACCAAGCAGCACTTTAAGATGTCTCCATTGACGAAAATAAGCTCTGAATTCAGCCCAATGGCTACGTTTCTCCATATTGATAGGATCAATAACACGTTTGTTGTGAGCCTGGATGGTTGATTCTTTTAACTTGTCACCTTTCACTGCGATAGCTGCTGTGGCTTGTTCGACATCATGCTTGACATCGAGCGCATAGCGTGGTGATTCGGGCATTGTGAATCGAAGATAGACTGTAGCCACTGCTGGCACCGCTCCCAATCCAATACATAGTCTCCACACATAATCCAGATTCATTACATCAGCATTGATCGCTTGTTTAAAAATAGCCAAAATGATCAAAGTGACAATAGCTGCAGCAAGATTACCTATACCTTGCATCGAAAAAATGAGTGCCATCATCATACCACGCTTCCCTGTTGAAGACCATTCAGAGGTGATGGTAGCAGACATGGGGTAATCGCCTCCTATACCTATGCCTAAAATAAGACGCCATAGACCTAAAAACCCGAGTACCGAAACGCCTCGTACGGTAGAAGCAGATGTAGCGCAGTTTATTGTTCCCATAATGATGATTAGAAGTTCAAACCCGTAGATTCTTCGACCAAAAATATCGCCCATAAAACCAAACGTTAGTTGGCCAATTAAAGTACCTACAGAAGCCATGCCTTTCACAATTCCTTCCGTCTGTGCAGGTACTTTGTTACCATTGTTTGAGTAATATACAAATCCAATCATTGGCATTGCCAAGTTGATAATAAAAACATCGTATGAGTCTGTAAAAAACCCGGCGCCCGAGGTGAGGATTGTTCTGACCATAAACCAGTTAAATTTCTTCTTTTTTTCGAGTTCTTGCAAGCTAGGTAGCTTTGTTGGTTGAATTTCATGCTGTGAAGTAGATTGCATATGAAGTGTTTCTGATAGATATATTTAAGAAGTAAAGTAGAAAGAAAGAAAAGCTTGTTAATATTGACAGGTCATGCAAAAAAAAAAAAAAAAAAAAAAAAAAAAGGTAGAACTAATTGGTTCTTAGAGCAATTTAATCGGCCAATCAAATGTCTCAAATGGGTGCGCATGCTCCATGTTACAACAGCGATTAAATCATCAATCGTCATGAAAGTCACCAATTAAAAAAAAAAGGCCTACTTGCATGAACTAGTTTCAAACGTGATGTTAAATCAATTTATTGATTGGGGGCCATATGGCTTTTTATACACTATTTTCCAAAATTATTGGCGTAATTTTTTGAAAAAAATAGACCAAGGGTTAACCAAATGTACCAAATTGCTAAAATAATCTGACTAAAAATATAGTTTATAAATGTTTGCTGTTCCTATTAAAATATGAATTCCAATGAGACACCCTCTGGGAGCTGAAGATCCTCGTGCAGTTGATGACAATACACAATACATTTGTGCTAAGCATATCAGGTCGATATTCGTTTAATATAAATTTGGTGCGATATCTGCCTGTGTTTCAAACATCCGCCAGACAAAGATAAGGGGATTTCATTGATTGGAACGCGCTAAATAAATCAAAACATTTGATCAGTTGTTACTCTGAAGATTACAAGTTTAAGAAAGGCTCCATTTTTATTATTGTAAAGCAAATCCTGCAAAGCTTTATAGGCGTATTACCAAATTGCTAAAACGTGTGATAGTTTGTGAGGTGACAAATCTATAAACTGCTTCCCTATAAGAACTATGTTTATTCCCTGCTATACGACAATCGATACCTTAATTTTGGATACTCAAATCTTAAAGAATAGGGTATTAACACAATTGGACAAGCAAGTAGTTTACGGTGGAACTATAAATCTCAATTCAAAAGGAATGGAACCACAAGGTTGTAGTAAATAAATGAAGTTCAAAGGAATGATATACACTGACGGCGCAGGTGTATCTATTCTTAAACAAAACTATGATCCAGGGAGAAGAGGTGGTAAGAAGAATAAAACCAAATAGAAGACAAGAATCCCTTCAAATACATGGAAGATCTGAAAAAAGAAGGCCTTCTTGCTGATGTCGGTAAATGTGTTTTCGCTGATTCAGGTCGAAGAGGCCTACAATATTGTATGCACTTCCCAAAACAGAATGGGTTACAGATACACAATTCATCAGAAAGGAGTTGAAACAAAGTCCAGAAAATTTAGGAAGCTCCACTTCAGTGAACAATTTTTTTTTTTTGTAAACTATATAGAAGCTAGAGCAGATGTGTCTGAATGCTTCAACAACTACTACGGTTATGAGAATATACCTCCAGGAATCAGGACTCCTAATTTTTTATCTTATCGCAAAATGAAGCTTTCAAGTAGTATTAACATGAAGCAATCGGAAAAGCGATTAGCTAAAAAGCTAAGACAAAAGTTTAAACGAGACTCTATAGTTTTTATAGGTAACTCGATTGCAGCAAACGTAAAGTACCACGAACCCACCAAAGGAGTTGGAATAAAAAACATGCTTCAGAAAGAAGGATTCAAAGTCTATTTGTTGGATGACTTCAAACCTCCCTTATTATGTTCTTCGGGTAAAGATGATACTACCTTTGAAAATGCAAAGAACCTCAAACCCCTACGCCGTTCAGACGAACTAAAAATGCTACTGTAATATGTCATGGTTTGTTAAGATTAAACTAAATGTGTTAGTATCTAGAATACTATGAAACTGAATACCAGTTTAAAACTTGTGGATGTACCAATGAGAAATGTCTGCAAGATAGCAGTTCAATAACAGAGATATGGCCTCAGCGTTGAATTTGAGACAAATTTTGTTTGGGTTTGTGGTAAAATAGCATTAGACCTGAAAGGTTCGTACGCAACAGGGCAGCCAAGCACTTCCAACAACAAGACCAAACCTCAAAAGAAAAGCATCAGCTTATCCTTCCATCCCTGGCACTTCAAACAAAAGTAATTTTCCCGTGCAGTTACCGCTTTCGCCCATCAAGATACATATCAAGTTTTTGACTAAATGCATAATGAAAATAAATATTTTCACACTATGAACCTGATTTTTTCAAACTTTGTGCGATAAGTGAACTAATAATTTCGCAAATAGTGTAACATTTGGTGAAGACAAATGACACGGCCATTTTGATTCGTCTAACATTGTCTGAATTTAAAGTGTGAAAGCTGTAGGTCCCGTCAATCTGAATAATCAATGCTTTTTGAGCTTAAACCTAAAAAAGAGATTCAACTCGCTCTTTTCACTTTTCTATTTTCTATTCCTTTAATTAACTTAAATGACTCCTGAAGAACAAGTTGAACGTCTCAAGCAATTCCGTGTTGAGCTTGGTGCTATTGAGCACTCTGTATCTGACGATGTAAGTTTTGAATGAGAAGTGCCTGTATAACAATCTAATTTTATTATGTAGTATCTTGAACAATTCTTGATTGCTCGTAGCTGGAACATTGTAAGTTTTTGTTTGTATAATAGGACGCTATAAACAAAGAAATTAAAAAGTAAATGGACATTATTACAGGCAGGTGCAAAGGATCAACTGTTAAAAACATTTGAATGGCGTAAATCAAATGATGTTGATCATCACCCAGTTGCCACACTTGAAAACAAGTTGCCTGTTTTATATGCTGTTCGTGGTTATCAAAGTATTCCCGACAGTAATTTAGAAGCACTTCCCGGTGTATCCGAATCCGTATTGAGAATTAACAAGTATATGGGTGGTGCCTGTCTTCATAAGACAGATAGAGAAGGATGTCCTATTTATATTGAAAGATTGGTAAGGTGATGAAGAAAGGATAGGAAAATGGATGATACTCAACCGTTTATTTATTTTTTAAAAAAAAAGGGTTACCATAAGGCAAAGGATATCGCTAAACATGCTACAGTGGAAGAAGTGCAAGGTTATCATGTAGGTTGTAATGAATTTTTACATCGTGTGGTGATGAAGGACTGCTCCAAAGCGGCCGGGCGTCATATTAATCGCGAAACTGTGATTTTTGATTGTACCAACATGGGTTGGAGTCGTAAGTTTTGTGTATTCTCTTAAAGTGTAGTATTAAGAAGCTAATTTTTTTTTCTATCCTAAGAATTGCATATGCCTGCCTTGCACTTTATCCGTGCAATTGCAGATTGTGATCAAAAATACTATCCTGAGACACTTAACAAATTTTTCTTGGTCAATGCACCTGGTGCGTTTGTATATGTTTGGAAAATTGTCAAGGCTTGGTTAGATCCTGGAGTAAGATAAGAAGTGTATATTACTGAAAGGGAAATGCCTAATTTTTTATAAATGAAACGTAGACCATTGCCAAGATTCAAATTATTGGGGCTGACTTTAAAGAGCCTTTATTAAAGCAAATTGCACCCGAGAATTTACCTGCTTTCTTGGGAGGTGAATGTACCTGTGAGCACATGGATGGTGGATGCGTGCCATCTCAAGGTAAAAAGGCCCTTCATTTATTTAGTATTAGAGCTGACATTTTTCTTCCCTTAGTTTTGAAAAACGCTAAACCTTTGGAGCCCCAGGCTCATAATGAAAATGTACCCACTGCATACAACACAGAAATTATGAAGAACGCAAAGACTTCAGACGTGGTTCGCGGACCCACCTTTTACTAGACATAGACTATCCCATCCATCATTTCTCTCTCATGTATAAAATTACAAAATAAACAATGGAAACAAGCACAAACACATACAGTTTTTTTTTTATCATCCGCGCAACAAAGACAATTTATTAAAAAGTTTAATTGTGGTTGGTTTTCTTGTATCAAAAAAGGGGTGATTAATGAGACGAGATGTTTAATCGAAAAGACCTGTAATAGAGATGTTAGAAAAACGGTTGAACGTGTACGATATAATGAAGACTTACCGAAACCCATATCATCATCGGATTCTTCCTTCTCCTCAACCTTCTCTTCTTCAGCAGGGGCATCGGAAGAGGCGGCAGCGGCACCAGAAGAGGCAGCGGGGCCGGAACCAGGGGCACCAACGTTCATGAGGAGGGCCTTAAGGTCTTGACCGGCGAGGGCCTTGGCGTAAAGGGAGAACCAGATAGGCTCAACCTCAATACCGGCAGCGGCAACGAGGGTTTGGAGCTTATCAGCCTACAGTTGTAATATGTGAGTATCGAAAAGAGAGGGTCACTCTTATTAACAGTTGACTTACGGTGATCTCAACATTGTCATCCTCGAGGATGAGAGCGGCGTAAACAACAGCAAGTTCAGCAGACATGCTAAGAATGAGGAGAGAGCATTAGTAATTGACATTTTACTCAGAAAAAAAAAAGTCGCATGGTCTATAAAAGATGTATGGATGGATCGTCCGTTTGACATCCGTTCGTACATACAACATCCACTATCGATGGACCATGGTTTCTCTCTTTTTTTTTAGGGATATACTACATACGCGCAACGGATGGATGTAATTTGAAGGAGGATTTCTTGGATACACCAATTCCAAGTTTTTACTTGAATTCAACAATTACGAAACCAGTCCCACGTCTGAGATTGTAAATAAATAAAAAAAAAAGTGGTCTCCCTTCGGATCATGAGGGCAGGGCCAATGAAATTAAAAATTAGTGATCCGAGTACCCCCAGACTTGTCTGCCTGCCAGGCTTTTGAAGACTATCCGCTATAATTATACGACTTAGTGTTTCTTCTGATCACTAAATATAAATCTGATTGGCTGATTCAAACGACAAGATGTGTGCAAAATGCGTACGGATGTAAAACCTAGCATGGTATGTTAAGTTATACCTAACAGATACTTGCTACAATTCACTACAAGTGCTTTAAGAAGGTGCAATTTAAAATGGGGTGATACAAAGGCTTTGGATTTAAACATGAGCTATCGTATCTTTGCCTATCATGGAGACTAAGCTCGTTATCATTAATGACGATCGAACCAAGTCATCCTATGAGGCATTAACTAAATGCACTCGATGTATAAAATAGAACAAACTGTCACTCAAGATGGACCCAAACCATATCCGTTAACTAAATGACAGGTCTAAATACAGAGATGTTGTCAAACTATAATATTTCCTCCCTTTTTCTCTCATATTCTAATACACCAAGTATAATCCTTCAAAAGACCCTATGAAAAGACCAGCTCCTTACGATAAAGGGAGCAGATAGCATGGCCTAAGTGAGTTGATTGTACATTATCTGATATAACAAAGGCTGACACTCCTTTTTGTTTACCAGGAAAAAGACAGCAATACACGGGAGGTAAGTTTAGCCGCACATTTAGATTGAAAACACAACTCTGGATGTTCACTCCATCCACTATGCTAGGGGATATGCCAGATGGAGTCTTACAATTTATTTATATTTTTTTGGGCTAATGAAAACCATATTGATCTATCTGATGACTCCCAAGATCGAATGATGAAAGTAAGGTTCAGCGGGGCGTTTGGGAATTGCCAATTCAGTCTTAATGAATTTATCCAGCGCTCGCAGCGCCTCTGCTTCATTTTCATTTTCCCTTTTTGTTTTTAAGTTTAACTATTTTATTTTATTTTAAGAAGCACAAAACAACCAATGTGTACAAATCCTTACGAAGAAGGGTTCAGGCTGACGGTGCTTTTCTTTTTCTCGAATTGAGATCAAAAGCAATTCATACTATAGGTGTCGTGGCCCGGGATGTTTGCTTTCGCCTTATAATACCCGTCAATGCTGCTCCAGCATCTTGGCTATGTACGGCCTTAGTGACCTCAGCAGATAATTTAAGCGCATGGTTCTATCAGACAGACGTAAGTTCAATGAGTTACACACATAAATAAAACAACACTACCTTAAACATGAACAAAGCATCAATGGTTTTACAAGCATGTTCTAGCTCAGTCGTGCTTGTTGGCAACGTCAGCTCTTCAACCAAAACAGGAACGAATACACCTTCTTTCTGCTGCAACTTATACATGTATCCAGTATAACCTACTCTATAGTATTAGAACTCGGATTAAAGTACTAAACATACATAACACTTACCAATGACATCCATAGCCAGGATGTCATTTGCTCTCATCTGGTATTTTTTCTTCAGAAAATCAAGATCGGAAGGCTCGATCTCAACTTCTGTTTGGCTGCCATGCGTGAGGCTTCAATCCTATTCAGTGTTAAATATGTTAGGAGAAAGTAATTTCTTTTTTTAGTCTTGTATCTTACATGGATTTGAAAATCTCCGGAACTTTGAAAGCACCGGTAATTTCAAGAATATACTGGTACAAATGTAGCTGTTTAGACGTAATACTTGTCATCATGCTATTGGTACTTACTGTTTACCGGCACTGTAATTGAGAAAAACCTAGTGTGAGCAATAATTTTTTGATGATATTTGGAACTTACCTTTGGAAATTTTCCTCCAGTAAATGATTGTCCGAAGAAGACAATTCGATGCATATGTGCAAAAAACAGGCAATGCCTACACCTACGTGTATTTTTTTTTAATTGTTACTGTCTTTTTTAGAGTTACGTGATATTTTATTTTTCTTACATATCATCGATCCTTAGCGGATCACCAACGACGGCCCACCCGATTCTCAGCCCTATCATAAGATAAGGGCTTACGGATACCAGGGAAGTCTTCGCTATATATAGCCAGTATAGCCTATCCAATAGTATTAGGACTCGGATTAAAATACCGCATACACAAACACTTACCAATGACAGCCATAGCCAAGATGCTTTCAGTCTTAATTCTGTATTTTTGCTGGAGTGAATTGAGAATCGAGAGGTTTGACCTGAGATTCTTCGATTGTTGTTTTAAGGCTGTTGCTGTACTTGTCAAAGGCTTCTTCCATTCGTCATTTGACAACTCGACTTTTGTTTTTCTTATCTTCATGTAAACAATTGCGTCGATTTTTTTTATGCTTGAAGTTGACAGTGTGTGAGTGGATTCGGCAGTATTCGGATACAAAGGCTGATTGGAGATCATATCTTCTTTTACCGCTAATGATCCAGGCTCACCACTAGCAGTTGATATATGCATTAATAATGGGTGTTGTAAATTCACTGGGTATTATCAAAAGCATACTTACTCTAAGACCTTCAACTGTGTTCCCTTAAACAGATAATCTAGCATTTTGGCAAAGTGACGGTATGCAGTGTTTTCACTGTCGGTGCTGGCTACCATGGTAGAAGTTTCGATCCTATTCAGTGTTAAATATGTTAGAAGATTTTTTTTTTTTTTTTGTCTTATATCTTACATCGGTTTCAAAATATCTAAAGCTTTGCATCTGTCTGTGTGCGCAAAATTATTCTGCTACAAACTTAGCTACTCTGATAAAAGTTTGATCATCACAGATTATTTCTACCTCCAAGTATCACCACCTCAGAATATCATCACCTCCGAGCATTGAATCACGACCAAGAATCACCACCATACTTGCATCACAAATTATGTTTGGAAAAGTGACGGTACGCAGTGTTTTTACTGTCGGTACTGGCTGCCATGCTTGAGATTTCAATCCTATTCAGTGTTAAATATGTTAGAAGAAAGTTTTTTTTTTTTTTTTTTTTTTTTGTCTTATATCTTACATCGATTTTAGAATATCTAAAGCTTTACATCTGTCTGTATGCGAAAGATTATCACGGTACAAACTGAGCTGCTCCGATAGAATGCTGATCATCATAGCATTGGTGTCAACCTTGTCACCACCGCTGTAGTTAAAGAAAACTTAGTGTGAGCAATAATTTTTCGATGATATTTGGAACTTACATTTGGAAATTTCCCTCCAGTAAATGATTGTCCGAAGAAGACAAATCGATGCATATGTGCAAAAAAGAGGCAATGCCTACACCTACGTGTATTTTTTTTAAATGTTACTGTCTTTTTTAGAGTTACGTGATATTTTATTTTTCTTACATATCATCGATCCTTAGCGGATCACCAACGACGGCCCACCCGATTTTCAGCCCTATCATAAGATAAGGGCTTACGGGTACCAGGGAAGTCTTCGCTATATAGCCAGTATAGCCTATCCAATAGTATTAGAACTCGGATTAAAGTACCGCATACAGAAACACTTACCAATGACATCCATGGCCAAGATGCTTTCTATTCTTAATTCGGTATTTTTGTTGGTGTGAATTAAGAATGGAAAGGTTTGACCAGAGGCTGTCGCTGTACTGGTCAAAGGCTTCTTCCATTCATTATTTGACAACTCGACTTTTGTTTTTCTGATCTTCATGTAAACAATTGCGTCGATTTTTTTGATGCTTGAAGTTGACAATGTGTGCGTGGATTCGGCAGTATTAGGATACAAAGGCTGGCTGGAGATCATATCTTCTTTTACCGCTATTGATCCAGGCCCACCACTAACAGTTGATATATTTATTATTAATGGGTGTTGTAAATTCACTGGGTATTATCAAAAGCATACTTACTTATTTCAGGAATTCCATAGTCAACGGCAAAAAAAGATCCATGGAAGTTATAGTCTCGAGAGAATTTCTGGACTTGCCATCAAACACACCAGCTCTAAGACTTTCAATTGCGTTCCCTTAAACAGATGATCAAGCGGTTTGGCAAAGTGACGGTACGCAGTGTTTTCACTGCCGGTACTGACTGCCATGCTTGAGGTTTCAATCCTATTCAGTGTTAAATATGTTAAAAGAAAGTTTTTTTTTTTTTTTTTTTTTTTTTTTGTCTTTGATCTTACATCGATTTTAGAATATCTAAAGTTTTGCATTTGTCTGTGTGCGCAAGATTATTTTGCTACAAACTTAGCTGCTCTGATAAAAGTTTGATCATCACAGATTATTTCCACCTCCAAGTGTCACCACCTCCAAGCATTGAATCACGACCAAGAATCACCACCATACTTGCTTCACAAATCATGTTTGGAAAAGTGACGGTACGCAGTGTTTTCACTGTCGGTACTGGCTGCCATGCTTGAGATTTCAATTCTATTCAGTGTTAGATATGTTAGAAGAAAGTTTTTTTTTTTTTTTTTTTTTTGTCTTATATCTTACATCGATTTTAGAATATCTAAAGCTTTACATCTGTCTGTATGCGAAAGATTATTACGGTACAAACTGAGCTGCTCTGATAGAATGCTGATCATCATAGAATTGGTGTCAACCTTGTCACCACCGCTGTAGTTAAAGAAAACTTAGTGTGAGCAACAATTTTTCGATGATATTTGGAACTTACATTTGCACGACTTCGTCCACCAACTGTTTGTCCGAAGACGACAACCCGGTGTGTTTAACGTCATCAGTGTCCTCCAAGGTCTCCATCTCCTTTTCGGTAAATTTTTTTTTAAAAAAATTATATGATGCGGGCTGCAAGATGTTAACAATACTCGAAATTGATAGCCTAATAGAAATATAAATCGTTGGCCACCACTTTCGTATAATACTACTTTTAGAAAAAATTACTTAGTTTAACATCATATCATCATTGTCATCAAGTGAGGATTTAAGCAATAGATTAGCAGCAACACCGTGAAGCTTTTCCTTGATTGATGCTTCTTTTCGACTCACTTGGCTTAAAAAAATGTTATCCTCACTATTAAATGGCTCTTTTGCCATCTGAATAAAATTGTAGGTTATTATTGTAAATAGTTTCAGTTTTTAAAAATTACCTTTTTGTAAAATATGCAATGGAGTTTTTCAATATCTTCAGATTTGGCCTCTTCGTTTTAGGCCTCATCTTCCGAGATTAAGAATTACCACGAATATGTTAATTAAAGTAACGCACAGATTTCCAAAGAAACCCATGCGTCTAGCGCAACCCAGCGGGTTCGGCTCGGGAGTGAGCATATGGGCGTAAACCCAAATAACCCATACGAGGATCTTGAAAAGAAACCCTTTCCAGGCATCTCTTTGAAGATGACCGAAAGAGACGATTAACCAGACTTGAAGGCCTCTTTTTGACGTCAACGAAACCGGTCTAGCCCACATTCAACACCAAATGAGTCTTTCATTTGCTTGAAATCACCACCAATGTTTAAAATTAATGGTGATTTTAAGAAATAAACTAAAGACGGAGGAGCAAAATAAGAATGCTTAAAGTATAAGAATAAATCATGTGCAATTCTTGATACAGACAGCGTTCCTTTAACGCGTAAATTTCAGTCCATCTTTTTTTTTTTAATAAATAAGAGGTAATGTTTTAACTAACCTTTTCACAATACGCAGTACTTTTTTTAAAAAAATGATAGTGTTAGAAAGAAGGGAAGAAGAAGGTGTGTGAACAAGTTTTGTATTTATAGACTGATAAACGATAGTTGGATTACGGCATGCTGATATATTTGTTTATCAGTGTTTCAGTACTAACACATGAACCAATGCTGAAGCATGATATGGTACGTCAGCATTATGTCATCTCAGTGGTCTAGATTTACTTTTTTATCAATAATTCTGAATCAACAGCGTTGTTTTGCACGGAGAACAAAATTAAAGTAAAACCAAAAGTATGTGTTAGAACTTGGATACCTCTTTATTATGGACGAGAAAAAAATAAATTAATTTAAAAACGTGTGATGGTCTATAAGAAAAAACCATAGATTTTTATATGAAGAACTTGATAGTTCTAGGGAGAATATTAAGCGCCTTATTGGATCATGATGTAATAACCTGGTGATAATAAATAATTAACATGTCTTTAAATTTAGCCCTTCCATACTGAGTATATAAATATTAGTCAGAGGGATCAACAGTAAACATCAGATGACAAGAGTAATATTTGTGCTCAGGATCTATTAATATTCTATAGTCCAGGCCCATTCGATTGTATTGCTTTTTTCAGAATAAATATTTACTCGACACAAGGTTGTGCCCTGTGTACGGACTTCAACGGTAGGATGAGAACAAGCGGCGGGTATTGTGTGATTCATGATTAACTTTTATATTTATTATCCATCCTTAATGTGATGTGACAATTAACTTTATTATTATATCTATTACACTTTCCAAGAATCTTCGATCGTCTTGCACATTATCTGTATAAAAGGCTATTGGGGGTCTCATGGCTGTAGCCTTCGTATGTATGCATCAGTTCGTTGAAAGACCATCGAAGATACTCGAGTGATTTTGAAGGTATTAACAACATCATTCTGATTTCTTCAAATTCGTTACAGATTGTGTATAGTGCATTGAACATATTAGTTCCATCAACACTCGCCATGTGTTTGGCAATCTTGAAAGAATGATCACCTTTCAATACCTTTCCACCTAAAAGCATCATTTGCTTGTCCATGTAAGGCCTAAGTTTTTCAATGACGGCAGTGTAAATGGTTCTAATATACGTCTGAGTAGGTGTATAACCTGCGTATCCTTTTTGGTTGTCAAAAGACGAAAAAGGCCCAATGACTGTTGGCATTGCAAAGAACGGAGTAATACTTTGATCCCCGTAATTGGCCTTTATAAAACATATCAATATTAAAATATATACAAAGAGGAAGAAAAGAATGGCTACCTTCATAGCAGTGAGATATTGTAGCTCACTGCGGTCATGCTTTAAAGTATGCAGCTCACGCAAAAACTTTCAGGACCCATCGAGTTTTGGATGCATGGTCTTAAGAGGTCACCCACTTGAAACAGCAACCTCTGTGGTTAAGTTATACGGAGGAGAATTCAGCTTTGTAATTGAATGGGCAATTGACGTGCCTGCTTAAAAAGCTCCGTTACGATGATTATCAAGACACCTGTATCTTTTTCTTGCGCTGTTACTTTCAGTCCTAGTTAGTAGACGCTTGAAGGGGGCGGAGCGAGTCTTCCCTCTTGTTCTTTGACTTGATAACTGTAATTTGATCTTTGACATTTGGAAATTGGTTTACAATGCGGTTAGGAAAGATTGAACGTAGGAACATTAGACACCATTTTAATATTTACTGCAAACCTGATTTCTCTAATTACCTCAATGGCTTTCACCATTGGAGCATAGCTTTAAACAAAGTAGTTTGTTGGAGACCAAGTCTCTATGGGATAGATGTTTTTTTTGGCTCTATGGCCTACAGTTTTTTTTTATTTTAGGCGGTCTTCCTGTTCTAAACGTGAAAGAGGTGATCTACATAAAAAATGCCATTTCCTGCAAAAAAAAAATCTCCGCTTATGTCTGCAAGGGCCTAGGCACATTAAGCTCATACATTTTATCAATGACATCTCTCTGATGTTACCCATTAACCAAGGTGGTATTATTTTAGAGAGTTGAATGATAAATTATACACGTCGTGTGTCAATATGAAAGAACATACTATACTAACGTATTGGACATAGTATCTGCATAAGGCCCTTCTCCTGTGAATGAAATCGGCCAATCAGGCTCACACTTAGTGATCGGACAGACAAAGCTATTGGTTATTTTTTAAAACCAGGACCAATGGCATTAAAAGCTAATGATCGGAATTTCCGGCCCAGATTCTGTTAGCCAGGACGGACCTCCGTAGGCCCGATAGGTACAAATGGGGGCGGCCAAAGCATCAACGTAAACCTGGTCAAGCAAGGCTGTAGAAGCACGGCATGTTCATGCTATATAAATCTGGTTCTTCGTACTACCAGGTGCACATATTTAGGTATTTTTAAAGCAATAATGTTTGTGAAACAGGACTTATTGTAATAAGTGCTTTAGAACCACCAAATTCATGAGCATTTGATGAACTGGTATGAACCGATAGTTAAAAAGGGATGCTGGTAATGTATAATTTCTAGAAAAAAGAAACGTAAGCATTCGTTTATATCAGACAGCTTAGAATGTCAGTAGCTCTCTAAATGCGAGTAAATCAATAAATTCAGTTATAACGGTTTTTGTAATAAGAAGAGCTCAAAATGCCAGAGAATGTATTTAGGGTATTTTACCTTTTATAAGTCATCCTGTGTTTGTGATACAGGTCAATTGGAATTAAGAGTTTATTAAAAGTTTTATTTATTAAGTAAGATTACTATGTATCAATGTCGGCGAGATGAGAGCGTAATAATACGATGGCATCAGATTAGAAAATAGACAACCCAACTTTGATCCTTTTTTTTTCGGGGGGTGCAATTGTCGCAATTTGATATCATTTCTTGGATATTTCAACTTATGAGCCATACAAGAAGAAAGCTTATGTATTGCTCAAGTGAAAAGTATAGAATACAAGTCAAATGTTACATACAGTTAATGTCTTTTTTTTTTCACACACACTGGTAAATAAGCTTGTTCCGGGAGTGATGGAGAGATGATTTAAGGAGCTGAGACCCACTCTCGGTGTCAAGACAAATATAAACAAAGACCTAATACGACTGCAAAAAGACATTGGAGTGAACTGATGAAAAGGCGATTAGGTCCTTTTAGACGGGCGTAGCATATTACACAAACAAGAACATGAATGTTTAAATGGCCATATTTTTTTTTTTGGGGCTGTGTAGGAGCAAAAAAGGCCTACGTAGGGATGGAAAAATTTATTTATGATGAATAGTTCCGTTTTCTAAAAAGTCAACCAGATCAACTTCCTCCCTTCGTTTCTTCATGCGAGCTTTAATCTGTTGGCGTTCTCTTTCGAGCATGGTCAAGATGACGAATTGTTCGGATCTTTCTTGTTCGAGTTCAAACGTCTTTAGTTTTTGCCAGTTAGCATGTTTATTGCATTTGCGAGGTTGTTGACATTGGGTGAATGACTTGTTGGGAGCGACGCGATGACCTTCCGAGTCTGTCAGGAGATGATTATTGTCTTCGCCTTGTTCGACATGAGCAACCTTTTCCCAGAGTGTATCCGACCATGAAAGCCTTGAGTCAAAACCACACAGTTCTTCCTTTTCATGCTGTATTAATAACGAGAGTAATTCGGACTTGTGCTCGCCAATGGCAATAATGAATTTGGCATGTAGCTTTTCATCCTTGACTCTGGTTAACCTTGAACGATCATCCTGGTCAGCAAAGGAACTGAGTTTGCCGCGCGAGAGAGGATTGTAATGACTTTGTGGGTCTGATGTGGCATTGCGTTTCTTCATTTCTGCGAGTTCGATACGAGCACGTGCTACTTGCATGCCACAGGTATCTGTACAATATTTGCTCAAATGACCCAGGTTTGTACCTATCCTTGCTGCTTTTTGGCAAGCGGGATTCGCACACTGTGGTTTCCATGAGGTCTTTTTCCCTGTAACTATATAAAAAAAAAAGCGCTGTTAAAATCGTTTGGTAGTCTCCAAGATGATATTCCCTTAATTTTTACCTTTGGCGCAGCTTTCGCAGAAATAGAGGTCGATGAATTCGCCTTGTTTTTCACTGATTTGGATGCATTCGCCATGAAACCATTGATCACATTTGTCGCATGCAATCATGAATCGAGGCACATCATAGGGTCGTTTACAGAAACAGTAGAGTGTGCTTGAATCTATTGAGGAAGGGTCTAGTGGTGGAGGTAATGGAGGTCTTGTTGAGAATAATGTGGGTGTTGCTGGTTGAGGAGAGTTAAGCACGACTTGTTTGGCTAATGGTGGTCTTCCTCTCTTTACTTTTTTTGCAGGCTATTATTTAATAAAGGGGAAAAAAAAGGGGAGGGGTTAGAAAGAAGAGGAAAATAAATAGATAGTTAAAAGACAATTACCCTTTCGCTGGGTGTTGCGGATGAGGATCTCTTTTTTTCTTCGTCTGTTTCAGTGGTATCTCCTCCTCCACCGTCAGAGACATCTGAAGAAGAAGGGTATGGTGGTGGGTATGTTGCTTTTTGTTTATAGTGTTCTTCAGGTGTTTCGACAGGTTGCCATTTTAAGATTGGGGCCATACGTTTTCGTAGAGGTAGACGGCTACTATTTTCTAAGCGTAATTCGGTTTCTTGTTGCATTATGTATAAAGTGTGTATATATGTGTGTGTGTGTGTGTGAAATATGTATAAGAGGAAAAAAAAAAAAAGAGAGAGGGGGTAAAAAGAAAAAAGAAAAAAAAAAAAGAGGAGGGAGGGGGTTGTACGAACTTTTTTTTTTTCTTTTTGTGACGTGTGAAAATTAATTTTTATTTGTACTGATGTATTTTGGTATCCTGTTCAGTGCTACTGCTACTGGAGAAGGAAGTATCAGGAATACGTGTGTGTTCTTCTACTGTCTTTTTAGGATGAAAGATGAGGATAACAATGACCCATACAATAATACAAGTGATGTTGACTAGATAATTCGGGGAGTGAGTCAGAATAAATAAATAAAAGGGAGGCAGTAAATGTCACTACTTACTATTACAAATCAAGAAATCAGCAGCAAACTTGTGCATGTTGATGGTCTTTTTGGCTGTCAATCCATCTGCACTCAAAATGATGAAACACAGTGAAAAAATAAAGAGTGCTACGGACAGTAGCAAATTCAAATCCTGAAAGTATTTCATCTTGTGCGTGATAAACTGTGCATCGTTGCGATATTGACTGTTACTCAACAGCTTTCGAAAACGAAAGTGGGAGACGCCTCCCAGCATCGATATCAACATCAGTTCTAGGATACATTTAGTCCTCTATCTCTCTTTCGTCGCTTATTAAAACTAGACGCATATTGTTTCTACCTTACCACATCCGTACACCAGTTGAGGCATGATTTCCTTGTATGTGTAGTTGTAAATGTCTCTGGAGAAATTGTATTGCAATACAGGGAACAGAATGATATTTACAATTGTCCTAAGAAGAAAAAAAAAAAAGGTGATGTTTAGTTTTTTCTATTTATATATATATATATAATCTGAAGGGTTTACTTTACATGATGATATAAAACTTGAACTCTTTGCTGGTCATAAATGTCGCTCTTGCCACGAGTTTAGCAAGATATTTCCAAAAGCACTGCAGCAACAATAGAGTACCGCTACAGTAAATAAGTTAGTTTTCCTATTACCCAAGATCCTTTCGTCTCTTTTTTGTGTCTTACATTTGTAAAGAGAAGCCGATGCACAGACTATAATCTATAAGTGTGTTAATTCATCCTATTGTTTATCAATGATGATCTGTTTTTTTAAATACCAGTGGGTGTGATTAAATCTCTGTCTGCCTGTGTCCATAGAAACTCTGGCTTTGTAACGATATGACCCAAGATTTGAACAAAGCCTTCCTCATACTTGACTTTACAGGAAGTGATGTCTAATGAGAAAGTATTAATAAAAAGCACCAGATGCCACAGTGTGCACTTGCCATAGTAAAGTTGAAAGGGTAGCATCACTAGAATCAGGGCAGTGACAATAGTTTTCAGCTCTCCTCTTTTGAACCGGTGCATGTACAAACAAGAATATCCACCCGTAATTTGAATACGGTACAAAAACCAGAGTAAGACATAACTTAGACCAATCGCTCTTTCTATTTAGGATGTCAACAATTTTTTTTTTTTTAAGAAAAAAAAAGGTTTGGAGGATCGACGGCTTACGTAAGAAACTAAAATCACTGAGATGGGTCATTTTTTAGATGGAATAAAAAATAATAATATTATGTTTGTAATAGTAAACAGAAAAAGAGAACCCTTTTTTTTTTTTCATCTGTTCGTTTATGATTTTTTTTGTTTTTATTTGATATCTGAATATTTAAGGAGGTTAGGGAGAAACCAAAGTTGTTTCGCCTTCTCAATTAGGGACAGCAGGAAAAAGATTTTATATAACGATGAAGATGACAAAAAAGAATACACAAGGGTTGGATTCTCACAGTGTCAGCAACAATTGTTGTGCAACATGTGACTGACCTATAAAAAATAAACCCACCCCGCATTTTTTCTATTTTTTTTTCTCTCTCTTCCTTCTTCTCTCTGCACTCTAAAATATCATGGCTGGTGATAAAGGACAATCTACCTCCAGTGTTCGTTCTGGGTAAGAAGGCTTACAACTTCAGTTTTTTTTTAGAGTAGAAAAAGGACTGACATGACATAGACACGAGTTAAACGTACAGGTACTGGAAACTTACCTTGTTCAACATATTCCTGGTTTCACGGCACCTTTAAATATCAGCCAGTTCCAACTTGGCCAATCCAACCCCACTTATCTCTTAAAAGACGCCAAGTAAGTTGTGTATACAACATAAGAAAAAAATAGGGATGCGTGTGCTTAATATTTCGGTAGCAAACAACAGTATGTGCTTCGTAAAAAGCCTCCAGGAGCCTTACTTTCAAGCACAGCACACGCCATAGAACGCGAGTACCGTATCATTCATGCCTTGGGCACAAAGACCGATGTGCCTGTTCCTAAAGTCTATGTGCTTTGTGAAGACACATCCGTGATGGGTACCCCTTTCTATGTCATGGAATTTTTAGCAGGTCGTATCTATGAGGATTGTCGCATGTTGAATCTGCCTTTTGAAGAGCGCAAGCAACTGTAAGTATTCATTTATTTCTTTTTCCGCCCCCTCTTCTCATGCATTTTTGTTTTAGCTGGTATTCGGCAGTAGAGACATTAGCGAAATTACACCGTGTGGATTTTAAAGCGATCGGGTTGGAAAATTATGGTCGTAACTCTGGATTTTATGCGCGTCAGATGAAGTCATTGAGCAGAGTGTCCAATGCCCAGGCCGTGGTGAAGGATGAGGAGACGGGACAGGTCGTAGGTCCTCTTCCCCGTTTAGAAGAAATGTTTGGCTGGTTCCAACGAAACCAGGTCTCTGACACTGCTACCATTGTTCATGGTGATTTCAAGATTGATAACATGGTAAGCTTTTCTTTTGTGTGGGGCATAATAACAATCCCTTTTTTTTTTAACTCATCCCAATGCTAGATCTTTCATCCTACAGAGCCTAGAGTGATTGGTGTATTGGATTGGGAACTCTCCACCATCGGCCATCCCTTGTCCGACTTGGCCAACTTATTACAGCCTTTTTATATCCCGGCCAATGTAGGTGGAGGTATGTTGGGATTCAAGGGATCAAAGGAAGCTTTACCTGTGCCCGGTGCAGATGAATTGATGGCTGTCTATTGTCGTATCCTGGGCCAACCTTACCCCATCTCACGCTGGAAGTTTGCTGTGGCCTTTTCCTTCTTCCGCTTGAGTGTGATTTTACAGGGTATTGCAGCCCGTGTGGCGCGTAAACAAGCGAGTTCAGCCGAAGCCAAGAGTTTTGCTGCTCGATTTAAACAGGTGGCTCAAATGGGACTGGATATTGTAGATGAAGGCAATCTTCAGGGAGATTCTAAATTATAACCTTTTATTTCTTTTTTTGTTAATGCCCCTTTAAAGCCATGGCGCCTGAAATTAAAGACATGATTTCATCCTCCTTTTGTATTTGGCTGTCGATTTGATATATCTAAAGAAAGGGATAAGTGTATGTATGTGTGTTTAGAGTGTGAATTTTACCTTTTTGATGGCATCCATGTCTCGGATAGAGGCAAGATGATCAAAGGAGACCATTTCACCTTCCACGCGTTCCTTAATATATGCTTCAGCCTAATTTTACATCAAAAAAAAGAAAAGAAAGGGATGAGACATTTTTTTTAAAAAAGTGATACGTAAGATCCCATTACTTCTTGAGCGGTGCTACTTCCTACACGGATCACCATCAAGTCTGTTGTCTCCACCTTGACACCAAACGCTATAAACGTTTTACCAATCTTTGATTGTGGGTAAGTATTTCTTTTCGGGGTTGAATAGAAAGAAGGACACTTACATTATTATTGATGCCAAAGGAAAAGGCGATTTCTGACTCGACATTGTTTGTTTTCAACTTGATTTGTTCATCGTGGAGTGCTCGATTCACGGCCAACAACAAGTGAAACTTGTTTAGAATCTTGGGCATGGTTTAGTTTTTTTTTTTCTTGATGTGTGTGTGTGTGTCAAGACCCATTCATTCTTACCATGTGTGCGTCAATAATGCAAAGACCCAGTGTGGGATCTTGATCGATGGATCTCTTTCTTAATTCAGTGGCATTAGTGACGTTTTGAAACAAGGCAAAATGGACAGGACCACGTTGAGGAGATAATTCTAACGTGTATGACTCCATGGCAACTTTATAAAAAAAAAATTAAAAAAGAAAGAAAAAAAAGAAAGCGTGTATATATGTGTGTGTGACAGTGATGGCAGGTTAGAAAAAAAAAAAAAAAAAAAAAAAAAAAAAGTGAGTGATTGAGAGAGAGAGAGAGAGAGAGAAAGGGAGGGATCATGTGTCAATTGTATCAGATTGATGGGAAAAAATTAGGGTAAGGGTCAATGCGTTTGTATAAATAGTTTGGTTGAGTCTTGTGTTTTCCTCCCTCTTCTTTCTCTCACATTTTTTCCTAAAAAAAAAAAAGGGATTGCAGTAGGATGGAAATATCCAAGCTACTAGTGAATAATACGGAAATCATCACAACAGTCGGAAAGGCGATGAATAGCAACAAAAAACGATATGCATGTACATGGCAAGACTGCCAAAAGACTTTTAGTATGTCTTTTTTTTTATTGATAAACAAAAAAGCCATATGGCTGACATGCAATTTTAGGCAGGCCATCGGATATGACTCGACATTATCGTATCCATACCAACGACAGGTAACCATGGAAAAAGATACCTTTGACAACTCTAGCTCAAACATCATTTTTGAAAAAAAAATAGACGTTATCAGTGCCCTCTGGAGCATTGTGGCAAAAAGTTTATTCAGGTAATTACTAAAAGAGAGAAAGCGCAGGATTAAGTAAACATAATTAACATTATTTGCCATATCAAGAGATCAGCGCTTAATGTACATGAACGCACACATTCGGGCGAGAAGCCTCATATTTGCCAGGTTACCGGTTGCAACAAGAGATTTGGGGATAGCAGTTCATTATCCAGACACAGGTAACTCTTTTTGTTTTGATGGATGATCCAGTAAAAAAAAACCCATGATGATGTGGATTCTGAACCCGCTTTCTTTTTTTTTTTTTCACATGAAGAAGAATTCATTCACAGACAAGATCTTTTGTTTGTGATGCAGATAAGTGTTCCAAAAGGTAAAAACAAAGAGAGGCTTGCGCATAAAAAGTAGAAAAAAGCTAATCTTGGGGGTCCTAGCTACACGAAAAAATCGCATTTGATAAGGCATCAACGACGTACACATGCATCGGAGAATAAGGAAGGACAACTATACCATATGACGACACGCGCCAGGGAGAAGCTCAATAATTCCTTATCCACAGATGATGATGAGGAAGTAGAAGAGATGCCTAACGTGATTTATGCAAAGAAAGTCACATCATCACCAGCAAACACAACATCACCAGCAGATGTCGCTTCTGTACACCCGAATTATTGGCTCATCTCACAATCACAGCCACCATGTCACACCAGTCCCATTCTTTATTCCAAAATCACGTTTTGTGAAGAGAGTACCTCTTATTACTATCATTAAATACATCTCGACCGTCATTCGTTTTTTCTTTCTTTCTATGCCATGCATTACGCACTCACACACTTATGACTTATGAATAATAAAAAAAAAATTGTTCCGTATAAAGAAAAGAGGTGCCACGATATAAATGATTGGTTAATAAATTGCTATTTTTGTACGCGCTTGTACTACATTACGCTGTAAAAACGTGGAAGCCGGAAAACATGATCCCGCTACCAATAAACCCAATAAAATTATATTAAGAGAAAAAGAAAAAAAAATCATATTATATTTTTGGACATGAACAAAAAAAAAATGGGAAGATGTTTGTAAGAGAAAAAAAAGCTTATAGGTATGGGAATTGTTGTAATTCGGAAAGGGGGGGGGGTGGAGGGACATAGATGCAAATAAAGAAAAGGTATAAAAAAGATAGAGAATTAGAACCAGCAAGTTGGTAAGATAAAGAAAAAGAAAAGTGTGTGTGTGTGTGTGTTTGTGTGTGTGTGTGTGAGGATAATGATTAGGACCTCTATAACCGGCCCTAAAACATTACATCAGATAATAAGGAGATTTAGCTTGGAGTTGGCTTCTTGGGGCACATCCTATTATCATAAAAAAATGAGTAAAAAGAACTTTTCAATTACATTCGAAGCAACTTACATGGAGTAGTGACCTTTTTGTCCACAATGAATACAGCGACCGTCAGACATATTGGCTTATTTGTTGGTATATATATAGAGAGAGAGAGAGTTGTTTATAGTGTGGTAAAAGAAAAAGTACTATCTTCTATTGACTTTTTTCTTTTTTTTTATAATTGAATTTTGGTTATATAATTAAGAGAAAAAAAAGGAAAAAAAGAGTAAAAGAGGGGCCCTTTTTATAGTTCTTTTACTTGTATGACGATGAAAAAAAAGGGTTGAATGCCGATCTCTTCCGGCACGTGGCGAAACAGACCCTCCGCCCGCCCAAAATGTCGTACAGGGGCGGTCATGGACGGAGAATCAGGTTGGCCTATGATTTATGTTGGCTGCTTTTTTTTCTTTCTATTTTGTTCACACTCCCAACATGATTTTATTCAATTAAGATTAGACTGATTTCTTTCATGGGAAATCATGTATTTTTCGGAGACCCTCATTTCGGCTTAAATGGATATTTGTAATTACATTGATTACACAGACACAATGTGGCTCCGCTCATTACACTTATAATACAAAAAACGTGTCTAAATGTAACAACTGACGAATTGTAGCATCTTTAGTTTATTGTCTTTGCTTGCACGTGGCTATACACTTTAGACCCGCTGACTTCTCTTTTACACAAAAACGCCACCTGACTGCACACAGCAATATCCCCCATGACGTCTTTCATTCATGACCTGCTTCCTTTTGGATCGAGTAGACTCTATGAACCTTAATTTGCCTTACCGTCACGTGCTCATTGGCTGCGCTTCTTCTACTTACCTTCTATCGTCGTCATGGTTCCAATAAGACTACTATATTCTAATCATCAATTTCCCATCTGTCAAACATTGCTTAATTTATACGCTACACAAATCTACCGCGCCTAGATTGTGACCCATTAAAGAGAAATAAATATTGCTCACTCACCACACAGCCTTTTTTTTTCTTTCCTTTTTTTGCTCCTTACTATCGGCTGTATCGGATAGAATCCCCGTTCTACCCCCCAATCTGATATTTATAACCGCATCTCGGACATTAACCTGACCGCATTTCCATAAAACAACTCAGCATTTTTCATTAGCAACGTGGTACGAGGTCTATAATTGAATTTTTTTTTTCTCGGTAGGATTTGTAATCTAAATTTTTGACAGATAATTAAACAAAGAAATGACAGTAAGACAAACTGTACCTTCTTTATCTTTTCAAAATCTTTCAACCCTCTCTTAGTGAAGAAAAAAATGATTGTCTAAGACCTAAAAGGGAATATTGTTCCCGTTTTACTAGACTTTTTTGCAATTAAAAAATGAGGCGTTCCTAAAAATATATTACTATGATACCCGGCAACACTGATATAAGTTCTCCCATACCGCCCGCCTCATTTTTTTTTTTTTAATATTCGTAAATAAACTCAGTGGCATTTGCTGATTCTTCCCACTTTGGACCAGAGCTACAGGTATAAATAGCTACATGTCAATTTTTTTTTAAAAGTCCTTTCCGTTCTATCATGCATAACGAGAATGATGAAAGCAAAAGCAAGTGCAATTAGTTATAAAATACACATAACCAAGCCTCGAGAAACTTATTCCATTGTATCTGTTTTTTTATAACTTGATGAATGTGATAAATAGCATTATGATATGACAGTATATATCACCACAGAAAAATGAGGAACTTAAATGGATCACATAATTCAACTCAATGTCCTGTCTTTTATCTAAACTTAGAATAGCCACGTTAAATAAGGACACACCTTAGTACACTCCTTCTGTCTTTTTTTTTTCAACATTATATACAGTCCTTATTCTAGTAGTGTTTTTATAACAAAAAAAAAGTAGCTTGAAAGTCTTTCTAATATAATCAACTATTCACTTATTTTACCCTATGTTGATTAGGTACCAATCATTTGAACTTGGAGGAAGCCCTTAAAGGAAAAAAATAACTTCCTTACTAAAGCAAGCTGGTCTCATAATATCACGCAAAAGGGTATGGGTGTCAACACATCTGTTCTCCCCTTGTAACAGAAACTGGGGGGTCATATTTCAAGTCGGCTAGTGAATCCTTCCAGTCATGTTTGAACATTCTGCGTAATTCTCATGCGCTAAATTGTTAAACCTATAAAAACTTATAACGGAACCTAACCGATTCAACGCAGATATGTACAATAACTTCCGAGTATCAGAAGTTATTATAGCTGATGATTCAGAAAGCAAGAAATTATGCGAATTGAAAAGTTCGACAGGGAGGTTTTTTTTATTTATAACAGAAATAATAATCACGAATTAGATAATAAAAATGCAGCATCTACTGTAGCACCAAACAAAAGTGCAATCAATGGTGGATGATGTTATAGGAAATGAGGCTGCAAATTACATAATAATTAGTCAAACTAAATGAGATATCCAGATAAAATTTATTTTAGAACATTTATCTTATTTAAACATACTAGTCATACCTCAGAATGTTCTTTATGTGAATACATCGAAAGAAAAATGTGGCGTTGCTGTAAATGATAACAGTAAATAATTCACCAAACAAGACAGCCCCCGAAATATCGTAAAATTGCTATAATGAAGGATGATCAATTTGCATCAATTACTGTGAAATTATAAACTGCACTGAAATTGTATTGCCAATGAATGAATTATCTAGGCAAAGGAAAAAAAAAAAAAAGTGACTTTTCATAAGCAAATGGGTGTAACTCACGAGTAGATAGTGACGATAGTAAACATTACTGATCGTTATACCGGAGGATGTTGATTTAAATATACCACTACAAGACCCCCTCCTGCTCATACCTTGAAAGATTATCTATCTTTCCTGGGGATAGGAAAAAAAGTGCCCAGAGAGAGAGAGAGAGAGAGAGAGGGTGCACTGCAAGAGTCAGGTGGGATGAGGAACGTAATGCGAAAAAGCAGCCAATGAAAAGACAGAAAGAGAAAAAACCGCGCGCTACAATCGGTGTTTTTATTGCCCGCACTACATAACCCCCTCCCTTCCTTTTTTTTTTATTTTTGTTCTAAAATGTACTCCAAAAGTTCATCGCCACCTCGCTATACATTACCTCCTCTGTCTCACTTGCAGCAGCAACAACAACAACAGCAGCAGCAGACAAACTATTATCAAAAGTCGACGTTTTCTTATTCTTATCCAGAAGAAGAATACTATCCAGTCTACAAGCAGGAATGGTCACCAGGTAAAAAACAGTAGTGCCCATGTTTAATGTAACCACTAAACAATAAAGTGAAAAAAAAGCCGAACCTGTGCTGGAAAGTCTAAAGTTGAAAAAGAAGCGAGAAATGGATGAACGGATAGCGGAAATTGACCGTGAATTTCTAGAGAACCGACAAGTGTAAGCATAAAGTTAAAACGAAAGAGAAAGAAGGAGGTTGATAAGAATGATAGGCTGTACGATGAAAAGATGAAGCAATTGCAAGGAGAATTGAGCGCGGTAGAGAAAGGAAGACACGAGATTTTTGATACAAGTATAGCTGATCTAGATGAGAAGCGCAGAGAGACAATCCATGATGCCAAATTAATGATGATTTATCAGATATCCAGTGTGGATAAGCAGTACCAAAATAATTATAACAAAGTGCATGATGAATCACTGGCAGAACAAAAAGAGATCCAGAATGCTCTATTTACAATGATCGAAGAAAAGCGAAAGAAGCTAAAGATCGATAAGGACGGTGAAGGTGACCTAATACTTCCTCCGCATCAAACAAGACATAGAAAACGTCTGCAGAGAAAACGAACGGACGATATCCTTCAATCTCCTCCCGTCAAGAAAAAGCTGGAACGCCAAACAAGTCACCTTTTGGGCGTGCTTTCTCACCGTGTCGAAGGCGATATTGAAGCCGATTTCTACGCCATGAGAAAAAAACCCTTCTAGTTTCTTTAAAAAAATCTTTTTTTTTCTTTTCTTCTTTTTTTAAAAACAATACATTCATAATGTCAAGTTTTCGAGGCTTGGGTATTTTATGCTTTTACTCTAATGACTTCTTCCAAGGTCATGTCATTGACAGAACAACCAATGATTCTCCTTTCAGTCTTGCAGGCAAGTTGTCCAATCATGTCGATCCCAACCATCATGAGTGCATGGACTTGCCAGACTTTTACAATGTATTGATTCAAAAGCACAATACAAGCACAACCTTAGCTTTAGTCGTACGACGAGCCAAAGATAATGATGCTGCGGGACTCTCCACACATGAACACGAAGCAGAACTCAATAACGGTCATCAATTGTCTTTTATCACCCATCAATTCTTGACAGGCACACAAGCCTATGTGATGCAATCCAAGTATTTCAATCGACATGAGCAAGACGTTACTGTCTGTATTGGTGAAATTGTATTGACAGAAGAGATTCAATCATGAAGGGTTTATATTGTAATAATAATAATAAAAAAAAAAAGGCTGCATTATACACATGTCATGTAAAAAATTGAAATTCAGTGACTGTGACTCTTGAAATGCTATTTTATAAGCCCTACTTACCTTTTTTTGTTATTCTTTTGTTTCTTCTATTTTTAAATTTACAATGACACAAGTACAAGTATTTACTGATTTCGATGGAACACTTTCTTTAGATGGTAATTTTAAAGTGGGGGACGAAAAAAAAATCACAGGCTGATCCAATTTCCTTTTCTAGACACCGGTCTCTTATTGATCGATGATCGTCGTTCTATGGGCCCTGAGCGTAGACGGGTCCTTGAACACGAGATTTTGGAAGGCACCAAGACCTACCGGTACGTTTTTAGCCTTTATTTATTACAAAATATTTACACAGGTGTAGTGATGCCGTACAAGAAATGTGGGATTCTGTTCATCTCAGCTGGGATGAAGCTTGGGCTGAATATTTCAACAGTAAAAAATAAAAACGAAAAAGAAGAAAAAAGACTCCATGTTAACAACTAATGTATAGATTGCACCATCGATCCCGGTTTTCCTGCCTTTAATGACTATTGTCGTGAAAACAACTTTCCCGTCACAGTTGTCAGCAGTGGGTTGATTCCTGTGTTGGAGAAAATCATGACGAATTTCTTGGGTGAAAAAGCCAAGGATATCGAGATTATTGCCAATAAGGGTGAAGTCACTGGCCGTGATTGGAAGATTACTTGGAGAGATGACAGTATCTATGGCAACGACAAGTCCAAGAGTAAAGTATATGTATTACGTATATTTTGTATGTTGAAGCTAATTTTATTTTTATTTTTTATTTTCGCTCTTCCTGTTTAGCGTTAGAAAAGGCTCGTGCTACTGCTACCAAGGACACCATTTTTGTTTTCTGCGGTGACGGAGTATCTGATATTTCTGCAGCCAAACATGCTGACGTCCTGTTTGCCCGTCGAGGACGTGATTTAGAGTTTTACTGCAAGAGAGAGGATATCCCTTTTATTGCTTTTGATACGTTTGCCGAGGTAGAGCAAGTGGTGAAGGATTTGGTAGAAGGAAGATCTCGCATCGAGACATCTGCCAGTGGATTCTGTCAGGTTGTCCCAAAATAAAACAATAAAGCACAAAATAGATGTTCGTGTCACGCGACACGATTTATTTTTTTCCACCCCCGAAAAACGGGTGCAGACAAGCAATAAAGCATTAGACCTTCCCCTTGTAAAGGATGGTATAGATCTCTTTGTAGAAAAACAGCTTCAAATATCGATCTCTTGATATAGATGGATTCAATGTTTGGTAGGTAGAGACTTCATGACAAGTCTGTGGCGGAGATTTTTTTTTTGTTACTGAAATGAGAAAAAAAAAACATAGCTAGCATTCTGCTTGAGAGAAACCTTTTCCAACACGTTATCCGTCTATGTACTTGGAACGGATGTGAAATGGGCAGGTCAAGATTCAAATCGCCTTGACGTCTGTTTAAAGTACTGGGTAGTTGTTTCTCTAATATTGCATGCAAAAAGGCTGATATTCTAGAGAGCTTTCCTCTAAAAAGATAGAACTTATTAATAATACCCTTTAAAGCCCTGCTCAATACAAAACAGAAAGATATCGACAGTAAGCCCACTGTTAAATACCGTGGCTTTAGCCATTATTAGGATGTCCGTGTCCATAGTCAACACACCAAGACCTCTGGTCGTCATGGTGTATCCAGGAAGAAATAAACATGCTATTTCGTAATGAAAAACAATGCGTGTTACAATTTGATTTAAAATAATTATGCTTCTCAGAAGTCTAGCAAAAACATGAACTGTCAAAAATAAATTCACACATGTAACTATATATAATCCCCTGATTTATCACAAGTAGAACGTGTTCATGCAAAAAAAAAAGAAACGTGATTTGATAAAAAAAAAAAAAGAGATATCCCAATGTATATTTTTAAAAAAAGAAGAGACTATCTAAATGACGATCATCGCACTAATTTTTGTATACATATCACACAATAAAAAAAAGGAAATTTACTTGAGGGGAACAAACTTGGAAGAATGGGTGGCACCAATACCGGGACGACCATGCTTAACGGGCTTGTAAGAGATGGAGAATTCGGCAAGGTAGTGACCGGTCATCTCGGGCTTGATTTCGATTTGGTTGAAAACCTTACCGTTATAAACACCAATGACGGAACCAATCATCTCAGGGACGATGATCATGTTACGGAGATGGGTCTTGACAACCTCAGGCTTCTCACCAGCGGCAGCAGACTTCTTGGCAGCACGGAGCTTCTTGATGAGACCCATAGGCTTACGCTTAAGACCACGTTGGAATCTTCTACGAGCACGACAGTGAACGAGCTCCATGAACTAATTCTTGTTGTTAATACGATAACGCGTCATGTTTTACTTTCTCTTATTTTACCTGTTCAGAAGACAAGTCCAAGAGGGCGTCAAGGTCAATACCACGGTAGGTAAACTTACGGAAAGTTCTCTTTCTAGGAGTAGTTTGCTCGTCAGCCTAAAGCAAGAAGAATGTTTAATGAAACATGTTCATAATGAGACTGTACGAGTAGCAATAAAAAAAAGAAAAAGAGAGAGTGTGGGTGTGTGGGTGTCTAAGGTGTTCATGTGTCGTTCAGTGTTTTTAATTTCCTCTTCATTGTCGATTCCATTATCCATCGGTTTCAACTTTTTTTTTTTTTTTTTTTTTTTGACTATCACCTCAGCTTATCCATCCATCCAATTTTTGCTGTAATCCATTATGCTGTATCCCTTCTTTTTTTTTTTTTTTTGTACATAGAGTCTCATTTTTATAGAGTGTATATACAATACCATGATGAGGAAAAAAGGGAAGATTATTGGATTGTGGGTTTGAACATCCTATAAGTTTTTTTTTTTTTTCAAGCGCGCGTGTGGTGTGTGTGGTGTGTGCGTCCTGTCTGCTCCCTTACCTCTCCCCCCCTCCCCTTAATTCTTACTCAACCCTCTCTGAGTCTCTGTCCGGGCCGGACTATTCGGTGATTAAATATATACGAAAGCCTCATTTTTTTTTGGAGTAATTTTTTTTTTCTTTTCTCAGTCCCTAAACTAGTAAACAACAAAATATGAGACCCATTTTACTTCAAGGTCATACCAGATCTTTAACCCAGATCAAATATAACAGAGAAGGCGATTTACTTTTTTCTTGTTCCAAGGATAAGGTCGCTAATGTTTGGTACTCTCATAACGGTGAACGTCTCGGTACATATACAGGCCATCAAGGTGCTGTCTGGACAATTGATGTTAATGGTAACTATATTTTGTGACTACGTGTATTTCGACTCTTTTTTTCTTGCTTGGGAAAAACTATGCTTGTAGATAACCATGAAGAGAAAGAGAAAGAAAAAACAAGTAATGCATAACTAACTCTATTATGTAGCTTCTTCTACTTTGTGTGTTACCGGTTCTGCTGATAACTCTTGCAAGCTCTGGGAAGTTCAAACCGGTCGTTGTTTAAAGACCTGGGAATTCAATACTGCTGTCAAGCGTGTCGAGTTCAGTGAGGATAATTCAATGGTTTTGTGTGTAACTGAAGAGAGAATGGGTTATGCTGGTACTGTTACTGTCTACCCCGTCAACAACGATATCAATGGCAAGCGTAAGTTACTACTATAAAAAAAATTTTTTTTTTGTTATATATGTATATATAAGAGAGTGTAAACTAATGAAGCCTTCATTAGAATCCGATACACCTGTTGTGACCATTACCAACAAGGGTGGTTCCAAGGCTGTTGTTGCTGGTTGGACTTGTTTAGATAAGTACATTATTACAGGTCATGAAGATGGTACCATCTGTCAATGGGATTGGAAGACAAACGAAAAGGTCAAGTCCATTACACCTCATGAAGGTGTTTTATCCGACTTGCAGTTCAGTCCCGACCGCACCTATTTCATTACTGCTTCCAAGGATAAACACGCAAAGATCTTTGATTCGTTGACACTTGACGTCAAGAAGACATATGTTTCCGACACACCTCTTAACTCTGCAGCCATTACTCCCAAGTTCCAAGAGTTTGTTATTTTGGGTGGTGGTCAAGATGCCATGAACGTCACTACCACCTCTGCCAGACAAGGTAAATTCGAGAGCAGATTCTATCACAAGATCCTTGAGGAGGAAGTTGGTCGTGTTAGAGGTCATTTCGGTCCTATCAATACCATTGCTGTTCATCCCGACGGTACCAGTTATTCAAGTGGTGGTGAAGATGGTTACGTTCGTGTCCATCACTTTGACCCTGATTATTTTACTTTCAAGCTTGAGATTTAAAATTGTATATCACAACAACCCCAAACAACAACCAATTTATAATACAAAAAATAAAAATATTTACATAATATAGAAAAATTTATTATTATTATATTTTTTACTTATTAGATCGAAGGAGGGTCTACCACTGATACTTGTTGATTCAGTTGATCAATCACTGCTCGTGTCAGGGAAGAATTCGCTCTTCCTTGTGTCTTTAACCTCGCTTGAGGTGCTGTAGTCACCATGGGTGTTGAGATATACGTCTCTTGTATGGGTATTACTTCTTCTTCAACGGAAGAAGGAGGCCGTGTAATATATTTCACGGGTGGTGGTGGTGGGAACTGTCGGTTGGGTTGGTTAAAATGGACAGCTGCCCATCTAGGGTGTTGTCGCTCAATATCCATGAGTGTATTCTCTAATATTTTAATGCGTTCAAAAGTTGAAAACGGAGGTTTTGCTCCCTCATCCAGTCGAATATTCAAATGCTGTTCTATATTACTGATGCGTTCACTGGGATCGGCACATGTGTTGCTGGTGCTTTTTGATAGATCTTGTTGTTTATTGGCATCGTTATAGGAGAGTAAGGATCGTGCTAGAGGACCGTCTTCGTTATTGACAATATCAAACTTCATTTGAATGTTTCGATTGATTTCACGCGCATCGGTCCTTGCACACGTCACATCGTCTGCCTTTGGATCGTGTCTACTAAGAAACTCTGTACGGTTACTTTCGTCTAATTCGTTTTGTTTGGCTTGAATGAAGGTATTAATGCGTTGGTTCACTTCTTCGGTGGTGGCTCTAATTTGAATCTGTTCGGGATCGAGTCTTTTGGCGCGCTCACGTTCTTCTTCTTCTTCATCATCGTCGTCGTCTGGTCGTTTACGTTTTGTGACGAGTAGATCGGCATGGGTCTTGTCGTTTGATTCCAAGAGTTGTTCTTTGGCATTGACATGGCGTTCAAGAGAGACCAAAAGGTTTTCAACAAGTGTATCCAGAGCCTGCGGTAATTTTTGAAGGTGGTGGCGTGAAAGTACGATTAATTCGGATTCGAGACACTCGCTGGTTTCCACAAGTCCAATATCTTTCAGGAATTGTGATAATTCTTTATTCCACGATAAAGCCATTGTCTGTTATGTGTGTATGTATGTGGTATGGTATGCAAAGGAAAAATATGAAAATATGGCTGTTGAACCCCTTTTTCCCAGTGAAAAAAAAACAATGATAAAAAAAAACGTCACATACAATAAGAACCCGTCAAAGTGTTTAGTAGGCCACTAGTCTTTTTAAATTTTAGCTGTGGATTATCTAAATCGACTATTGTAACAGTTTTATATGATGAGATAAATAGGGACCGCATATACCGGAATAACCTCCGCCCTCAGGTAGATTCCCTAGTTAACTTTACAGGTGGTAATAAGAAAAAAAAACGGGTTTTTGGTATATGCAAGCTTCATGAAAATCTAGAATAAACTTTATGTTTATCTGAGGTAGCATGTTAATTTTTTTAAATAATTGGTCTCATCACTCAATATTCAGTGTTATTATAACCCTGCTCATAAAGTGCAATGTATTTCTTGCGTAGGAAGGTAAAGTAAATTAAATGAATCAGACGTGTCTAGCTTTTATATATATTTTATTGGTTTGACATACTTTATAAAACGCTACTACTGGGTCAAAGGAATGTATGTGTTTGACTTGAGAATGGCCGTGTCTTGTTTTAATTAGCATCCATCTTAATTGCTGTACATAATCGATGATAAGGATATATTCAAGGTGAATGTGTCATTGTTTAGTTAGTCCCAGGACTTCGGATGAACAAGTCGAATGATTTTATGTCATCCAATTAAAAAAAAAAAAAAGGACTAAATCTCAAATAATGAATAGTTAAAAAAGAGTTCTGATATATTTTGACAAGTGTCTCTAGGTTTTTAAAAAAAGCTATCATAGTAGTAAGATGAGACGGCATTATCAAGTCGGCATCATTTTAAAGTGATCTAGATCGTCCTTTTTATTTTATTTCATATTTGGGTTACTGTATCATCAAGAGAGATAAATGAAAAAGAAAAATTAAGAGGACTTCCCGGATATCCAAGTTAATTTAGTAGAAAGCAAAAAAAAAAGGGAGACACTATGTGATGTGTGATGCTTGTTAGCATCATCATACTCAGATGTATATGTAAAAAAAAAAAAAAAAAAAAAAAAAAAAAAAAAAAAAAAAGAACAAATAGGTTACAGGCTAGAATAGAAATTGGGAGGTGTGTTCATGCTTTTCGTCAGCCGCCGCCCCCCTAAACTGAGAAAGATTGATTGCTGTCGCCATGGTGAAATTGAAATTTTATCTCGGTTTTATCAACCGGCACTAAAAATCGACTTCACATGAGCCCATCAGTAATGTTTATCATTTTGAGTTTGAGGAAAAATAAAAGGGCCATTGATGAAAATAGGGGAATGTCTTCAGAACGGGTATAAGTATATATATATATATATATAAATACAAAAAAAACATGTCATTTAGTTCTTGTGATTGCTTTTTTCTTCTTCTTTTAGGTCATAAAACTTCATTTTATATAACTTTTTCTTTCTTTTTCTATTTTTTTTTTTTTTTTTTTTTTTTTTTTTTTTTTGTGTGTGTGCGAGAGATTGATATATACCAAGATAACATGAAGTCTGCGAGATTTAAATGGATTGTGCTGTTTATACCACACATGACATGTCTACTTATCCAAGACAAACTCAAACTGACACCTCGATGGGCTAACGGCAAGTTCTTTTGACTAGAAGCCCCTCTCAAAAAAAGAAAAAGATAAAAAACTAACTTTTCAAAAAATAAAAGAGCAGAATGCGTCCTGCTAAAATTGAAGGGAGAGCTTTTATGCTTTGGTGGACAACAAGAGAACGGAACACCAATTAATACAATGCATTCTTTAAATCTGTATCAGTCTTGGAACACAACTGATCCTGCTTGGTCAATGGTAGAACCAGCCCATCACGATATCATCCTACCTACGGCCTTTGCTGCATCCACTTATCTCACAAATTCAAACCGTTTTCTTGTTGACGGAGGACTACAATCGCCTCATAAGACTATTTACTACGATACATTAAACGGTATTTGGTATAATCCAATCATCAAGGGACCTCCTTTACTGAAAAGGTATACATATGTGAACAAAAGGAAAAAAAAATCATGCATTTAATTTAATCCTTTGAAATTTTATTAGAAAACAACACACGGCAGTGTCAGATGATCATGGTCGTGTCTGGCTCTGGGGAGGTTTAAGGTTGATATATATTTTTTTTTTTTTTTTTTTTTTTTTTTTTACATATTGTATATCTTATGCTCTTCCTTAGTGACACATCTACTTATGGTGGGCCGACACTATATTATAGTAATTGGACATTAATTGATACACTGACATGGACCATCAGTTTTCCTACGGTGCAAAACAACCCCCCTCCGCGTATTGATCATACGGCAACTATGATATCCAACAAGTATATTCTTATAATTGGCGGTGTTGTCTATTCGCATGATGTCACTGATCCTGCCGGAAAATTTACGTTGAATCCAGTTTCCATGAGCTCGTTGTTATTATTCGATATACCCAATAATCGATGGATTAATATTACAGCCGGAGGAAACATTCCTGCTCCCAGAAGAGGTCACTCTGCTGTACTAAGTAAAACATAATTTATTATTGAGATGCATGTACATGGATATTTAATTCAACAACTTCCCCCTCCTCCTTTTCCATCATTTTTTTTTTTTACCCTTTCATTTAATTTTTAGGCCTTGATGGTAAAAGTGTAATTATTTTCGGTGGTGGTATGCCAGAAGATGGACATGGTCAATTAAATGATGTCTTTATATTAGAATTAGAAACTATGCGATGGAAAGCGCCTTCTATAAAAGGTGTGCCTCCAAAACCAAGAAGATATCACAAAGGTATTTAAGGTATTTGTATGTGTGTATTTTTGCTAATTATTCTAAAAAATTGTCTTAATCTATCCTGTAGCTTATTTGGTGGATGATGTCTTGCTAGTTACATTCGGCTTGGGTGGAGACGAGAAAGGATTCGATGATGTGAATATTCTGAGCACTTCCAGTTGGTCATGGATTACACAATATACAGCCAATACAGCATGGTTAGCAGGCAACACCACGAACGGTGTAGTCAAAAACAATACAGGTAATAAGATGTGTACCGCACAAAACAATTTATTAGATATTAACATGCATTTGCTATTGTAGGTAATGGCACAGCATACGACCCCAATGGTAAAAAAAATGAGGCTGATCATGATAATTCATCAGAGACTCGTATCAAGGCAGGTGTCATTGCAGGTGTTGTGAGTGGAGGAGTAGTGATTGTAAGTATAAGATATGCATTAAAACGAAATGAATCATTGATCAATTATTATTTATCATAGTTAGGAGGTGGTATTTTTCTGGTTCTAAGTGTAGTCATATTTCGAAGAAGACAAACCAAGACCAAAAAATCTAGTAATAGTAATATAGTTGATCCAGCTAGTAGTAGTATTAGACATGATAATGAATCCACTATTTCAGTTTTAGTATTAGAGCCCGTGACAGTAGCACAATTTCAGAAACCAGACAATCGATCATCCATTCGTTATGCTACGCAATTAGATGATGGTCAATACTATAAACCAAATGAAGATTAAAATCGTTCTTTTCCCATATATGTATCATAGCTCATCTTCCCTCCCTCTCCTACTTTCTTTACTCCCTCTTTCCTTCTTTCTTTTTACAAAAGAACAAACAAATAAACTGTATGATATTCCCCAAGTTTTCTTTTATTATTAACATGACTAGAGCCAGCCTGGTCTATGTTGATGATCATATGGCACTTGGTCATGATCAAAAGTCTCTATAAACTATTATATTAATTAAAGAGGGGGTTTGCATAAAGGATAGATTTCAATAAAGCAATACCTCTTGATCCGCTAAAACTTTTGTGCCTGCAAATTTACGATATTCATCAAAGATGGATGTCATGGACCATCTTTGGATCTTCCTTAAACAACCCACTAAACAACCTATTCGATGCTTTTGCTCTTGGTGTTACTTTTTTTTTATGAAAGAAACCAAACTCGTGTCCATTTCTATTTTACCTTTCCTTTTAAACAATGAATAAGAACTAGATGGGGGATGATTCAGTTTCTAAAGGGTCTCTTTATTATGCATGTGTTGTGTACATACCTGGGTGACTTCGTTTGTCTAAAAGCTTGACTAAAGCGTGTGAAATATCTTCTGGATTCACTTCAATAAAAGGCTCCTTATTTCCCTCTGTTTTATAGTGCAAGACTTCAATGCCTTCCTGTTCCACAAAGTGTTGCATCTCTGAAGGATAATCTTCCATGGCAAAGTACCTGTGTTCGTCGCAATCTTTAGTTGTTATTATCTTAGAATCTGGTTCCATTTCTTTCCAACCCAACTTACATGATGGTCTTTAGGCCTAATTTTCGCAAGAATGCAAAGTTTTGTTTGTTGGGATGACCTGATCGGTATACGCCAGAAGCAATCATGGCGAAATTAAGTGGAGGTACTAATGGCATGCCAGGTCTTGTATAACACACGGGACAGCTGTCATAGTAATGATCGGCATGGGTACGGTGATGGGTGGTGATAATCACGTTACTTTTCTCTCGACTCATGGCACTCATTTTCTATACAGCGATACAAGAAGAGGAAACTTTAGGTTTCCCCTCCCGACCCCATCATGATGATACTTTTTTTTTTTTTTTTTTTTTTTTTGGATTTTGCATTTACTCACGTGATAGCTTTTTAGATAGTGTAATAGCCTACATCATATGTTGTCCCTCCAACGGCTTAAAAGGGTTTGGTGCCCTGTAAATCATGCGAGTCTATAAGTGAAAACACGGTGTTACATGTGTATGTGTTTTTAAGAAAGGAGAGTGTTAAGGGATACCACATCGGGATAAGTCATGCTCAAGATCCTAGGGCTTTTCTACTGGACATTCAACGTACATTGAACAAGAGCTTAAGTAAACATCAGACATAAAAAAAAAGACACGTTTCCAAGTATCGATGTGTCAGTTAGGACTAGTTGTCTGTTTTGTAACCGTTTTATGATGTAATGCATGAAAATTTGTTAATTAAAGCTGTAATGCTTATCATTTCGAAAACGGTTCTAAAAGAACTTCTTTTTATTTCTGGTCTCTTCTCCTTCTTTTCTCTTCAACTTTTATATAAATATATATATTATGCCAGGATTATTAAACATTGAACAAAGTAATAAAATCCACGATGTGAGCACAAACCCGGCATTTAAAGGTAAAAAAAGATACATGATGTAAATTACAAAAGACATAAGCAAATAAACTTTGAAAACAATAGTACAGGAATTTGAAGAGACATCCACAGGTTCTTATTTTCCAAAGTCTACCAGTAGCTTACTGGAAGATAATCAACAACAGCAACTTCGACCTTTGGAACAACGACCGACGGTGTTATCCGATATGGGTCGACTGTATACGTCTGTGCGATTTGAAGACACTAAAACCGAGGGAAGACCTAGTATCTATCTGTTCATCTTTGTCAACCCACTGTCTGGCGACTGTAAAGGACAAGACTTACTAGAATTAGCGATCCAGCATTTCAGGTTGCGTCGGTTTCCTCAGGTCCAAGTCGAGATCCACAATATCTTGGATGAAAAGGATCGGACACTTGGGTTTGAACGTATCCAGATTGTGGAGACGATGGCTAAATCTGGCAAGCTTCCATGCTTAGACGAGGAGGAAGAGGATACCGAGTATAAGATTGGTGCCACAGTCCGAACAAGACATATTCATGTATGGTCATGTGGAGGAGATGGTACCGTTATGTCCTTGTTTGAACTTTTAGTAGAGAATCATATTGATCTGGACTACATGTTTTTCTCATGTAAAAGCAACAATTTACTTATTCCCAGATGTTTTTTTTTGTTAATCTTTTTACTAGGTATTCCATTTGGCACTGGTAATGATTTTAGTCAGGTGTTGGGGTGGGGTCGAACTATACCACATAAAGATATATTGGGTAAACGCTTACAACATTTGGAAACATTGATCACTGAACGATTACAAAAGTCAGAAGCTGCAAGATTGGATGTATGGGAGGTAGAGATGTCTGCATGCGATAGTGGGTATGTCAGACTGGCAGGACCACAGCGCAAGGATGGTCATGATGTGCTTGAGATTGATGAACGCGAGCAGCAAGGTGATTATCCATCCGTCACACGAAAGATGTGCAATTACATGTCGATCGGTGTGCAAGGTTACGTGGGTTCCGGGTTTGAGAAGCACAGGGCTGGGAATCGCTTTGCCAATATGATGGTCTATACCTGTGAAAGCGCTAAATGGGTCTTTTGGCGCAGATTTCCTGCTGTGACCAATTTTATTGAGAAGATCATCTATAACGACAAGACTGTGCTGGTGTGTCCGAATCCAGATGATAAGAAGAGTAATAGCAGCACATCAGACAATGCACCTACCATGACGAAACATCCAATTGATTTCGTCATTCAAAACATTCCACACATATGGTATACATATCATTTATATTCGCATGATTCATATTATTGACATTTTGGTGTTGAAATTCTTCTTATTTTGTAGGGGAAGAGAGGTTGATTTATGGGGTGATGCTTTGTCTGGTTTAGAAGTCGTGGATGATCGATCTGGTCACACAGACCCTGAAAATTGGAAACCACAGCTTGCTAATGATGGCAAGATGGAAATCATGACTATACAAGACATGACAAGTTATATAAAGAAACTAGCCAATATCCGACAACATGTTTCACGCGTGGGTCAGTTTGAGACACCCTTTGAGATTGTATTTCGTAAGCCTCAAGCACAAGCAGAAAAGAGTTGGTGGAAGACATGCTTTGAGAATAAATATAAGCGGGATAATGTCATTTGTATCATGTGTGATGGAGAGTTCTATATTATCAAGGATCCAAAGAGCTTAAAGTTCCGACGATTTGCACAAGTCTGGACGTTAGGAAGACATGATGAAAAGGTCAAGGGAAGATTGGTTCAAGATGAACAGGTATCACAACAACAGCAACAACAACAACAATAGTAAAACGCATAATTAATATAATATATACACACAATAATTCCATAAATCCTTTATTTTTCTTTTAATGTCCAATCGTTTGTTGCTGTTCCTTATTCTTTTTGGACTCGACTGCGATTCTTAAAAATCCATGCACCTTTTCTACGGCCTCAAAACAAAGATCGTGACAAGAGAAGTACTAAAAAATCACTCTTGTTAATAACACATACTCAAGTCATTCTGTTTCTCATTTTTTTTTTCCTTACCTCTTCCTCACTAAAGACACCTTCTGAATCTGATAATAAGACAAAAGGTCTTGTGTTTGAATTGTCAAAAGAATAAGTGTGCACGGATTTGGCATTCTAATAATAGTTGTCAGAATTAAAAATGCGAGTATGTGAGACTGTTAACTATCATACCTCTAATTCAACGGCTGTAGGATCTAAAACTAATTCGTCGTCTTGGTCAATCATGACGGTAATGGCAGCAGCCATGTGTTTCATAGGTATACCAGCGTCTAACAAAGCTATTGTGATTGCATTGACAGCAGCTGCTAAAATGCAGCCATCGTCCTTGATCACTTGTACGACGATCTGGACAAGTGTACGAGGCATCATACCTCCTAAAATAACTGGTTCGAATGCTGTACGTAACATGCTCTCCATTAATTTTTCTTTTGTGGTAGGAATGCCTTTGGCGGGTCGAACAACAACCTCTACAGTAGCTTCGTCTAATTTTTCGTCGCGAATTTGGACTTCGACAGGTCCTGATACTGAGCACATGACAGAAGTAGATCCTGTTTTACAATAATGTCAGCATGGTTTTTGTCCCCGTGTTCTTTTAAAAGGGTTTCTTTTATACCAAATTCAAACTTGGAAGAACCGTCGGCTCTGTTTAAAATGTTTTGGGAAGCAGAAAATGCTCTCAATTGCGAATTATCATCACGACGATCTGGTCTGCTTACCATGGTGAATATTGGGTTTAGGCGAAAATAGCTGATCGAAAAAAAAACCTTTTTGGAGATACTTTGGGTGCTAGAATGTAGGAGTCACAATTTATTATTTTACTTGATACACCTCTTAACCATTCTTACTTCGCACATTTTTTATTCCTCTCTTTTGTTCAGCATTTCACTTGATTGTATTTGTTTTTTATACCAACATCATACTTTTTGGTAAGTCATTGTTATCTTTGTTGCATGTCATATTTTAATCGAAATAAAACATGATTGGTATTTTTGCGATTATAAATCAAGTCACGTACAGGTGAACATCAGTACTCATACCTTTAAGCCTTAAATTTGCTACTATTTTAAAAGCCGAACGCAGTAGGATGTTTTAAACCAACTAAAGGAACACGCGTTATCAAATATACTCTGTGACTTTCTTGAGCCTTGAAATGTTCTATACCCTGCTTGCCACACCACGTTGTTTAAGATTGTTACTTATAATTAGGGAATACTACTATCTTATTTAATCCGGGCATCTTAGATACGATCGCCCCAAAGTTTTAAAATCGTAACGATCTATTCTCTTTTCTATTCCTCCCCTAAAATTAACTAGATCTACAAAAACGAGTTCGAGCCAAATGATTATTGAAAAGCGCTATTTGGGACCGCATGCACTGTAAGTAAGATCATACATAGCCTCTTTTAGCTTTATGTCTTGAATGGTTGGGCTGAATCATACAAGTAAACGCTTGTTTTTCGAGATGGACAAAGACAACTTCTAGCCAAACATGCCATGCAAACCAAAAATAGATAGCCGGTAAAAAAAATGTAATTTTTAATATGAAAAGGGGATATGAGATGTAAATATATAGTAATGTTTAAGTGTCTAACACTTGTCGACCTTCTTTTCTTCAATGTTGACACCGAACTGCTTCTTTTTGGTAATAATGTTCCAATAATATTGCCAGCCGAAAGAGGCTAAAGTGAGCACTACAACAAAAGCAAGCGACACATAAGTAGGAGTTTTGATAATGTACACGTTGGTATGATTTTTGTTTCCATCAAAGATAGTGAGGAAAGCATTGATAAGACCTGTATGAATAAATAAGTCCAAGCCAAGAATGAACATGTAGCCACCGATGAATGACGTGCTAAAGATAATCGTGTAACTCTCAAGTAAAATAATCATGATGGCAAATACGACTCCCATTCCACCAATAAAACAAATACGAGCCACTTGCTATAAATAAAATATAAAGAGATTAAGTATAAAAACTAGTCAACTAGATCACTTGCTTCTACTTACGATCTGGATAACAAGGTTTTCTTTCCAAGACAGAATAAATACAGCAACAAAAAAACCGGCAAGCCCACCGACAAAGTAAAGTGCTACACCATAAATAAAAATAAATAAAAAGGCGCCTACAAGACCTAAACCGACACTGACACAAATGTAAGTGACTTCGTTATGGGGATAGCCATGAAGGGGCTCATTATTAACAAGACCAATCCATGTCATCACCGCAAAGAACACAAAACCAGTAGCAGCCAACGTTCCTCTAAAAGAACTATAGCCGAATATCAAAAAGTAGATGGCGATTAACATGCAAAGAATACCAGTAAAGCCTTGCGCAACCGTAATACCATAGCCGTATGTGTCTATATATAGAATGTATTGTTATTATAATGTATACTTGGTAATAAACATGAATATATTACGCCATAAATAAGTGCTCCAGCATTTATCGTCACATTTAACTTTGTTCCCTTTACTGCTGGAGCTGGATTTGTTAGTCGAAGAGGATTTTGATGTAGAGGTCTTTGTGGCAGTGACAGTCTTTGTCAAGGTCTTGACATTACCGTTACCACAGTATACAGTACTTGTCACAGTCGACCAGAGATTATTGAGATCGGAAACCGCGACCTTGGCGTTATTATCATTATTTCCGGTACAATCATTGGCCCAGTTTTCATATAAACTAAGAGTATCTTCTAAATCCCGTTTGATATGACGGAGCACAGGAGCAGCTGTAGGCGACTCGAGTCTTTTATTTAATACAGCGCCAGAGTCCACGGTGGCTGTAGGCAGAGGCTGGATTACGATGGCATAAATGGCAGGTACAAACAAACACAATAATAAGGAGATCTTCATTGTGTAAATATATAATGAAAAAGAAGAGACAGTAAGGGAAATGCAAACAATGAATTTAAAGCAAAATAGAAATCGAATGTTTTCAAACTTCCTATAACGCAAAAAAAAAAAACTATTGCGGTTATGTGTAACTTAATAAGATCTGCCTTTATAAGACAATGTTTTTCTGTTGTGTGGGGAGAAGAAAATAGTATTCCAAATATGGTATCTCCACATAAAAAAAATAATCAATTCTTTTTTTTTAGCATTTCACTTTTTTAAAATACCTTGCAATTAGGGGAATGTAAATACATGTACCAAGGTCCTCGATGAAATGGAAAGCACCACTTTTTGTAATTCTAAAAGACCTAAACACTCATACATTTGCTCGTTAAGTTTTAATGCGTTTTAATCTTTTAAAGGGATCAACTGCAAAGCGATATTTTAGAGCATTAAATTAATACGAATTTCAATAGTTTTGGCAGAGACTGTGAGCTTAAGCAAAAGTATGCAACATATTTGAGCAATAGAACATGTTTTCTCTGGCCTCGAACCTAAATATAGATTTCCCAGCCATCTCTTCCTCACATGTATGTCCTGTTAATCAGGCTGGAGCACTCAATGAAAAGAACGCTTTATTTATCTTTGGGTCAATCCTGTATAAAAGCTAAACAAAACGCTAATTATAGTTCTATTCTACTAAGATATTTGGATACCTTGCGAATCATCATTCACACCCGAAACTCAACTATTATCGTGTTTCTTTTCGTTGGTATTGGTGTCGTAGAGCTGGCTTTGGTTTGTGTATTATTTAGCTTCACCTTTAACTGATGTTGGTTTTACAGTGTTTACACTTCAAATTCAGACAACATCAGTTTTTTTTCAGACAAATAAAAATTCACTTTCAAACATTTGCTTACCTTTTTCAGACGATATAAAAATGAAAATTCAGATTTAGTGTTAGACTTTTTTTTTTTTTTTTTTTTTTTTTTTTACCTGTAGGTATCTTTAAGCCATCGCCGGTGAGGGCGTGGCAACCACATTGTAGGTGGCGCTTTGTCTTTTAAAGACATCGGGTCGGCCATCACCTCTCCAAATTGAGGTGGCAATGGTGTACATGTTTTTCGTAGCCATAACGTCACGATTCCAACGAATATTACATTTTTTGCAGAAGAATATTTGATGGATTGATCGGTTGTCCGTTCCACATTTATGCTTTAAGTTTTCTAGACTACTTTCTAGGCAGTTATTGCAGTTCTAAGAAAGAAATGACATTGTATTAGTAATTACATGTTATAGACACGTATATCTTTCACCTTTGATGTTTTATATTCATCTATGTCAAGTAGCAATAACTCTCCAAGTTTTTCCCGCAGCTTCAACTGTCTGTATATCATTTCAGAGACGCCATGCCTAATCCCACTGATCTTTACGTGACTTTTATTCTTCAGACCGTCCCCAAAAATTATCAATGGCATTTTACTTTTGTCACCCTCCTCAAATTTCTCTTTGTGGCTTCTTTTTTTTTTAAAAAAGAAAAAAAAATATTAGAAGAGGAACAACATCCATGGATATGTGAGTGATACCTGGATGCGCTTTTTCTTTGTCTTGATCCGGCTTGAGGGGTGTTGCTTTGATACTTTGCAGCTGTCTTGCTTCTTTTTCTCTTGTTTTTTCTTGTTTTCTTCCGTCGTCCTTTATTGTACTTCTTTGATCCGTTAATTAGGATATTTACAGCATCCTGGAGGGCACGCTGTTTTCCAATGTAATTACACCATTTGACTCTTGCTGTCTGAAAATTGTAAAAACTAAATAGTGTGTCCTTATGTTGCATCATGTATTTCACATGCGTAATATATTTATCAGTAACTGCTGACTTTACAGAAGGTATGTTTGTCTCGATTGTTTGCACTCCTTGTTCTTTCTTCCTGTCTTGCTCCAACTTCAGACGATTGGCACTTCCATTCATGTTGTAATATTCGGCAGATGAAAGCCGCCTAACATCCGTGTTACCATGAAATGACACAAAAGCATCTTTCCTATTGGGATCTACTGTGCAAGGTCTAAAATAACGATCGATTTCTTCACTATTGAAATCTTGCAGCTCCAAAGCAGTTTCATTCACAGGAGATTCTGCGTATCTCTTTCGGCAAAAAGAAATCCTACAAGTGTACCCATCTGTGTACAGGCTATTAATAAACATCCTTCCTTTTCGTTGAGGTAAATTTTTTAATTTTTCAAAGCTATACAAGTTGAAAATTAGCAGGTTTATTTGTTGCTAAAAACGTATGTACCTACGTATTTATGTTTATCTTAGCAAAATTAAAACGGGCAAAAAAATATCTTTGGGTGTATTCAAAAACTGTTTCTTCCTCTAACCGTTCCATTGAAGCCGTCGGAAACAGACCAGTCAAATTTTGGCTATCTATTTTAACGAAACGCCAATGCAAGCCAGGGTTCGGGAATAGACTGAAGAGACGAGGCGGCTGGAAATCTCTTTTTACGCCGTTGTTGTCGTTTTTGTTTTTTTTTACTTTCTTCTTTTTTTTTGGTCTTTTATTTACTTGATCGGTCTCGTCTGATTGTTCTTGTGAGATGATTTCCAATTGAGAGACAGGAACAGGTAGCGGTGCTTCCACAATTAAGGACTCATATTTCTCCAGAATGTGCTTAAGTACTGGCATAATGCTGAATGGGGCATTATTTAGAGTTGCCTTTGTCACAGGAAATGCTGGTATACGATTCTTGATCTCCAATATCAATGGGTTTAAAAACGTACAAATGTTTTCTTGCTCTTCACTGTTCAAAGAAGTGGAAATATTGTCAGAATTGATGGCTCCCAGTCCTGGAGAAAATAGTACATTGAGCACATGTTCGTATACTATATGTTTTACTACGGGCATTTTTATGTCCTTTTAAAAAAATAATAATTGATGTCAAGTTTTTAATATATATATTTAACAAGGTTTTACACTTACATGAAATGCTTGACGGATCATGTATATAAAGTAGTTTGCAATAATATTTTCAAAGTTCTCTATATAATAGTTGTTATAACAAGTAGCTATAGATTCACAAGCGGATGAAACCACTTGGCCGTAAAGAGTTAAATTTCCTTTATCAACTGTCAAGTTGACGCCTTCAACACCGTTAAGCTCATCCCATACTTCGGCGAGGTGGGGAATAAGTGGATATTGTGATTGAAAATTTTGAACTGATAAATTTTGGTACACCACTCTACATACGCTATACCAAAAGTTTTGTTTCAATAGTTCATTAGGCAAACTGTTTGGATGTTTCAAAATATAAAAGTTGACAAAAAGCTGAGCGTTGTAGGTAACTTTTCGCAAAAACATTGAAAGACTTTTGATTTTTTCAACCGCAGTGTTATTCGCATTCTCATCTACTGAAGACATAAATGACTTGAGAGGTATGGAGACTGTATATCTTTGATTTTGAGAACCCAGATTTTGTTGAATCAATTCTTTTACTGTATAATTATAATTCAGGCATTCTCTGGACCTAGCAGATGCATGGCCATTTTGACCGCAGGACTTACATACTAGACTCGATGTATTTGGGACAACATTTCTAGCTCTTTTTGCATCACTTTTTGCCTTTTTCTCTTCTGGGGTATCTTTTCTTTTTACACCTTTGGGAAGATTTAGTTATAAACACATTGAAGAAAGCTTTTATATTACCTTTCTTTCTTTTACTTGGTTTGTTAATGGTCTCACTAGCAGTTTCCTGTTGTTGGCTTTCATATTTTTTCAACTTTTTCGTTTGTATAAAAGCTTCAATTTCAGGATAAATTGGTGTACGCATCCCGTTTTAAATATTAGAAAGAAAAGGACATAATTGTTGTTTAAATCGACATCAGGCTGATATATATATATTTGATGTGACCGCTGCTTATTATTAATTTATCAAAGTATTTGTACAAACCAAAGTTATTATTTTTTATATCAGATTGTATCTATATGCTATGAAGTGAGGTTATTTGTAGTAGGCTGGGTATGATAATTGTAGGCATGTAAATCACTTTATTCATTTATAATATAAGTCGTATTAAACAAACTTTGTTGAGTGAGTTTTGGCTGTCTCAAAGTTTAATTAAATAGATTATTATGATTACGCTTTTCTTTAGGACCGGTAAAGTGCGCGTAGTCATAATCTAGGATCACTTTTCGCCGCCGTACGTTTTTCTATGTCATATTCTCTATCATTATCTTTTCCTCCGCTATGTCCTACCCAAATAACATCCCGCCTCTATCATTACATCACAGGTAGATCATGCCAATTATCTGCACAAGTGTAGGAACCTTTTTCTCACTTAAATCGTGAAGTGTTGGTTGAAAATAATTTGATGTCCTCTTTAAATTCTTTGTAACATTATCGACACAAAAGATTGTATTGACTGGGATGGATATCTTGTCTGATTATCTTTTACATGTGTCTGAAAATCTTTTTACAACTGTCCGAAATATATTTCTGTTTGTCTGAAAACAATTATAAGCCTGTCTGAAAACAAATATAAGTTTGTCCAAAAATAATTTGCATTTGTCTGAATTTGAAGTAACAACACTGTAATTCACGACAGTAACTCAATATGCCGCAGATTGCTTCTTTAAATTCGCAAAATATTCCTATTATATTTCAGACAGTTTTAATATATTCTCTTCCAATAAATTTTCCTAGGATACAGATAATAAAGATACTTACATATTAAACAAACATTTGGTGTTAACGAATTTGCTGATAGATTCTGTTGATCTGCATTGGGAAAAGAGCCGAGAGAGAAAGTGTGACGGTCTTTCATCTTTTTTTTTTATTGAATCTGGCCGCAGTCGACAGTTGTTTTTTTTACATCTTTCAAACAGTTTATTAAACCGAAAATATGACCGGCTTAAAGCGTAAAACTGAAGGCTCTTGTCCCGACTGTACCTCAAACGTTGGATTGTTCCAAATTGCGGATCACCTCGTTTTTGAGATGTGCGAAAATGTTTCGGTAAGTATTTACGTTTGAAACATTCAATACAATTATAACTTACGCGTTTTATTTTGAATTAGTGTGATTACCCATTTAACCGACCTAACGCTGAAGGACTTATACATGAGTATCCTTACAACGCTACACGGTATAGTAAAAAACCCAGAACACGTTCTTCATCGGTTGCTAATAATGTTGCTGCTACATCAAAAGCTTCTGATGTTAAAGAATTGTGTCCAAAATCTGCAAAAGAACCTAGACCAGTTAATCCTGCCTCTGGTTCTTTAAAGTCGCAGAACGATAAATCTCATTTAGAAGGCCAAACGTCCTCCTCACAAAAAAACTCCTTGAGTGACAAAAGTGAGTATACCGCTGATTGTGATCCAACGATTACAAATTTACTAAATTATTACGCAGATATCTGTCAAGCGGCCCCTACCCCCTCTGCTCAACTTTGCCTGCCGGGCAACCTTGCCCTCCCAGCGCCGTCAGCTGCTAGAACTGTGGTACAAACGTCAGAAAACACAGCTTATACTGCAAGCTTCTCTCTTCAGGATATCGAATCCTTCCTCAGTGTTGACTTGACCCAACCAACAGATACTGATGGACGTAACGATGTCAATATTATGGCTACGAAATCCACCAGCATGTCACCTGTGCAAACCGAGGCTATTTTCGACTATTCCTCGCCCACCTCAGCAGCCATCAACACTCCAAAGGACACAGTGCAATTAAATTGGATGGATGATATCAATTTTTTATATGGTGCAGACATGGCACAATCCAAATTTAACCCATTGCAAGAAACCGAGTTTGATCCTTTCTTGGGAATTTAAAAAAAGGGACAGCATTTATTAGTAGCAGAAATTATGATAATCAGATACCAGCACAGACGTGTAAAACATGTAAATAAAATCAAATCAGCGTTATATATATCTTTACTTCAAAATAGGACAATGGCTTTCTGTTTGACCTATCTGGCTCCTTCTTGAGTACTCACTTACAACTAGCGTTGGAGGCCTAATATGGTATTAGAAAAATAAGGCCATCTATGATAGAACAGAATAGTATTGTATATCACTATGGATAATAACACTCTTGATTGAACCATCATCTTGGGCTATACGCAGAACTAGTTTCAATGGAAATAGTTAATACAGTGTTATCGCCTGAAACAACCTCTACTGCGGCTGCATTCATATCTATAGTTAATATCAAGTCCCTTTCACAGACTTCTGTCGGTGAGACCTTATAACTGTATGCAAGACATTAAAGCTGCTATCAACTGTAACAGTAATTTGTTTTTTCTAATCATTTTACTGATTGATTGGATCATGATGTTCCAATGGAGCGCCTTGTTTTGGAGCGATTAGCTTCTTTTGTTATAAATATTCACTTGTACATTACATATCAAAGTGTAATATTTATTGGTAAGCGAATTTAGATTGCATCCATTTTGTATACATCTGTTCCAGTTTTACGATTCATGTAACTAGACTGATATATTTTGGTGTACATCCTTCTTAGACGTGGATGAAGAGTAAGGTATCCAAAGCTTATTATAATACGAGACTGCAGTTGGCTGCCTCAAACTTACTCCGTGTCACCGAGGAATGAATGGTGGCTGATATTAAAGAGCTTATGAGCATTAACGTTACCATCCTTTTCTCTTTTCCTTTGGCCCTGCCGATATTCCAAAAACACAAGCCCGAACGTAGTTGCCCATACACTGGATCAACAACAGTTATATAGCTTATATAGTTAAGTATGAAACGTTCATCGAACTTATTTCTCATTATTTAATCAAAGCGAATTGCAACCGGTCAGCTGCACCGGCAAAGGCGCTATTCAACAACCAAAAGTGTAGGGCTAGCGATATATGATAGACACGGCTTTACGTCAATATAACCAAAGCCGTATAATCATACTAACCTCTTCACTAATCCCCGGAAGTCATCTCTGCCTACTGATACGATAAGTTTTCTCGACAACTATTGGCTTGGCTTTGTTATCATAGGTACTGATAATTGTTACTACTCTGTCGACATGTGCGCGCATTATAATAGGAAGATTGGTGCTTGGAACGTCATGCTGGATTTAAAAATTATTAGTGATAAAACCATATATTGCTTTACAGGCTAAATCTTGCTCGTTGTTATTTCAAATAGTATCTTTGTAAATGCGGAAAGCCCCCAAAAGCTTTGCTAAAAATTTATTGAAAGGTAAATGTTGCGCCACCATTACGAAAGTAATGATGTCTTTTTAAAACAACTTATAATCATCACCCCTTACAACAAGCGGCCCATGATTTTTTTTTTAAACAATTGAAAAGTCAATAGCTTGTTACATTTGAAACTATTCCTGCGTCGGTTTTTATACTCACATCTATTTCATTCGTTACATTAGTACTTTATTTTAATTGTCACAAGTATACCTCATTTTGAGATCGACTATATGTATACGCTTTTAAAGTAGTTTGAAATAATAGACTTTTCGGTTTTTAATAACTTTCTTTTCGTAGAGGGGGAGCAGAGTTGACATTTGCTGTGGACGCCATAAGACACCATCGTAGCTCGCTCAGGGATATTTTTTGTCTGAGTTAAAAAGTTTGCGTCGAAAGGACAATTTTTATAATGCTGGTGATAAATAATCAGTTAAAGATCTTCCGGGTATTGTTACTCAGTCTTTGTGTAATTGGAGAACAATGATTTGACCACATTGAAGCAAAGATTTAACGCATGTTGCTGAATACATTAACCATATCAATTTCATAATATTAGTGATATTCTAGTTATGTAAAGATCTTTGGCCATATCATTGATTCGTACTTTGGTAAACACTACTACCACTAGTTACACTACACTAATAAAAGATATGATCTCCCAAATTTAGGCTTGATATAACGATCACAATAACTACTCTTCCGGTATAGATAATACCATTTATTAATAACTATACGCTTCTAACTTTGATACAATCTTTATATTAACCTAAGACATCTTTAGTACACTTGTATTGATTTAAAGCTAAATTTTAAAAATAAAAAATAAATAAAAGAAAAGTTGGCTTTTAACGATTACACAAATCAAGTTAGGTTTGAGTTCCAGAAAACACGCGACCCAACCGGATGGTTGCGTGAAACCACAAACTGTGTTTCTTTTCTTTTGCTATTCTTTTTTATTTCTGTTAACTTACAACTTTTTTTTTTTACACTATTCGTCAATCTCAATGCATAGAAATAAAATTGCAACAGTTATACTTACAGCACCATATCTATAACCTATCGCGGTTCTGGCTCAGATTAATGGGCGAATATGTTCTGGTAGAGACGTCCTTACTTTATGGTTTCTCTCGCGTCGATATCATAGCCTGAGACAGGACATTTTATCAAATGGGTACCTTATAAGGTACCTTAGAAATGCCCATAAATTGGTGCTTTTTTAAAACCAATAAATCTTGCTTAACTTCTGCCTCCTATTTGTGCTTTTTTTTTTTTCTTTTTTTTTTTTGTTGTTAAAAAATTAAAATATGACTCCAGCAGAACTTTCAGGTAGTTTTTTTTTATATAAAGCACTAAACACGCGATTGACTATGTATTAGTATTGTTGAAGGAGCTGCTCCCCTCTCTCAGCCCTGCTTCTTTGATTGAAAATAGGCTGTTTATTGAAAGAGTATGGCAAAGATCAAAAGAACTAGAGTCTGTTAAACGTGACAACAATGGGAAACAACTGATAAAAGATAGTAAATTTCTTTATCTGACCTCATGCTAATTACTAATTTAACCAACAACTTTTATAGCCGTCAATATCTGGAATAAAACGCTTCAAATTGTGTTTGAAGACGACGATGAAATGAAGCATATTGTATTAATGTGTAAGTTTTTGTCGCGTACTATTGATTATGATTCTAATTCTTCCTTTTTTTAAAAAAAAAATAGTACGCGACACCTGTTACCAAATTTTAAGAATGGACAAAGGATGGATAAAGGATAATATGTGGCAGTATTTAGGAATAGTTACAAACGTTTTCAGATTATGGATAGGTAGACCATTCATTACAAGATTAGCATGTACGACAAAACATCATTTGCTTAGAAATATTTTTAGATTTAGACATAGAACATGCGTCCTTGTTGAAACAGGAACTGGAGAAGGTAAGTTCAAAGTAAGCCTTCTAATCAATATGGTTATAACGTTTTGATTAGTTTAATGGAAAGTCAGCCACGGATCTCCTTCAAGTAAAGGAGTTGTTGAAAAGCTTCGCATTTCAATCGGAATTTGTAAGCGGACTATATCATTGTTTAATAGAATGGATTACTCATCTCATCTTTACCAAAGTATTCTAAGAAAAATGACTGGGATTCCTATGAAGCAATGTTCAATAAGGCGATAGGTAAACTTGAATATCGCATGTTAATTTCGGTATACAATGTAATCTAGAGCTGTTGTAGATATTACTAGTGTTTTATCACACGAAGATAAGAGATCATCAGGTGTAAGTAAAAATATACTTGAAATATATGTTGATTAATGTATCCCTTGTAGATCGACTACCTGTATCAAGTTTTGTTGAGTACTGGATTTTCTCTGTCTAACATGTCTTCAATGTCATCTGTTCAAATTATCGACTGGATATCTCGTTCGTTTAAAAAATTATTGGAGTTAAACACCGAAATCCCAACTTCCCATGAGGTTTGTAAATTGTAAGTATTTAATGCGACCGTCTACTAATCATACTTTCGTTAAGCAGATTTACCTGATGGATTTATTATGTACGTACATTCACCTTTTTTCCCGGGAAAGAAAGATAGTGCTAATATTAATTTGTAGTAAATTTATGCGATAAAGATGAATTATTATTATCAGATCAACAAGTGAAACAATTACTTGATTTAACAGATCGAATTGTTTCAGAGAAGGTAAAGAAAAAAATTTGCTTTTTTTTTTTTTTTTTTTTTTTTCGTGTTAATCATGTTTCAAGTGCAAGTCAAGTTTAAGATTTTATATGGCAAGGGTATTCATAATTATGAGGTGCTGTAACTCGGACTATCAAACAGATCTTTGTGCGAGTAAGTAGTCCTCCTATTCTCCTGTTGCAAGCGGGCCATTCATATAAAATTATAGATTATTTTGAAGCGATGGAAAAAACACCAATACCTCCTCGGGATAGTGACTTGATAGAGTATGATTTTTAACCAATTGCAAATACTTTATTATTTTTTTAATACTCTCGTAGCTTGAATACTATGATCAAAAGAATGTCTAAAAGCAGACATGATATTGGGTAATATGCATCAATAAAAGTTGTCTCATATAAGCTAACAAATTTAACGCAGAATTCAAAAGATAATGGAAGGTTTAAATTTGTTGATACAGAGATCTAAGCAAGGAAATTCTGAACAGCGAAGCTCTTTGTCAGAAGAGCACCTACATGAATTCAAGATAAAACTTTTGACAGATTTTGTGTTTATGTTGAAAGACTCAAAGAAACTTGATGAAAATATACTCAAAACAGCAATAGACGGTAAAAAAAATTGAGTTTCTGTCTGTTTTCTTTTTTTTTTGCATTTCATTGATATTTTGCGCGTAGATGTGTTTTTGACTCAAGGGGAAAACGGTAAATTAATAAATTCTGAAGTGGTTCAGATGGTAGATATAATATGGGGAAATAGTTGTCATTATCGAAGCATATATCTAAAATATTCTTGTCTAGATGCTATGTAGAGTAGGGGACACTTTTTATAAAGCACGTATATTTAATTTACATGTATCATCACTGTACCTAACTTAAATCATTCTAAAGAAAAAGTCATATGAAGCAGCTTTGCCCTGGTACAAATATACTTGGTATATCATGAAATCACCAATTCAAAAGAAACGCAATCTATTAACCTTGGCAACGTGAGTTAAAATATGCGCAATGACAATAATAATAACTCATTTATAGTAAACTGGCTTGGTGTTATGACAAGATCGGTAATCCTAATTCAGCCTATCAATGCCTAGAAAAATGCTTGAATGATTCAGCTGAACAAGTTACAGCTACAGCACAAGACTATTTGCTATTAATTAAATTTGCATTTCGTCAAAACATCATCAGTCAGGGCATTGGTTAGTAGCGCATGTGCGTTATTCGTTGAGCAATCATCTCATGTATTTTCCGCAGTTATACCGTCCTTGTTGGAAAAGCTTAAAGGCTCCTTGAATTTCGATCCGTGCTACATGCTTCAGCATGTCCTAGGTTACTACTACCAGGTAAGTTTTGTGAATTGGTTTCTACTAAACGGTACTTAGTATAAAGTTGCAGTATGGACAAGTAGCGTCTATTGCACCCAAAGCCCTAGCCATTATACTTGAATTTTATGAAAAGAACGAGGAGGATCTATATTACATTAGGGTTCATATTCACCTGCTGGTGATATTGTTAAGGTAATTATGTTTTATGTGTGGTTATTAAAAATCATTAAAAAATTCATGTAGATGTATTCTTCATATAAAAACAACTGTGTACGAGGATTTGGCTAATGATGGAGTACCAAGAACAAAGTAAGTATAGTCATATGTAAATTGAAACAGCAATTAATCCTGTTAAAAACTAGAGATTTAAACTTTGGACAAGTGGCAGTTTATATTGAGTGTAAGTAACAATAAATCGGTTTTACAATGGAATATGTTATATTAAAAAAGAAGATGTCAAATAGCATTATTAGACTTGGTACATACAAAGGAGATGATGACAGCCAAATGTATTTATCCGAGTGATTTTCAATGGTTAATCGAAACTGTATACAATCTTGGTCTGTTTTGCTTTAATGCAGAAAGAAACAACGAAGGTCGAATAATGTTTGGCCTCATAGAGCAGGTAATATTCCTACTTTCTGCATGTTCTTCCAATTAATAGTTTTTTTTTAGTTATCCACATATTGCAGCAGTGAAATGTTCAGCAGCTTTACGAGTGAACAGATTAGAATTTTTACATTCTTGACAACTTGCGTTCATATCATGGCTGACAATGAAAATCTCGTGTTGGTAATTATTTATACTATATTCTATATTACAAAGTATATATTTTGATAAGAAAAAATAGCAAAATGGACAGTATGATAAAGCTAGGTGTCAAAGTCATATAAACAAACTTGACCATTTATTAAATGACGTTGATCCAAATGACAGATTAAGCCATATGGGCAATTTACTTAAAGTGGATGCATGCATCGGCCTTGGAGAGTTTGACAAAGCAACTGAGATATTTATGGCAAGTAACGCATTGAAATATCGTGCTTTACATATTTATTGATCCCACAAAAATAGAGACTTTTCGATTTGCCTGACTCTCCATTTCCTTTATTGGAACGCATTGCAGGTAACACAATAATGGGACAAATTAAAGTAAGTCGCACTAAACCCAAAGTAAGCCAATATTCTGCTTGGTGTACAATGTCCACTTGAAAGTAAGTAGTAGGGCTCGAGTTTTGCTTATTAAGATATTTGTTCTCAACCATATCTTTTGTTAAAGATTCATTTGCTGTTTTAAAGGTAAAGCACTTTTTGGTAAACTATGCACAGTGTCAAAACTTAATGTATTAGTATTTTAGAAGTTTCAGACCAAGCTTGTAGACAAAAGCATCAAAGATTATGCAAAATGGTCCCGTATTCTTGTCTCTGTTGCAGTAGCAAGAAATGTAAAGAAAGATTTGTACGACTGTGTTACGGACATTATATCTCAACAACTGTATAAAAAGGTAAAGGCGTATGTGCATAGCAATACGGTCCTATCTAACCATTAACACACACAGGATCTATTTCCTCAAACAGACTTATATTACTTGATCGTAATCACTTGGAACGAAGGAATTGGATGTGGTTTCAAGTAAATGTAACATCTCGACAATTAGTATTTTGGCTAACCAATTTATAACAGCACTGAAAAGAACGGGCTGGATTGGTGTAATTTATCTATCTCGTTACTGACTGGCTACAAAAATTCGGAAAAGAGAGATGAATTGGACAAGAAAGTAAGTTTTTTTTGTATTGTATTGTAACGAAAGATTCGAATTGTTCACTGGTTACAGATGAGAATTGCCTACCAAGCCTTTAAAACATAATGTAGTAAATAATCCCGCAACACATGAAGAAGACTATTGAAAAGTATTGATTTGCTTGAAACAGTGCACAAATAATAATAAAAGCATATGCTAATAATCAACTAAAAACCCAATCATTGGCTCTAGCAGTGTAACTTATTACTAAAATTAGACTCAAGATGGGTACATAGAAACGTATGCTTGATTTTAATGAGCGATTACCAAAATAAAGCGTCAGACAAATAGTTGGAAATCGATGATTAGGATGGCCATATTAAAGTAATTTATTTAGTGGTTAAGACGCAACGCGAATTTATTCTCTTGTATAAAATAGGTACCGAAAGGTATTCATAACATGCAATTCTCAAACATATAATTCCCAAACACGGTTTTCTCCCATCGTATTTTTTTTTTGAAAAAGCGATTAATAGGAGCTGTGTGCGCCACAGGTAGATCAAATATTTACCTTCATGATCTTTCTTGAACAATAAACATGAACTATGTGTTCCAAAGAATGGATCACGGGAAAGTGTGTGAAAAAATAGATGATTGGAAAAGACATGTGTGAAGCTCCAATAGTGGGTTGATGGTGAGAAAAGTGATTTATCTACAGCTCCTACCCGTGAAAAATTAACCCCCGTGCGAAAACCCCTGTTTTCAGTATGCAGAATCCCACTCTCACGGGTGATGTGTTGAAATTAATCTGATCTGATTTGAAATAGTATGGGGGAGGGGAGACATATGATCTGCAGAGTATTCTGTTATGAAGGATAAATTAATGTGCTAATTGTATTGCTACTAGGCTGAGTTTTTCTTTATTTCAAATATTTAATTAATTGTCATGAATAATTTGGATTACACAATTAGGTGAGCACTGTCTGTAAAGAAGTATTTTTTCTAAGCCCAATCGAGGCAGAGAATCTGCGGGTAATCTTTTAAGTGAGTAATTAACAAAATAGGGGACCAATTTGCCTGTAATTATTAGCTGTCCAAATATGGATCCCACTCTTCTATTGGGCCAGACGCCAAGACAATGGGGTGAAAAGGAAAGCCAGACGGAACATGTTTCTATATAAAAATACCCTGTAGGCAAAAAAAAACAGAGTTTTTACTATTTATAGAATGTTTTTTTATTCGTAATGGCAAGTGGCGGGATGAAAGGAGTCTGGATTAATTTTTTTTTTTATTTTATTTTATTTTTGGGCCACTTCACTGACACACACAGCACGACCCTTTTTCTTGTATTTCTTTCGTCTTTTTTTTTTTTTTTTTTTTTTTTAATAGTATTATGAATTCAACTACAAGTGATGGGAATTCAACAAACGTTACAATGGGTTTAGTTGGTGACACTCACGGTTCACTATATAAAATCATTGGAGTCACTTTAGCCATTGCAAGTGGTAAGTCGATTCACTTTACCGAAAAAAAAAAAAGTTTCTTTCATTGACATACTGATGTCCGGTGAATTTATTTCTTTTAGGCATATTTATTGGCAGTAGTTTCGTATTAAAGAAAAAGGGCCTATTAGAGGCTACAGAAAAATCAGGTATGCAGATAAACTACCTAATCCATACATTTATTTGTATTAATTTAATTGTTTTGATAGGTGGAGTTGCAGGTGAAGGATATGGCTATCTTAAATCTCCCATGTGGTGGAGTGGTATGATTTTAAGTATGTATGGATATCAGTCATATTTTAATTCGGTATGCTAACTGTTAATTATTATATTGTGTAGTGGTGGTGGGCGAAGCTTGTAATTTTGTCGCTTATGCGTTTACGCAAGCCATTTTGGTCACTCCGTTGGGTGCATTAAGTGTCGTTTTATGGTAAAAAGAACATCAGCTTTATCGAGAAAGAAAAATTACTAATAATTTGCGTAGTGCTGTATTGTCATCCATCTTTTTGAAAGAACGATTATCATTCCAAGGAAAAGTGGGCTGCTTACAGTGTGTTCTGGGAGCTATTATTATTGTAATGCATGCTCCAGAACAAGGCGCCGCAGACACTTCAATTGAGACATTCAAGACACTTATGCTGTCCGTGGGTAAGATACAGTGGAACGGATAATATGGAATAAGATCGTATATTAACTCGTTTATCACTAGGCTTTATCACCTACGCCATTCTCGCTATCGTACTCTCTTTATTTTTGGTGTTTTATTGTGGACCTAGATGGGGAAAAACAAACATGTTGGTTTATATTAGTATCTGTTCATTAATTGGATCATTATCTGTTGTTTTTACGCAAGGATTGGGCGGAGCCATCGTACATTCGTTTACAGTCGAGAATCAATTCACAAACTGGTTTGTTTATTTTGTATTGGTGACAACTTTAGTAACACTCGCCATCGAAATAATCTATCTCAACAAAGCGCTCAATCTTTTTAATACCGCTGTTGTAACTCCAACTTATTACGTCATTTTTACAACATTAACCATCGTTAGTTCAATTGTATTTTATCGAGGTTTTGACGCATCACCCGTCAATATTGTTACTTGTGTGTTTGGATTTTTAATTATCTGTTCTGGTGTTGCATTACTGCAAAACTCTAGAAGCGAAAAGACTATGGACAACGATGATGCATCTAGCCATATGGAACGACTTTTACCAGTATATGACGATGAGAAATTCTTGAGCTCAAGTGAGGATGTGAATCATATTGAAGATATTACAGGCGATGCTTCAACAAGTGATGTAGATCATCACCGCACATCTGCCGTCCGAAATGATTCCAGTTCGCTTTGGCGTAGATCAAGAGGCTCTATAGATTATAACGATGGATTTACAGACAACATTAGCCTGGATACGATCAAACACAGCAATTCCGCACAAAATTCAGGTACTACATTTGACAGATATTGCAAAAGAGAGATTACTAACTATTTCAATTTTAGTCGATATTCTTGTGGAAAATGGTCAAGATAATATCAAATCCCGAACAAATAATTTAAATAGACGTGCGCAGGACACACTGGATACCATCAGTACAATGAGATTGGGTCTGAATAAGAAAAGGGATCAAGATGATAGAAGGGGATTAATAGGGGAGACGGATGATCATTTGTTTTAAATTAATTTCTTTTTCGCTTTCTTTTGTACATTATAAAAACTCTTTTTTTTTCCTCCTTCCCTTCTCACATCACCTTTTATACACTATATCTTACTACACTTAATACTTAATAATAAAAACGAAATGGTATTTTTTATTTGAATAAAAATGGTATATGAAAGAGGGGAAAAAAGCATAGTTTACAAAGATGATTGAATGATAGCATACATTTGCTTTACGATTCTTTTGTCATCTGCGAATATTTGATATGAATCACCTGTTTGAGTATCAATTACAAATGAATTTGGTACATAGGTATCTTCATCCTCATTTGCTGGCGCTAATCGTGTTACAGTCAACAAATTGATTTCGGAAATTGGTACTTTTGCCTACAAAAGAAAGAAAAGGGTTTAGTAATCCGATTACTGAAATTTATTACTGCTTTACCATCTCATCCTTGTAAAATGATACACGCTTATCTTCAATGACGAAATGTCTGCGTCTCCAAAACTAGATTTATAAATAAAGTGAAAATGTTGTCAGTCATTAATATTTAAATTGGATGTGTGCTGATCCTCCTTACCGGACTACTTTTAGTCTGCACAGACGCAAATCCTACCATTAAAACCTTAAAAAAAACAAAAACAAATATTAACATGCGATAACCAAATGGGCTCTTTAGTATAACAAAAAAACCCGTACCTGTTGCACCTTAGGAATGGCTTCCGATCTAACGACGGCGGGTTGTACTTCGGCTTTAATGTCAGTTTTGGCTTCAGGTTGTGTCTCTATGGTATTTTGCTTGACTTCTAACACGGCTTTGATGTCTTGTTCTTTAACAACCATCTGAGGTTGTTCTCTAATGATAACTTCTTCTTTAGCAGAAGCACTCTCTTTGTTAGGAACACTCTCTTTGATGAGAACGGGTTCTTTAGTAGAAGAAACTTCTTTGATAGGAGTAACCTCTTCTTTAGCAATGGACCGGGTCTGTTCTTTGATAACAGCCTTCATCTCATCTTTCACAGCAGACTTGACTTCTTGATGAACCTTCTTGAGCTCAACCTTAATTTCGGTTTTGATTTCTTGCTTAGGCTCAATCTTTTTATAGCTGCTTAAGACGGATCTGACATCTTTTTTTACTTCATCCTTGTTATAATTGTTTACACCAGGCGTAACTTTTCTCAAGACAACCTGAGGAAAGATACCCGATTTCTTCTCTTCGGCCTTTGGAAAGGTGAAGGTCTTTTTGGTTGTCAGCTCTTTCTTTAATAAGAAGGCAGGTTTTTGTTGTTGAAGCTGTTGCTTTTGCTTTTCTTCTTGTTCAAATTTCTTGATGGCTTGATCTCGTTTGAATCTTTCTTCTTGTTGGTCTCTTTGGAATTGACGGAACCTTGCTTCTTCTAATTCCTTCTTTTTGGCAAGCTGTAATTGGAGCATAGCTTCTGTAGCGTCTTTGTTCTTATCATCTAAGTCTAAATGGTCCACTAGAGTAGAGATAGAGGATTCGGCAAAGGAAGAGGCAACCGATGTAGGGGAAGAAGGAGTGGGTGTAGCAGTCATTCTGTCATCGTCATATGAAAAAGGTTCGTCGGTAGTGAGGATTCTTAAATTTCTTTCGGACATTGGAGAAGGCGAAGGAGAAGGGGAATATTGGTTTGATTTTCTTCTTCGGGTCACGGTAGAAGCTCTCTTTGAATTCATGGAAGTAGGTCTAGGTCTATTCGGAACTTGGTTCTGTCCAAGCTTAAGACGGGTTCTAATATTTGCGTCACTCATGTCGGATAAGGAAGATGCTGTAAATTGTGCATGAGACAATTCTAATATGCTAGCAACAGATCTACTATGAACAAGTGCTCTCGCTAAAAGATTCAAAAAGGATGAGGTTAACACTATAAATCATACGAGAAATTGTATCACTAATTGTACCTCTTCTGACACCACTATTTTCGAAAAGTTTAAAATTAGAATTCTGTGTACAATTATTTCTGTGCTTTAATAATACCTGACACTATCAGGTACATAAGTGATTAGAATAAATCGATCATCGACCCTGACAAAACCGAACAAGATTTCGTTTGTAATATGCTCTCGGAATTCGCTATTGTAATTTTCTTTAAAGGTTTGCTTCATCGCTATCAATACTGGTTATTACCTTAACCCGTTGGTGCCACTTGCATATAGCGAAATCACACTCCTAGTGTCTTTATAGCCGAGCAAAAGCCTTTTTAAGGGAACAAAATTTAATTTAAAAAAAAAAAAAAAATTTGCCTATTTTTTATTTTTGTTACCAATCAGTAGGCTCTTCTTCTGTAATGGCAATGTACGCATTGAGAATTCGGGGATCGTTAACATCACACATTTCTAAAAAATAATAAATAAAATAATATAAAGAAGAAGAAAAGAATTTAAAATAAAATGATTATTTAAATTAGTAGCCAGAGTTCCACAGTCAATCAATTATTACACGAGTTTTTACATCCCCGTATACAGAGACCAAGTGCGTTTTGTGTATGAAAACGTGATTAAAAAAGCACATTTTATTTATTTAGTTTGTCAAAATAGATCACACACATCAACAATAATGCGGATCTATATCCTCCCTTCGCTAGACACTAATGGAAGGCCCAAGAAGCAATCGTTGCTAAATAATATCTGGCATATCAATATGCGGAGTCACCCGATCACGCTTCTCGAGCCGACAGCTTCTCTTAAATGCAATTTTTTATTTTAGCAAAACCGGGAACTCGAGAGCAAATAGTGCGGTAATCGAAAAACCTGAAAAAAAAAGGGTCCGAGATTATCTGAAGCGGGATCTTTTTACAATATATATAATAGAGTAAGCAACACCAAAATTCACAATGAAGTCATGGAGACAGTTGTATGAAAATATAAATGCCGTATGCACAGATTTACACTGCTCACGGCTCCAATAGGCGGAATCTCAAATATATGCGTGCTTTTAATTATCAAATTACGCCTTCACGGTTAAAAAATAAGCCAATTTGCATTATTCTTAACTTAATTCGCGTAACTTCATTGTGCATGCAGAGCATTTAGTTATTAGGTATTTAAATATGATTAAAAAGTGATGTAAATTTTATAAAAAGGTTTTCTGGGAGCATGTTTATGGTATGCTTCAGACATTTTGATTTTCAGATCTTCTGTATCCCCAAACTTACCTCATCTAATCTTTTCTTTAAAATTGCTCGATTGAGTTGGGCCCAGGGGAATAAAGTAAAAAAAAAAAAAACAGATGCATTAATATCTTCTACCCTCGGTTTGGATATGTATATCTTTGCTAGCATGAATGGGGGTATTATCTATTATAATAATGCAATATCCCTTAAATTCCTCATATGTATCCATTACGTCTAAGGTACTGGCTATGAAATTAAAGTGACGACTTGTCACAGTACTACCTTTTTCTTTGACCAATAGTGATACATTAACCGCAAATTTTCTCTTATTTTCTAAAAGACGACTGCTTTGAGATGTTTTTGTTACGTTCATATTAACATCACCCAAGGCAAATGCAGAACTGGATAACATCGTAAACTTTTACTCTTGTCTTTGTCCTATGAACAACGACGCAAGATGATTTTTTGGAACTTGTAAAAGATTGTTTTTTATTAATGCTTTAATCCACAAATATATAAGTGCTTTTATAGCTAATATATTGATATCTTTCCTCGATTCTGGTCGATCCACTTCTCTCGATTGAATAAAGGTGACTTTCTAAATGCGATGCTGCACTTCTGGATCACAAGATTGTAAAAACTATTTTCGGGTTTCAACGACCAATGAACTATGATACCAAATGTTCTCTCAATTCATCTAAGCCCCTATCGGACCTATACTAAAGTTCCAAGTGTTCGTAATGGTGTTCACTTAACTGAGAAAATCAGTACACTTTCTCTTTTGAAGCTGATTCGCGCTTTTGAGGGTAAATTTTTTAGCGCTGCCAATGCTACGACCCTTTCATCAATTTAGAAACGCACTTGTTATTGTTCCTACCGTTATGCAATTAATAGATTTTGTTTTGTTTGTTTGTTTTGGTATCGTTTGCATCAGGAACATAATTCTTAAGTGCTTTAACGATCTGGGCAAATTATTTTTGGGGCTTGTAAGCCCAAATGATGTGTATATGGTTGAATAAAGTAATGATATTCCATACATATTAGACTCTAAGCTATCTTAATCCAACTACTTTTTCCCATAAGAAAGGTTTACATCTCGATATACATAAAACTGTAATAGATACAGATTTTAGGGAGATAAACTAAAGAAACATCAGTGATAAGATAGTTCAGAGATATAAAGAAAAATAGTAGCGTAACCCGGAAAAATCAAGTTTGTCGACGATTGTTTTAAAGTTTCTATCAAAATTAAGCCCAGCTTCGACAGAGTATTTTTTTCGATGGTTTTGATAACATTTATGTAAAAACCTACAAATTTCAGGCCTTTTAAGTTTTTTGTAGTACATTTGCTGAAAGTTTTGAGCTATGAATAAGCTAAGTTCCGTTATTTTAGCAGCATCAAGTCACACGTCTAATGTCTATATGCTACGACCCTAACTTCATATAATGTCAACAGAAAACTTCATGGTTGTTCTCTCTCAGCATTTTTTGCTTATACGTGAAATTAGTTATTCAACTTTCTTGTTTTGTTAAACTTTGTATCTGTAGCAGTAGTAACGTATACATCAATCACTTAATACAAAAAAAAAAAGAAAAAACTTGATAATATATCAGCAGACCCCATACATAATGAAAGTGCTACATGTATGTAACAGTAAGCCAAAGACGCGTAAAATTGTGTACTGAGAGAAACTGTACGAATATATACTCAGCTCTCGCACGGGTGCTTGCTTCTAATGGTTTAATCGGGTTGGTTTCTGAAATTTCTTGCGGGAGTTGTTATTGCTTTACACAAGGAAATGGTCATCAAACATGCTACAAAGAGTTCTTCGAGCCAAGTCGAATAGATTAGGGTCTATGCCAGTATTTCTGATACAATCAATGTTACGCTTAAGATCAAATGTTAAAATGAGCAAAAAAATGTAAATACGAAAGAAAAAATATCAAAAGTAACAATATATTAAGCTACAAAAATACTGTCAATTACAGCTAATTTTTTTTTTTCAAGGTATAAAATCTTTAATTCGGTGGTATACAAATAAGGCTTTACAATGCCTGAAATCAGGGTAATATTCCGGTTTGATAAAACGGGGTGGTGGAAGAGGGATTATTCGTAAAATTTAGCTGATAGTAAAACACGTATTACAGTTTTTGGTTTATATTTCTTAGGCCCTATGGCCATAGGTGTGGCTATTTGTCTCAAATTTGATTTAATTAATGTGATTTTTTGGGGGCGCCGTAGGCGCTTCCAAAAAAAAACCTATTCTGTATGATCTCATTTTTTACAGGACTACATTGAATATAAATAAGGGTTTAAAACTGATAGTTTATTACATAGTTTGAGAAGTACAAAAATTTCTATTCATCTTGCCCTTGCATGAAGAGCTGTTACACTTCTTACATGTCTTTGGTTTTCTTTCTTTCGGTGGAAGAATGTAAAAAATTCCGCGATTTGCAGTAGTAGTTGTAGTAGTCGCAGACGCAGACGTAAAATTGTTTTGCAATCGAGGAATTTGCATTCTAGGATTATGATGAAGCTGTTGGAATGCGAAAGAGCTACTACTGTCGATTGGTGTCATAAGGGTTGGAGCTATAATTCTAGCTGGCCTGGTAATTTGGGGAGTTTGCAAAGAGCTAATAATAACAGGAACATTCAGATCATTACTGATGACGTTACTGCTCAATTCACTTGAACCCAAATGGGTGAAAGTATTGGGTCTTTGAGAATTTGCCAAACGTGATTCATGTCGAATGTTGCTACGCATCATATCACACTGAGCCTGGTTAGCCAAAATGATATCTCTGTATTTACTGTCATCCTTTTTGTTGTTGTTGTAATATAATATAAGGTGTTCAGGACATTTGTAAAATATAGAGACACCATCTACTCTTTCAGATCATGCTTTACTTATTGCTACCCAGGTGAAATAATTGTTTAGATTCTGAGCTGAGAAATGATTATTGACAAGTTCATTGTGCAATTTATACTCCTCATATGTGTGTACGGGAGTTAATGCAAATCTAATTCCCTGTCTACTAGCCAGATAGTGGTACTTATTGTACTTGGTTGATCTCAATACATCTGAAAATACTTGGGGATTCGTGTTGTTATGTGGCATAACATTCAACATCAGTATCTTTACGGGAGGCAGTTTTACTGTAACAAGCGAGCTCACTTCCAAAACATCTACAATATTGTTAGGTATCAGCAATCAACAAGAAAAAATTTAATTACAAATATGCGACTAGTTACCTTGGGTCAACACTTGTATATTAAAATCTTTTCCGTCATTGATGTTTTCTTCTTTGTGACAATAATTCAGAATCGTGTCTTAAAGGTAAGAGGTAACTGAAAGTATCTATGACCTCCTGAGAAACAGGGCATATTCCAAATTGTTCGTTCGAATCAACAAGATGGTGAGAATTACCGTAAGAGTCAGCGTATGACGAAATAAATTCTTGATCAACATCAGCACGTAACGTATTCAGAGCTTGAACAAGCCATGGGTTATAATGGCTTCGATGCTCGATGTTAAATCTATTTCTGCTTCCAACTTAGTTATATACTTAATTAATTACTCACTGAATCAAATTTTGTGGCTCTGATCTTACAGACATGTTGTGGCGCAGACGATAGTCAGCGAGAGCACAATCAGCCAAAAATGGGTCTGCATTAAAAGAACTAAACTTTCGAATAATATTTTGGTGGATACCACCTTCAACAGAATTTGCACCTCTCGTACAACGATACACAGGCAATCCACGCGAAACTCTTTTGACCAAATAGTAGAATGAAATTCCAGGAGGATCGCTGACATGGCCTTTTCTAATTGCCTCCAAATCAGCTTTGGCTTGCTTCCAGCCCTGTCTGTCGAAAAGCGGGAATCCTGTAGCAGCGCACTTAATGTAACCGTAAACATTGAAAAGATTATCGACCACTGGCAAAAGAACATTGGGACTTGGTACGTATCTACGTACTCGCTTGAGCACCCAGTCCGGCTTGATTAACATTGCCCTGCCCCAAGTAATGTCTACAGATTCAAGATACTCTTCTACAGCTCTCTTGTCCTCTTCATCGTAAAGGAATATTGCATCTCTTAAAACTCGAGCAAACTCCTTAGACAAACCATGTCTCGTTGATACTTTTATCATATCCATTAAATGGAATATGTCCTTTAAAACACGAGTCGGAAGAGTGTTCGACAATTTGTCATCGTTGCTTTCTTCTTGATCAATATTGACATCCAAAAGTGTATCAACGTCAGTATTGTTATTTTGCTCTACAAAGTTGTAAATTACTTCATCATCCCTTTCTTCATCCTCACTTTGATCATCAACTACCATATCCAAATCTGCTTAAAACAAATATTATGATGAATAAAAAAAAATCTATATAAATAAATCTACCTACCAACTAAAATAGGAATATCATCACTAATAATTTGAGCCTGGTTGAAATTATTAATAGGCGTATCTTCAGAATTATGTGAGGATGACAGCGGTACTTCAGTAGAAGGTGGCTTTGCTGACTTCAGCCTTAATGATAATAATGCCAGCGACAATAACGTCAGTGATAATGATAGTAATACTAAGAAATGCTGCTAGTAATATAAATGATGATAATGATATTGGTGATAGCATTGTTGGTGGTAACAATGTGAGTGATAAAAACAAGTGCTATTAGCATAAGTGAAAATAGCATAAGCGATAACAATAATAAACGTTACAATATGATGAGTATATGCTAAAGAGGGTATTTTAGTGGTCTTCGTCTGGCCTTCTCTTCTTATTTATAGCTGCGTTGGTAACAGGAACGAAGGAAAGGGGAAGAAAAAACTTGGTTTCCGGCTCGATGAAAACAGATGAATTCATGTCCTTCAATTGATCAACAGTTGACTTCAGCACTCTGTTTAAATTGTAGACGAAATTTAATACAGGAGGAAGTAGACGTGGTATTTCAGAAACAGTTTCAGGCATATGAAGTCTATCAGAGATAGAAAGAAGTGATATTGATCCATTATCAAATGACAGGCCCAAAGCTTTAATATTATATCCTAATAAAATGCCAGATAAATTTTACTACGACCATTGTTTTCTTTTTAATTTCCTATTTCTTACTACTGACTATAGTACTCATAGTATCGATGTTACTCGGGTTCATCTTGTATTGAGAATTTAGATAATTTAGATGAAGGCAGAAGTTTTTCATCATCAGTGGCGCTTTAATTGAACTTTCGTTCAATTCTTTAGTATCATTTGGACCATGGTCATCAAGACCAATTTCAAGACAAAAAAGTTCATGTGAAAGATATCTAAAGGTTAAATCAGCATTTTCGGCCAATTGCTTTCTTTGAACCTTTGATGTAGAGCCTATTGATCATTTTGAGTTTCTACACTCACTAGATGACTGGCTTTGTTTAGCGCTATTAAAGTATTGTAAAGAAAATTAATTACAAAATGGGTATTTCTTAAAAAAAAAAGTACAATATCCTTATCCATATGCCTTAGTTTCACTAAGTCTACAACTAGTTTTGATGAAACCATATACATTGTCAAGTAAATCTTGCTCTGTTTCTGATGGTAACAAAACTTCATTATCTATAAACAGCATTGCATAGTTTAAGATGCTTTGTTTTAACCAGAATTTTTCTGGATTATCTATAGGGTGAGCTTCAGTAGTGGCAATTGTATCATAGATGTCCCTAAAGTTAGACCATTAAAAAATAAGGTAAGTGCTAGGTGTAATATGGCTCATACTTTGAGTTCACCTTTTTATTTAACTTGAGTTTTATGCCTTGCAAGTCAGGAGGAAACGGCTTGTTAAAGTCAAAAGAGTTGGCTGCAGCCGCGATTTCATCAAGCTCAGATTGTGAGAAAGTTTCTTCCCAAACTGAGTCCTCTGTATTTAATATAAACGAATGGGCAGGACTGAGCCAGTGTTAGTTACTAAAAAACAAATAAAGTTTCATAACTATGTACTCAAAATACTTACTGCTTCACAATGAATTCTTTTGAAGCTTTGTACATAACATCTTCTACCATTCTGCCAGTTTTTAACTTCCACTTCTTTGTGAGTTTAGAAAAAGTTTCAGAAATGTTTAAATAGTCAAATGTTGATAATTGTCTTTGGTATGATAGCGATGAAGTTGAAGAACATGCTTTACTACGGGATTCATTTGGGAAATGTCTAGACCTCCGTATTTTTTTCAAACGTATTTTTTTTATACCACTTACAGGAATTCCGGCCAGAAGACCAGCAGACCAGTATGATTGCACCTATTTACAGTGCAATCACAGCCATTCACGGTTCGTGAGTTCCAAAAACTCAAGAACTCTGCCCTCCTATAGCAAAGACTAGCCGCAGCCGCATTATCACAATTATATATCTTTTTCAATTTAGCTTCTTTTCAAAGAAACAAGAGTCACTACTAAACAAACCTTTTTACGTGATCGATTACTTTCATACATTAAAAGAAGTATGTCAAGGGAAAAGAAAAGGAGAAGAATAAAGTGTGTGAACCAGCTTTATTTATAGATAAACAAGCTTATGTCAGGATAATTTCATTTGTCTATTTTATCATCCATAATGTTTGAGCCTTTACTTAAAATAGAAACACTTACAAAAACCTCCCAAGCAAGTCAGAGCTTGGTAATTGTCTATCTGCATTCCAGTAGTAGCTTGTAATGACAGCGAAGCAGATTTTATGGAAAACAGAAAACGATCATTCTATGAAGTTTAGATGATATGGCATGTCGACCAACGCGTAATTCTAAAAAATACGGAGTTCTAGACATTTCCATTCATTTGAGCTTAAAATTGCTGTTTGAGAAGTTTCTGAACGTAAAGTTGCTAATTTCTTTTTTATGAGGTCGCCAATAATTTCTTCATTCCATGTATCCCCTTGCTCGTTCGGTTCAGTAGCAAGAGATAATCTAATGACTGCGGTCTTGAACAATTGCTTCCAAACGGCTCTGTATTCACTGATTGGTGTGTAATCATAGTTTGAAAGTATAAAGGATCGCATGTCAAAAATAGATCTATTCCATGAAACTATGGGCTGATCTTTCGCTTGGGATAACAAGTTGGTGTGTATTTCTAAAAATAAAGATTATAAAAAACGCAATTAATATATCAGCATACATTTCAACGTTAACTCACTTACCTTCTTTTAACGCGTTATAGAGTTTTATAATAGTATCAGGTAATATAACGTAACATTTAAGAAAGTTTTTTTTTTATATGAACATTTAAGAAAGGTAATGGTCGACACGTATTTTATTTAAAAAGACAACGCGAATAAGCTTTTTTAAAACTGCGCATCCGTTACAGGCAAAAAAGGATGTTAGAAAGTACATCAAAATTTATTAAATGGGTTTTATGCTTAATCAATCATCGAATTCCCCTACTGAATTTCTACAAAAGTCTTGTTAATCACTGGTGAGCACATTAATTTAAACTTTTCTAATTTTGAAAGACAATGTCCCCTGTTCAAAAGTGCTTCTCTCTTTACTTTACTTTGGTACATTGACCAAAATTTCTCAATGGGGTTAAGTTCAGACGAGTAAGATGGATGGTAAACATAGCCATAGCCATGGGACTCAATATAATTTCTGATATTAACGTGGTTGTGAATTGAACAGTTGTCCATTACCAAATAATGGCCTCTCTTCGTATTGATTCATTATTTATATGGTCTCAGCTACAAAGTTGAAATAGTATCCAGTCACCGTCCCACCTCTCCCTTTCTCCGGTTTTTTTGTAGCTTCACCTGGTCAGGAGCCGAAACTGACACACGGTTTCTTCTTACTCTTTCTGCCTCTGCTACCAAAAAGAGTGGATCGCTTTCGTTACGATTGGCTAGATATTGCCTGTTGCGAGCATTATTTGCCTGAATCTCTTCTGGTGATCACGCTTTGTGCGTTTCTTTCTCTGGCCGCACGTGTAGAACGCCAAAACAATTGGTGATAATGTTTGGGTGTCTAGTAGCTAGAACCTTTTATCCCGCTCTGTCCATATGTAGTGTATGAAGCAAAAAAGATGAGATATTTTGTAGTCGTTTGACTCCGCCAAAAAGCACATCATTTCTGTTGGTGTACAAAAAAACCGAATCCGACCCTATCTCTTTTTTTATTTCTCTATCATTTCCAAAACAAATGTCTCAAGAAACAGAAAAGTATGCACCTATTCAAGGCGGTGGCTCTCTCGTTATTGCCTACCAAGTAGCTAACAAAAATATTCTCATTGTTGGAGGTGGTAATGTTGCAGCACAACGAATTGTCTCGCTCAAGATTGCAGACGCTGTCGTTACAATTGTCTCGCCTGAACAAGGACTTCACCCTGAAGTTAAGTACCGTATTGAAAATGGTGAAGTCTCCTGGAAGAATCGTAATTTCCAAGACGACGATCTGGATACGGCCGATATGGTTTTGACAGCTCTGGACGATCATGAAGAAAGTTTGCGTATTGGCCACTTGTGCAGAGAAAAGCGTATTCCTGTCAACGTAGCGGATGTACCTCCCATGTGCGATTTCTATTTCATGAGCCAACATCGTGATGGGCCTCTTCAAATCGCGGTGTCAACCAACGGTCAAGGACCTAAAATGGCCAACATGATTCGTGTAACCGCTGCCAAAGCTTTGCCAGAAGACATGGGTGCTACTATTGAAAAAATGGGTAAATTACGTGCCAAAGTAAGAGAATGGGAGCCTGAAATGAAGAATTCGGGTAAAAGAATGACTTGGGTGACAAAAGTATGTGAAAAATGGGGTATGAAGGGTATGGGCCGCTTGAATGAACTGAAGACAGAAGAACAAGAAGAGGCTGCTTTTAAAAAATTGCGTGAATATTTCATGATTGGTGCTGTACCTAGTATCGATAGTATCTTAAAGTCGGATAAGAAGCCTCGTATTACCTTGATTGGCGGTGGCCCTGGTGACCCTGAACTAATTACTGTCAAAGCAAAACGTTTGTTGGAAGAAGCTGATTTGGTTATTAGTGATCGTTTAATCCCAAGCCAGATTTTGGATTTGGTGCAAGGTGAATTACGTATCGCCCGCAAATTCTCAGGTAAATCAGATGAAGCGCAAGAGGAATTGATGAACTGGTGTCTTGATGGGTTAAAGCAGGGTTTACATGTTGTGAGACTTAAGATCGGCGATCCCCTTTTATTTGGAAGGGGTGGAGAAGAAATTCTTTGGTTCCGTGAACGTGGATTTGAGCCTGAATTAATTGCTGGTATTTCAAGTGCTTTCTCTGCACCTATGGCAGCCATGATTCCAGTGACATATCGTGGCGTATCAGATCAAGTGATTATCACTACGGGTCGAGGCACAAAGGGATCTATGCCTGATTTGCCTATTTATGGAGCCACGCAAACATTAGTAGTATTGATGGCTGTCGGGAGAGCCTCCGAATTACGATCCATGTTAATTGATCGTCAGTATCCATTGGATGTGTCTATTTGTTGGATCGAAAACTCAAATTGCCCTGAAGAGCGTATTGTTTTTGGAACTGTTGATACTTTAGCTAAAACAGTGGAGGAAAACGACATTAAAGCGCCAGCTGTACTTGTAGTCGGTCATTCTAACACTGTCCTTAATACGCCAACTAATCTATAATTGGTTAATTTCATTTAAAAAACGAAATTTCATGGTGTATTTGTGTCACAGTAGGCAATCATCTTTTTGTAAATATGTGTAATAAATCGAGTCAGTCTTGAAGATGCAGAATGTGTTGGCATCATCTGCATTCTTTTTTTTAATTATCAGCTGTTTGTTTGTTTATAAAACGGTTCACGCTGAAAACTTGCCCCTTGATTTGTCGAGGAATCTCGGGCTCATGTGTCGCGAAAAGAGACAGCATATAATGTATTTGTTTATCCGTTCATTTATTTATTACTCCTCTTCTCCCCCTTTTTTCCCTTTTTTCCCTTCTTTTCTCTTCTTTTACATATATTATTGTTTAAATCAATGACATGAGTGCATCATCGTCGAATGCAACCTCACCATCGACATCGAGTCGACCATCTCAGCCCTTTGGTACGGGTATGGTCAAGTCAGGGTCCAACTATTCTCTCTTCCGAAGCGACAATAAAAACAAAACCTTTACACGATCACGACAAAACACGGTCGGAGGACTTGATTTTGCAGACGATCTCAACCGAAACATAGGATCAGATTATCAAGAAATTCAAATCAGAACATTAACAAAGTGGGTCAATGCACAACTTAGTACAGCAGACGAGTCTATTAAAGACATAAAGACCGATTTAAGGGACGGTAAAAAACTACTCAAATTACTCTCTGTCATTTCCAAAGAGCCAGCACCCAAGCCAGAACGTATGAACATGCGTATCCATCAACTCTCAAATGTTGCCCAAGCCCTTAGTTTTCTAGAGAGGCAGGTTGGTCTGGATAGTATGCCTGATATTGGAAATGAGGCTATCGTGAACGGAGATGCTAAAAAGACGTTGGCTTTAATTTTCTTCATCATGCTGAAATATCAAATTCAACTTATTGTTACTGAACATGGCGATGAGTTTTTACACTCCTTAACAGTAAAATATACCTTGTGTTTACATATATAATTCCTCTCCCCTTTTTTTGCTTACTGATACCCATCATTAGGAGTTATCCGAGCGTGAAAACGGTGTAAAATCCAAATCAACAGATTTTAATATAGAACCAGCTAAACCAACACCTTTATCACATGCACGAAAGCTAGGCAGTCATAATTCGATAGCAGATAAACTCCAGCATACTTCTACCTCGGCAGAAGCAAAAGTGGCACTTTTATATTGGGTTAGAATTCAATTAGAAGATTATATCAGTGCAAATATTATACCCTCTATACAAGACTTTTCTCGATCTTGGCGAAACGGTGTTGCTTTTTGCTTATTAATTCACCGTTATAACCCAACCTATATACCCGATTTATTCAGTGTATACTTGAATAATGCAGACCTAAATGAAAAAGCCACTTGGAATCAGTTATTGAAATTGGCTTTCAGCATAGCCACTGAGCACATGGGTGTACAACCATATCTGGAGCCAGAGGATTTAGTTGAGGTCGACTATCCCCATGAACCCAGCGTCATGATGTACGTCAGCGAGTATTACAAAATCATGTCGAAATATCAATGTGATGAACCCGTGAATGTTAAACGTGAAAGGGCTTCTAAAAGAAAAGCCGAAATTATTATGGCCTCAGGTGGAACTATAGACTACAATGATGATGAGGAGGATGAAATCTATTCTTCCCCTCCACCCACAGATGTACTCTCCACTTCTCCAACCACAAGCGAGGCTGATCATTTCTTACAGCAGAACCAATTACAGCCCCCAACGCCTATACCCATGCCATCTGCACGCAGGAAAAAGAAGATGGCCCAACGTGAATCAACATTGGGGAAGGAGGATAAAGCAAGAATCAAGGCAGATTTAAATGCTAAATTATTAATGCAGCTAACTGGGCATTTGCCTCGTGGTGTGCATCCAATCCTCGATGAACTGTTAACGATTCATGAGACCGTCTTATCATTTATCAAATCACAAACAAGAACGATCGATGAAATACCCGAAGAGTTCATTAGTTCTGCTTCAGTCACCGAGTATATTGATGCACTCGAAATTATTGAGGAACAGGTGGATAATGAAGTGTCCCATTTGGACACTGCCAAAAATGCAAGAGATGTGCTCACGTCGCCACCTGAAACTGCTGATGATACATTGATCCGACTTACTGATCTGCAACGCACACAAGTGTCTAAATTGTACGAGATGCTGAAAAAAGAATGGGATCAATTTGTCGACCTCTTAAAGACAACCAAAGATGACTTACTGAGTGTGGAAAGTGCGCTCATTGATACAGAAGAAGGTGCTGAAGAATATCAACATCGCGCCAACGAATTAGAAAAACAATTGGATACATTCATAACATCACTTGGACGAATCGCTCCACTTTTAAAGGTAGCGACGGTGGTTGAAGAATTAACACTTGCTGCCAACACAAAATTACATCCGATAGAAGGTTTACCTGAAAATGCAGAGCAGTACAAGACCGATTTAGTTGACTTTTCAGAAAAATTTAAATCATTTCAAAATTCGTCCTGGAAAGATTTCAGAAAATCCAGTCGTCAATTATCTCGTGCTGTTATGCAGGTTGTATCTGTTCGTTCCAACGAGGTAATTTCAAAATACGATACTCTGGTCATTGCTCTGGAACATGAACGCCAAGCTTGTGTAAATTTTGAGCGTGGGCTAGTCATCTTGGGGAAAATACGCACTATTGATGATGAACTATCTCATATTCAACAAACAATGGAGGATAATGGGCAACAAGAAACTACCAATGAAGATATCCAGCAGTTAGAGAGTAAAGTAGCGGCTGTCCGAACCATCATTTACAGCGTTAAGGAAGAATATGGAGATTTATTGGAATCAGACTCGCGTTTTAGGAAGATGTTTTCGGAAATTCAAGCTCGATATGAAAAAGTCAATAAATGGGTCGATCAAGTCCGTGTTTGGTTTATTGAAGCGGACCGTATTCGGGATTGGATTGAATTGCGTATAAAGACAATTAACGACAGTAACCAAAATGTGGATATTGATCCACTTACACTCGACATGTCGCATTGGGAGAAATCCACTACCGACACAATTTGTGATGAACATAAAAAGTTAAAGCGTGAAATCGAACGTTTTGATCAAGACGATATGACTCGACTTCGATCCCATGTAATGGAATTGACACATGCAACAGAGGGAAGTATCAGTCCCGCAGATGCATCCACCATCGAAATAACGTTGACTACGCTCAATATTTTGAATCGTTTAATGAAACTTTTGGAAAAACGTTCAAGATTGATCGATACTTTACAAGTGCGTATCCAGTGGGAGGACCTTTTGGCAAACGCCATCAAATGGTGTGAGGCAAAAGATAGTGAAATACACGATTTTGTCAATGGAAAAGCACGTTGGTCTGAACCTGAAGAGGATGAAGTGAGTACTCATTATCTTAAACTGCTTACTGAAGAAGTGATTCAAAGCTTACTGTCGCTGGAAAATAGTATTGCTGAATTTGATAAAGGTGAGCTGAAAATGATTATTTAATTGCCTATTTCTTACTAATATGTATCCAGGTCACTTTTCCGATGTATTGGATAGTTACCAGGAAATCGAAGAGCTGGTTGACACCACCTTACCAAGTCATATGGAAGACCGTCAAGAAAATTTTGAGAATCAATTTGGGCTTTTGATGAAACGCTGCTCATTTGTACGAAAGGTTGTGGAACAACACTTAGTCATAAACGATGTATCCTCCCAATTCAGGAAGTTGAGAGCCGAGGGAGAGAAGCTTAAATCCTCCATGACTCATAGTACTGATACCTCATCCAACACCTCACAATCTGAAAGCAACGTCTTTGATGAACGTGTACAAGCATTTAAAGATAGCTCTTCCAACTGGGTTACCACTTTAGTGAAGCGTATTCCGTACCCAGAACTCAGTGAAGGTTATGCTGACGCCGATATAGCATCTAACGAGGCATCGAATATCTTGATTAGCGACAGAATGAACGATTATTCGACCTATCTGGCGGAGATTACGGAAGAACTCGAGGGATTATTATATTCACACCGAGAAAATCTTTCTCTTCAACAACGTGCCAGTCTTGCATACGATGATCTTTTACGCATTGCCTCTTGGTTAGAGGATAGAGTGCGTGCACTTCAAAAGTTTGATGGCTCCATTTTAGAGCAGGAGGATGTTATTATCTTGGAAGATGAAGCTTTAGTTCGACTTGAAAAGGAACAAGAAGGAATTGCTGTCAGATTAGAACAGTTGGAAAAACGTGATATGGCCAAGTCTTTGGACGCGGTACGTCGTCTTGAAGTGGAAATTGACGAGACAAACTCAGTATCCATTGATAGAAACACACTTGTCAGCGGTATCGAGCGTTTAGAACAAGGCCACAGAGAACTCAAGAAGGCATTGGAGACAAGAACAAGTGAATTGACTGCTTTGAAAAAGCGTATTTCATGGGAGTCACAATGGGAAGACGCATACCAGGCCATCACTGACCTGGCTCACAAAGTTTGGGATTTCAACGACAGATTTGCTCAATTTGACACCGAAGGCTTGAAAAAGAAAAGAATCAGCTTGTCTGATACTGAGCCTGTTGTTGAAGTTGACAAGGAATCCATGTATAAAGATATTCTAGACCAAGTAGCTGACATCTCATCTCAGTTTGACATCATCGCTTCAGATTCCGCATACCTTGAGCTACAATCTACTTATGCTATTTACCATGGTAAAGAAGATCTGGACACGGGGAGTACTCCACATCACATCATTGCAAAAGAAAAAGATTTAAAAGATGGTTACCAAGATTTAAATCAGCTGTCAGACTATGTATCCGATATTTTGGAACAGCATAATGATATAGCCGAGCTTGCTGCCTTATGCGATCAAGTTCAAACAGATGGTGAGCTTGCTCAAGAAACTATTCAAACTACCTTAAGAGAGTCTTCTTCAACTGCAACCTGTGATACTCCCGCCACAAAGTCCGAACCAATAATCAGTAACGAAATGATCGAACACCTTACATCTATTCAAGGTCAAATTGATCAACTCTGTGAAACTGGTAATTCAATGGAATACTTAGAAGGTGGCCAATGGTTTGAAGCATATCAACCTCAATCCCTAGTTCAGCCTGCTGATTATAACAAGCAAATTCAGTCATTCATTGCCAAGAAAATGGACAACTTAAACAAACTTAAGGAATCCATGGGAAGAATTCTAAGTAATTATCAGTACGCCGATTCGATCAAATCAAAATTAGATGAGCAACAGATTGAAGCAAACCTTATTTTGGAATGGATTGAAAAAGCTTCAGACTCATTAAATGGCCGTCATATTGATGTTGCTGCCTCTTCGACTAGTAAGATGTCCAAAGATATTGTATCTACTTATCAATCCGAAAACATGCGCCTTGTATCTGAGCTGCAAGAGTTTGAATCAACACGTATTTTGGCTTTGCAAACAAATTTGGATCTAATTACCAAAGAAGTGTCCGAAAACGCTTCCTCTATTATTACCGAAACCACAGAAACATGTAAATCGCTATCCGAAAATATTCATCGAAGTATTCTGTCGCTTCGACAAGCTATTTTTAACCAGTCTCTTGTCCTTGATACTGCTGATAAAAGACTTTCTTGGGAAAAAGATATGGATGAAGCCCAAAGCCGACTTGACTTTGTGAATCATCAACTTCAACAATACATTTTAAAGAAAAACAAGTGCGTTGCTCAACAAGAAGTACTTTCAAAGGATCACATTGAAACACTTTCTGATGAACGATCCGATATCAATCAACAGTGCCAAAATTTCAAGACGGATACAATGGAACCTTTGGAGAAGCAATACGAACAAGTGAAACTGATGTTTATAAAACTCCCTCTAACAAAGTCTATTCCTGTACACATGCAAGAACGTATGGAGGTATGTCTCCGTAATTTGAAAAAATTACAGGAAGCGCTCATTTGGCGTGAAAAGGAACTAGATTACATCAAGCAACGAAGTGAACTGGAACTGGACATCAAACAGTCCATGCTAGATCTTGATCTTTACAGAAAATCAATTGCATTGTTTGTGGAGGTAAAAGCTCGATGGAATCCCGACGAAAGTGAAGAGGACATCGATGAAAATATTACAGTTGAAGATCAATGGACCTTAGAAAAAGAACAATTCGAAACGTACACAAAATCAAAATTAATTCCAATGAAGGACAAATATCAATCCCTTCGAACTATTTCTGATTCTTTAAAACCAGGATTTATGTCTGAGTTACATATCAAGAAAATAGAAGCTTTGACACAGGTGGAATATTATGTGAATGCCGATATTTCATATGCTCGACAAGTCGTTACTCAGAGAATGCAGATTTCTGATCTACTTGACAGAACCTCAGAATTAGAGAAGTTGGCTGAGGCCATTAAAGAAGCGTTCCTATCATCACCCGCATCGACAAATCAAAATATGGCCACCAACAACCTGAAATTGGATGATTTCATTGTCCGAGTAGAAAAAGTTAAACAATTCGCAAAATCTGATATCGTAGTTCCTCAAAGATCAAACCAGGATGATATTGCCATGCCCACTAAAGTCAAGGATAAAACTATGAATTCTGTTGCCCAAGATGTTATTTCCACAAGAATAGGAAGATTAGATGAGTTGGTGGAAAGTCTATCTAGCTTGTTCAAATCACAGGAAGTATTTACTCGCCTCCAATATGTACTCAAAATCTTTAAGCGACAAATGACAGCCTGTGATAACTGGATTTCCTCAAGACGTGATATATTAGAGAAAAGTGTACATATATTGGACGATGACAACTTGGCTCTCGATATTGATCATCTACGAGACGCAGTAAGTGAAGCAGATAGTATCCAAACAGCTATGAAGGCGCATGACAACAATTTCACCCTTCTCTGCAAGCATCGTAAAGAATACATTATGATCTTTGATGAACAAGGATTGCTCAGTGACGAAGAAAAAGAGAACAAAATGGCTGAATTTGATGAAGTATCTGCCGCTTTCGAAGGTATTAGTCGTCGATGGGATGATCTGTTACTGGAAACCAAGGAAGTATCAAATGCTTTATCCATTGCCCTCTTGCCTGCTGAGCTGAATGGACGTATTTCGAGTCTGATGGCATCGTTTGAAGCACTTCAAGATCAAATTAAGTCTGTGGATGAGTCTTCAGTGACTGACTATCAAGTTAGTGAGTGGCAAAAACGTATTGATGATCTGGAATACAAAGAGTACAATAAACTCTTTTCGGAAGTAGGAGAATACAAACATACCATCAACTCAGACATGGTTGAGTCTCTGATGTCTAAATTAGATCAAGCAGGAGATACTGTACTAGAGATTCGTGCAACTTTAACTAGTCTCTACGATTTGATCAATGCAAGTCGTCTTCGGAATACTCATGCCGAGAATTCCGAACTTTTTCATAGTTCTGCAAAGAAAGTACTTGATTCTATTAAGCTAATACAGGAAGGAAGATTCAGTTCCACTACTGATAAGCAGACAACAGAAGAACGTGCTCAGCACTTTAAAGATCTTACGGTTGCACACAAGCAAATTAAGGAATCAATATTGGAATGCCAAGGGTTTTATGATGATTCTGACTCCTACTACAGTGGCATGATGGTACAAGATGTGAATACCCCTGAAACTCAAAAAGTGCAAGAAAATGTCGAAAAGGTTTGGAGTAATGTCGAATCTAAAAATTCGGGTCTATCAGCTTTTGTAACTAGAACATCAAAGTGGATTGAAGGATGTGATGAATTGGATAAGCTTAAAAAGTCTTTGGAAATCTTAAAAGTGGATGTCGATAAAGTAACAGTTGTTCAACTTCATCCTTCACCAAACATAAATCACAAGATTCAGAAATATGAAAAGCAGTTACTTCAGATCGCAATGAATCTTGAAGAACTTGAAAATACGGTCAAAAATACACCAGACATGGAACAAGACATTACAAATAAATCCAAGTTTTTAACTCGTAGTCAAGAAATTCGGGAATATAGCCTAGTACTTCAACGTAGCTTAGATAAGAGAAGAATGGACAAGGAAAGAACTTCATTGTTTGAATCATTTAAAGGTGAAGTGACCAAGGTTTCTAAAATATGTGAAGATCAAATCTCTTATATTCGACAACAATCAACTGCTAATCCAGAAAATCATTTGAAAAAAGCCGACGCCGTCAACAGTATCATCAATGCATACAGTGCAGCTCTGTCTCATATTCAGGATAATTACAGTGAATGCAAGATGAAGCATGATGGTATCATCTCAGATCACGCCACCAAACTTGTCAAATCGTTTGATCACCCTTCTTCGGAAATTTACAGTGCCAAGCTTGGCTTGGAGAAACTTTTAAAGGAGCTGGATGCCGCTCTTAAAGTTGAGAATGATTATATCACATCGCTGAAATTGTTGGGCCGTCTTATGAAATTTGATAAGGAAATCAGCCGAAACATAAACGAGCTAAAGGCAGGCAATTCCCGACCCTATACTGGCAAATCCTCAAGAACAAGTCGCACTCGTGATTTACCTGAGCTCAAAGAATACATGCAAAAATTTGATTTAATCGAAACGTCTATTCGTGAATTTCAACAAAAATGCGACGAGCTTAAGAAAAATCTTAACAAAAGAATCAGTTTAGCAAGAACCAGTGCTATTACCAAAACAGTGGATAGACGTAAGGATGAGATGAACAGAAAGTGGGTAGAAATAAAATCTTCTGCAGATGAGACTCGTGATCGTCTTGACACTATACATAAACGTCAAACTGCTGCAATGAAACTTTCAGAATCATTAAAATATGTCTGCAGCTTAAAAGATCGTGTTGAAGTACTCCAATTATCTGGCCAAAGTGTATCTATCGAAGAGCAAGAACTAAATGAACTTCAGGAGGAAATTGATGTAACATTGAAAAAGTACACACAAGACATCGATGCACTGTTGAAAACTTTGGGACATAATGAAATTACTATGGCATCATCCTTATCCGAAGGATCTTTGAAGATGCAACGCGAAAAATTGAAGCAATCAATTGAAGAACTTCGTCAATTGGTCAAACATCGTTTGAAACAAGCTCACACAGAAGGAAGTATTACAGAATTTTTTGGGATCACTGACCAAGTAGACTCAGATATTTTACTGTTATCTAAAGTTATCGAGGAGACATCAACACAACATGCCAGTGTTGTTGGATCAAAGTTTAACAAAGCAGATTTACAGCGATTACTTAAAACTTTGACAACAACTTACAAAAAGAGCGAACCTAAAATTTCGCAACTTTTAATTAAAGCGAAGTCGGAAGCACAAAAACAGTTTTTGGATGATAATGATCGTGTCGCAAAGAGATTGCGCAAAACAATGAAGGATTGGTCTAATGTGCAGGCTTCTGTTTCCTCCCGGGAGAAAGAATTACAGACTTGTATTAAGGAACTTAACCACGAATTTTTCACCAAACTTGCTATGGCTAAATCAACGCCTCGAGAGCGAAGAGCGCGTAGAACCAGTAGAACTAGAACCGAACTAGTTCCTCCCCCAGGTCCAAGACAATTTAGTTTCAGATCTTCGACTCTTTCGACTGAAATGAAAATGGCAACTCCTAATAACTCAGCTATGCGCAGATCAAAGACTCCAACCAGCCCAAATGGCCGCAACAGTACCTCAACATATGTTGCAGATCCTAAGAATGAATTGGATGTACAATTGGGTTTAATCGTGAACGAAAGTCCGTTCCGTATGAAGGTTAAGATGGTTCCTGGTGAAGTCGGTAAATATTGGTTCGGTGAAGAACATCCCAGGTTGGTCTATTGCCGCATTTTACCGAGTAAAATGGTCATGGTTCGTGTTGGCGGTGGTTGGGTCGAATTGTCAAGGTAAATTACTAAAATTTACAATTTGGGACACTGCACTAATAATACAATATGCTTACCTTGGATTTTTGTTTAGATTTATGAAAGGTATGCAAAAGCTAACTATTTCCTTTTTTTTAAGCATGTTTAGTAACAAATGCTTTTCTTCTATTTATTTATTCTTCAGATCATGGTCATAGTGATAATCTTGCCACCAAGTCAGAAAGTGGAGAAACACGATATCTTTCCGTCAGTACTCATAATGACGGAATCGACGGAGCTCCCTCATTCTCTGTCACAACCAGAAGTGGTTCACCCATGGGACCAATTGTGGGAACACCTATAATCCGCCGTGGAAGTGGTGTGAGTAGTAGTCTTACAAATCGATCATCGAACTCATCGTCCGGATACGTAGAGGGCGACAAATTTATTCAGACTGATGAAGAAGGTAAACAAGTATCTTTGAAAATGGTCAAAGCCGACAGCTCAGCAAAAACTATTGGCTCTAACAAAAAAAGAGGAGGAGGGTCCTAAATTACCTTAATATCTATCACACTTTACATTTTATAATTGACAATAACTTTAATACCTTTTTTAATATAATCAAACCCAACATCGCTATGTTTTTTGTCTACATGATATTGTGAGAAAAATTTATTTATAAGGCTATGTTCTATCATTTATTGGGACCTTTAAATTACTACTTAAAGATGTCTGCATAATTTTGATACTTTTTCTTTAACTTTGTTGAATCGCTGATAGACAATTACCAAGTTCAAAATAGTAACTGAACACTAATCTGTCAAACAAGCCGCTGTCGAATAAAAGATACAAATTAGTTAATTGAATTATAACAATTAAAGATAAAATATATCTAGCATATATTACTGTGTTTTCTTATTATACGATTTCAATGTTTTAATTAAGTAAGAATGATACTTTTTAGACGAAAATTGATAATTGACCACTTTGAGCCAAAACATAGGCTGCAACAGATATGAATTATTTCGAAAATTGCGTTTTTGTAAATGATTCTGCTTTCAATATCAAAATGTGGCCTTCAGGTAGTTGAGCTAAAAATGAAAATCAGCTATTGTAGCCGTTCCCTCTACGAGAACAGTATTTCATATGATTTTGGGTGCCATTTCTTTTAAATTTGTTGCGTATATCATTAAGCTTCGAAAATTCTAAAGGAATAGTCCAAGCGCGTCAAGATCAATTTTTATAAACACACAAGCAAAGCGGCGTTTAGTAATGGGATGTCTTTACATAAAGATACTGTTAATGATCAGTACCTTTTATTTTTGGACGAGATAGACTGTCTCCCTGAGATAAAGTGACATTACATAGTTGTAAATAATTCGTTTATTTACACTGCTAAAGGGATAGATGAGCTTATAACAAGGAGATGCTACAAGCCTATTTCTCTTCGCCTTTCTCCAGGGCTCAATCCAATCGAGCAGTTTTAGGCAATAGTAAGAACAAAGTTAAGCGCAGTAAATTTGAGAAAGAGTAAGACCTTGCTACACGACTTACTTAATGCTTAAAAAATATTTAAAAGAGAAACTTAGTAAAATCAGCACTCAATAAATATTGTCAAGGATATCGAGCTTCAGGGAAAAGAGACATGTCGTTTGAAAAAACAAAAGCGGCCTTTTAATTTTTGACTGGCTCCCTTTCGGGTTGAAACGACTGTAAAATAGAAATATAAATATAGCAATTAAAGAGTGTAATGAGGATGTGAAACCTAGTAGGACCATATACTTGAGTTGTACGACACTCATTTTTGTAACGACCGCGGCGCTTCTGACATCATTTTAGCAAAAGGCGCTTAACATCTGTTTCCAAATATGGCATTGCATTACCATTGAGTGTTATGTAAATACGAAACACTTTATTTGAAAAAAAAAGGACTAAATGCATGCAGACCCATGTATTATACATTTACTGAATAAGAAAATGAAGCATCTAGCTCATAAAATATGTAGTATAATTAAAGTCTTACAAAACATCGAAAAAGAAGCTTTTCCCATCGGCCTCCTATAATAGAAGACCGAGACAATATTCTATCATATATAGATTATAAAATGTCTACCCGAGACAAATATATATATGTATGTTCATGTCGTGGTGGTACAACCATCCGGAAAGCCTCAAGCATCCATTAGAATCTCCGAATATGTGTTGTTATATTTTTAATTTTTTCATGTCGTTTTCTCAGAACTGGTATGGGACGTTTAGCCACAAACTTTATTAGATTTTATACTGTAAATAGCTATTTGTGTAAATTAACAAAGAATAACTGGTGATATAAATTTTCGCTTATGATTCATTATGATAGTAACTTATGTAGAGAAGATATGTACTCTGCGTACCCGGAAACACATTTTTGTGTTTCCCGCTCTCTTTTATTCACAAATGATGTTGTCAATCATTTTTGTATTGGCCATGATGATTGCATAATCTACCACGTTGTTTTCAGATGATATAACAGTCATTTTTTTTACAAGCAAATATTTTATGCCTATCCTGAGCAAAACTTACTAGCTTGTTGGGGGGTTAGATTAGCCATCTTCTGACAAAGATGCATTTTCCTAAATATAAAGAGAGGGAAAACAAAAAATGTCACAAACAATCAGTGTAGTACAGATACACATACAATGGTATTTAAAATACGGAATTACGATTTTTTTTCTTTCTTTTTTTGTCTTTTAATATCACTTTTAAGCTATATATTTAAATCATCAATTATGAGCATCACTTTCAGCACAGAACCTGAAACTTGCTCAGGATGGAAAAAGTTTGGCAGTAAACTTTTGCCCAAAATAAAAGACACAAAGCTGAAATCTGATACACCCTTAACAAACAGTAACAACGGTTCCATTGTCACAAATAAAGATGATAAAATATCATGGTTGAATGTAATCTGCTACCAGGTTTCTCGTAAATTGAAAATGTTTAAACACGACAACAAAACCCATCAAGAGAACCTACCACATATTATTGCTACCGTCAACGACAACGGAACTCTTTCGCCGAGCAAATTCGATGATCAGCAGGAGCCGGAGATTTTAAATCATGATATAATCCAAGGCGATACCGTACCACTGCATCAACTTTTGCGTTACAGTATGGACAGTTCAGATCTGCGAAAATTTCAACTGCGTCGTATGACACAGCCGTTTAAACCAACTTATGAAATAGAATGGCAAAAAAATGAATGGCTTCAGTTAGATCATTCAACAAGTAAAAATATTGAGCGTTTACGCGAACGCGGATTCTCTAGAATAGCTATCCGAAAGGACGAAACTTTAAAAAAGCACATAATGTATGATAATCCTTCCGAAACAGACATTTTACTAGAACTATCTATATATGGCACCGAAAATAAAAACGGAACAGAAAAGGGCTCCAAACCAATTTTATGCCATCAACCAAGTCAATTTCCTTTACGTCGCACCTATTGGTGGCATGCATCCTATCAAGTTGGGGAAGCACATTTACCCAACTGGGCAGATAAAAACTCTTGCTGTGACAACAATAACACGCATGCAAATTCTGGGTTGAATACTGTATGTAATAACAAACAATCACACATCTTTACAGCACAACAATTAAATGGGATCTCTGACACACCATCAGTTTCTGAGAGTTCCAATGTAAGTCAACAAGTTGAATCACTTCCTTTGGATCCAGTTAAACCATTAGAGTATACCGAGCCACCGTTCTTAATGCCAAAACCGGTCCTTTGTGCTGCTTGAAAAGGGTTTTAAATAAAAACCAGAGACATGTCTCCCTTAAAAATCAATAGAAATAACGTCTCAATGATGATGTGTGTGAGTGTGTGGAGATAGATAGATAGATAGATAGATAGATAGATAGATAGATAGATAGATAGATAGATAGAGAGAGAGAGAGAGAGAGAGAGAGAGAGAGAGAGAGAGAGAGAGAGAGAGAGAGAGAGAGAGAGAGAGAGAGAGAGAGAGAGAGAGAGAGAGAGAGAGAGAGAGAGAGAGAGAGAGAGAGAGAGAGAGTACAAGTATTTAGTTAAGTATTTTAAGTATTTGCTCATTAAACTAAAATCCAAATAGAGGCAGTGCTCAAGGCACAACGTTATGTAATACAAGCAAACACTACCTAATCGGTTCAGTTATTTGGGATAATAAGGAAAGTTTTGACATTGAATAAATTCTAGTTGGGTGCCTTCAATAAATCTACAGACATACCTGTAAGTTACAGCATAATAATTTAAACCTGACCCTCGGCATGGCGTACTCTTGACGCTGTTATAATTTGTCATCGAATTACTATGGCCAAATTTCTACCTAATCTGCATAATTCTAGCTTGCAACTTCTTTATTATTTATCGAAGGTACTTTCCTCTTCGTCTTGTTTAAACACCGTCTCCCTTGAATGTCGTTTGTTTACCCTTTTCTAAAAACAGTTTCTGTCAAAACTTTTGTGCGATGTAACACCCAAATCTCAAAAAATGGTGTCCGAATTCTTGCGTGATAGACACCAGTTAAAAAATTGATCAAATATCAAACGTATGCTTGAAAACCGAAACCTGATTTTTATGTTTAAACTCGAGATGAAATATGTTGGTTACACGGACGATAATTCCTTTAAGAAAGTTCATCATTTTTACCGTGCAGCTTCATTATTTCTTGGACACTATTTAGTAATGACCCAAGCGATCCAAAAAAAATATGTTCTGGGGTCGGCCATAATACAATATCCAAACCTATGTCCTTTATAACAGTCGTAGTTTGGTATTTTTAGCCATTACTAGTTAAGAGGGCAACATGCGTAGGGAAAATCCCACATTAAATGATCACTGGTAGCTTAGGTAAAGGGTCTTACATTTATTGGTTGTTTCAAAGTTAATATTTGTGAACGTGGTCTTATTTGTGCAAAATATCTGAATTAATTATTAATGTCAACAAAAAAAGACCATCTGCCATCTTGGAGTCCTCGTGCTGTATCCTCCAGCAAAACCTCCTGTCTTTGATTTACATAAACAGACTTATCAAGAACCGCTTGTCTTAAGCTGGATATTTCGTCTGGTTGAAGGGGTTTCTCCAAAAGTTCGGATAATTGCTCAGTAGCCATTTCTAAATCTCTTTGATTGTCTTCAAATAAAGCTGTTGCGTTTGTCTTTTCTAAATAAAAAGCAAAGACATAAGTCCACTTGAGAGTTGTTCTACATTTAACGGTAACGTCAACTGCTCTTCTGAGAAATTGGACCTCAATCCAAGAAAGATCACTTGATTTTTGTAGCTCTTCCATCTTTTTCTCCGTCTTGATATAAAGCTCTTCTTCTAGCTTTGCTGATTGTTCATGGTTTGCGAATCGGTTGTAGTACTAATGTTGTTACACAGTCAATCTTTAAAAATGCAACCTTATAAAAATTATTACATAAGCACTTACATGCAAATAACGTTCAAGACTGGCTCTGGATTTAGATTGTGATTCTTTGGTACTGTTGCTTGATTCATCAAATCTGTTACAATTATACCATGCTGTGCCATGCTCAGACCAGGGGCCTTAAAAAATACTTACTTAGTTTTTATATATTTGAGCACTTGTATTTTGTCCTTACCCATGCACACCCAACAAAACTCATATCGGCATTTTCTACAAGTCATATGGTTACAACCGCCATTTTTCTCGATAGTGGATTGGCACTTAGTACATTCTTTTGTGTTGGCGGATATCCAGTTAGCAGTTTCAGAGTCATCCTTACATTTTTTGAGCCATTTCTTAACAATGGGACATATAGCTGGCTAAATAAGGGAATTATCAATAACTGAGCTTATTATTATATCCATATAATTCATTATACCTGATGATTAGGTAGTCCACAACCAAAGCACATTAAGTATCCACAGTGGCATACAACAGTAGGAACTATAGAAGTAAGAGAGGTGCTGGGTATATGGCATTCGATAGCGTATTCACAATCAGGCGCAGGACACCATCGTAAAGAGTTATTATCGTCGACATAAGAGCGATTCAATAATTCTTTGTATCTTGATCACCTTGTTAATATCTTACTACAGATCCAATTTATATCGACTAACCTTTTATTTATTTCAGGCTGGACTAACAAACCAATTATTTTTTCATCCATTGTGACACTACATCCATCTTGGGGACATTGAATCGGCTTATTCTCACTATTTTTGATCTTTTGACTTGTGTAGACCACCACACAATTCTTACAGAACCTATGGCCACAGGCAAGTCCAATGATCTCCATGTCCAAATCATCATCACAACATATATCACACATAAATGATTCCTCTTCTGCAGTAGATGATATTTCACTATTTTTCATAATAACAAGGTCGTTTGTGATACCAGCCAATTCCAATATTTTATCAGGGGAGTCCATATATTTTTCGACCAATTTTTCTTTGTTCCATTTAAAGTAACGGAGTAAAGTTGCTGTATCTTCTCTTTTCAACTCTATTACCCTGTAAGTACTTTATCAATCTTAAATATTTGTTAAATACGTACCTAATAAAGTTGATACTTGATCTATTGTTTCAATCTGCATTTTCGTAATCTGTTCAATATTTTTGGTAGAAAAATCAACCTGATACGTTTTTTTCTTATGACTGGTATCCGTAAACATATCGTCATCATCATATGCAATGTCTTCCTCGTTGTTACTATCATCATTGTCATTATTCATAGAAAAGTCTATTGAAATAATATTTTTAGATTTTTTTTTTCTTGAATAGATAGGCTACCCTATTATATAATTTTGTACCTGAATCTTTGGAGGAAGTCTCAAAATCAGAATAATCGCCCATTGCACTTGTTGACATTTCGCTACCTTCAAACTAAAAAAGAAAGGAAGTAACAGCGTTAAAATGAGTTGTTTGTAATAACTGAAACACAAACAGATTTGATCTGGAAGGAAAAATATCTGTACCATGCTAACATTGTCGTCGTCATATTCAAAATCATCCTCTTCAAATTCAGATGCTTGCATTTTAAAATTATTTTTTCAATTATATATGATTTTAGGAAAAGAACAACAAAGCACTGCGGACAATCCAATGCAATTATAATATCACGGCCGCTACGCGCACCACCACATGGTTAATTGTAAGGAGCGACTGAGAAATGATTGGCCGCTTGTTGACTCTTTATAGAAAAAGTTATTTTTCTGCTTCTTTATTGAATTAGATTTAAGTGGTGTAAATTAGAAAAAAGGAGGTCACCGAGCAACTTCGCTCAATATTATCTATGTTAACTAACAAATTGAATATCATTATCCAGTTGTTTGAGCTTCACAAATACTATAGCTTTATTCAATTAAGTGCATTGGCAGAAGGATTTGGCTGAACAAAATAAAATGTTCTCGCTACTTCTTCAATCGTTATATCATTACTGCATTTCAAATTATGATTTCTTGAAAAGATTGATTTTCTAGTCTTCTGGTCACTACATTGAGTTACTTGAACTCTTTTAAGTAGGTTTTCCTTAACAAGAACATCCAACAAATTACGCAAAGCCGTTCTTTCAAAAGCTGCCTTAAACCTGTCATGGATGTGTGCCTCGGAAGTACCAGGTCTTCGCATAACATATTCTATAAGGACTTTTTTACAGTCACGAACGATCAGATCTGTTCTATTACCATTGACGTCTGTCCATATATTTGGCAAAATGATTGCTTTTTTCTCGATGTGATCGAAATTCTTTTTGAAATTCTGAACCTCGGAGTTTACAGCAAGTGGATCCACCCTGAGAAATTCCTTAGTATTAATTGACCAGGTACCAATATTTTCGATAGTAACATAACGCAAGGCGCCGAAGCCAACAGGACAAATAAAAGCCGGATCATTAGATTCAAGCAGATGAATTCCTCTTCTTATCGCATCATCATCATATTCAGATCCAATTTGTACTTTAAGTTGATATAATGTTAATCCCAAACCACCTCGGATTTTTAATGCTGAAACGATTGCCTTCAATAAAGCTCCTGTATTTGAGTCTTTGGACTTAAGGAAGTGTCCAAATTCCACTTCCAATTTAAGCTCATCCAAACATGTAATTTTCGTTTCCTTGGGGTCCAATTTGATGGGATCAATTTGCGTCAATTCAGTTTTTTCAACATCCATTTCAAAGACAGACAACGAACGATCTAATTTGTGCTTTTTTAGATCACGAAAAAAAAAAAGATTGATATCACTTACTAGTCAACCTGCTGGAAAAACTCATGGTCTTGAAAGTCTTTAATTTGGACTCTCTGTTTGCCATAAAAACGTTCATCTTTAATAAAAAGAAAGTTAGTATGCTATCAAATTACGCAAATGTTTGCACTTACTTTGTTATCTGATACCAAGTCCAAAATACAGGCCATCATACCACTACTGATGAATTCGGGAGCTATTCTGTTTTTACCAGATTGGAAACTTAGATACTTATCGTACTCTTGCGCTTGTTTGAATAACGACAAAGGGAACACTCCGCACATCAAAGTACTGAATCTTGCTGACATACTGAACTTTGTTCCTGGGATAGAACGTTCCCGTTTAGATTTGATTAAACAATTTCTCTCGCGCATTTTGAGTACAGCAAGATCGAACAGATCGGAGGAATATGAACTGATAATAGCATAAGCAAAAAATGGATCATATACTTCGGTGGGAGTCATCAAAGACATCTATGTATTTGATGAGTACATGTTTGGTTATTTATACAGGGAGTATATATTTTACCATAGCATATCCCATGACAATCCTTAATTGTCTTGATTCTATTTCGTCTTCATATTCAATTTGTGATAATGGAACATCTGTATCCGAATCAAACAATTTTCTTCCTGTAAAGGTTCGTAAATTCAATAAACTCAATCTTTGGACCATTGTAGCTTTTTCGAAGTAAACATTTTCGAAGCAAAATGATTTCTTTTCAACATCATTGTAGTGGTAATCGAAAAAGCGTGGTATATCGCTTACATTCTTTGGGAGAATATTTGTTTGGGTGCTATTAAAGAATAAAATTAATTCATACTTTTTAACAGATCTTCTTCATACTTACTGTGTATCATTCTCGTTTAATCTCTTAAGGAAATACGCCAACAGAGAAAGCAGATCAAAGTTGATGATCTCACAAGGATCAGGATCTTCAATTTCTTCTCGTTGTAAACCTTCGACATAAAACCTACTCCAAAGAATCGAAGCAGATTCCACCTGTTCCGCACGAATAGGATCGGCAAGCAGTTTCGCAATACGGTGTCTGCCAGCACCGGGTGGTTTCGTTGAAAATACTTGGTTAACTCTATGCCAGCGAATAAGCGATCGAGTACGTTGACGCATAATGATATAACAGTACACTAATAGGTCATCTTCTTCATCCGACCAAATCATTCTTTTGTTTCGTCTCGCACGCAAGTCAATAATGTTGGGTGCACCGATAATAACAGGAGTTGATTTGAGATTGTCCAAGTACGTATCCTCTCCTTCTAAAGGCTCATGGGTGCCACCTTTTTCAAATCTAGCATCTAAACCCAAATTTATCATTTTATCATGAGAGTTGAACGCTCTTGTGGAACTAAGATTAATGACACGTCGTCCGCCATAATTTCTACTTCTCTTGCCGACAATACGGCGTTTTATAGGAAACAGCTTAGCCTCAACTGCTTTCCTTGCGCGATGCTCTCTTTTTTGGGACATAGCTGTTTCTACCTTTATATAATACTTCCGAATATCCTGAAGGGGCATTCCTATTTCTTCAGCAATACTTGTACAGATCGAGGTATTCTCGAGAGGTGTCGTACCCTTGATTTTATCGACATATGAGTTGAGAATCTTTCTTTGATTGCGTGCAAGCACACTACATACGGTCCAGTTGTTCGCATGATACATTCCTTTCCAATATTCATACGCTTTTGGATCTGTGGGTGGAGCTTCCATCTCGTCTTCAGGAATTTCATCTGTCAGCTGTGTACAGGAATACTTAAGTTCACTCCAAAATAGAGTCACGTCAACTTGACTATCTAAAGTATGCTCACGAATAACAGGTTGGCCGATTCTTCTTCTGTCCTTAATGCTAACTACGCGGGGTAAATGATAAGAAATAGCCAAATGTCTATACTGATCTTTGTCATCGTCATCAAAGGTAGTGGATTTAGCGAGCTCCAGATATTCCAACCCGTACAACAAAGAACGAAGCTTTCCCCGGAATCTGTTGGTTTCCGATAATAGTTCTTTTCGAATATCTACAGGTAAGTCTTTGCAAATTATGTCCATGTGTGCTGAATCACCAAGATAATTCAAAAGCTTTTGACTAGGATCATAAACACCAATCATTTTGCATACAGTGCCAACTCGCAAATTCGTCACGAACGTGACGGTAGATATACAGCGGTTTTCTTTATCAACACCCGGTAAAGATTCGTTCTTCATCATCAAGTTATACATTTCCGTATACAGCAGTTTAATACGCAGCATTTTAGATCGTATCCAACCAAATTGCATAGCCCTGATCTGCCAGCTAGCCATTAAGTTATTACCAGTTCTTCTTGCTTTAAATTTATGTGCATTGTAAGATAGTTCACCGATATGTTCTTTCAACTTGGTAGCCTCAAACGTATTGTGACCATCTTCAAGACCTTGCAATTTTGATCGCAGACGTGTGATACGGCCTTCTAAGCTTTCTACGGGCGATGTAGTTGTATCGAATGATCTAGGAATTGATCTGTTAGATTGTAAAGCACGACGTTCGATCAATCGTGTTTGAAATTTCTTGCATTCGGGCCCTTCTAAGTCGATATCTTTACGAATTAAAAGCTTTCGTAGGTTAAACCCGCCATACAATAACGGAGCGTTGATTGTTATGGTCTGGGCTTCATTTCGCTTGGCAAGTAACGTTGCAGATCGCCATAATGTTTTGTTGCAGACAGTATATTTTAAGTCTCCATTTAATTCTTTGGCCTTTACAAGATAAGCATCCATTAAATCTTTATTCATTTCCCACATCGGCTCATCCTGTAAAAGCGCAAGCAGTATTTTTGCACGAGCTTCCATATATACATTGACTTGTTCAGGTCGATTGTGAGAACATCCAGCCTTGAAACCAGTATGAGGCTGGGTAAATGTCTTTATAACTGGTGGTACAGAGCTGATATATTTACGTTGGCCAACGAAGTTGGCTGGTTCAGTAACACCCGTCGTTTCAATATGGGTCGATGATTCGGTAAGAGAAACATCACTGTCCTTGGGTGATAATGATTGGCTTGTTGTCGGCATAGTCGTATCCACACCAGATTCTACACCTGCAGTTTGTGACACATCCATACTCATTTCTGATATCTCGGTTGGACTATTTTCGGATGTAACAACCACTGGGTCAGATAAAAAAGTCGTTCGATCGGATGCAATAGTGGTTGGTTCTGGTAAAATAACAGAAGCGCTGTTTGTACTGTCAGTTTCATCGGAAGATGCTGATGAAGATGAAGCGACTGGAGTGGTTTTCGGGTTATGCGTAATAGCAACCTGCTCAGATGTATCAGTCACCTCTGGTTCATCTGTTACTTTAGCGCACGCCTTTTTGAAGTAATCCGCAATTGTTCTAGTACGAAGTTTCCTAGTAGGTGTTGTAGCTGCTGCTTTTTTCTTGTCTTTGCCTTTAGTTGATACTTGCTGCGTACTTACTGGGGCAACCGTAACAATATTTAAATCAACAGCTGGTAACGGTTCAATTGCTACTGTACTTTCGGCTATGGTCTTGTCTTCTATGACAGTCATTGGTGCAGAATTGGGACTTGGTGTCGGTTCACATGCTGATCCAGATTCAATGGAAATAGTTGTTCCATCGTCAGGTTTATCAATTGACAGCGTGGTATTTGTCACAGAGGAAATTTTGTCGATGTCCATAGATGTATCTGGAGTATGACCGTTAAGATGAACACCGGATGAATCATCCTCATTGATAACTACTTGTTCAACGTTTGCAGGAATGGCTTGGATTATAGCTTCTCCAGATGTCTCTTGAGTATGTTTAGCCTTCTTTGCAACTTCTTCTCCGACATCTTCAGGTCGACCTCTTTTTGGGCGATCGAAAATTCGAGCCAAATTTAATTTATGTACAACAGGTCTTGATTCACTTGATTGACTGGTAGTCGCGGTTAAGGTAGATGCGCCTTCTGAAATGGATACATTGGAAACAATGGCTTCAGATATGGGAAAAGTTTCATTAGGGATTGTCACATTGGCTTCAGGAGCAGGAACAGTAGGTTCGCAAATAACCGAGGTAGAAGCAGTTTCGGCATCTGAAGATCCAATGTCTTTGGACGCAGCGGCTTTAGCGGCTTTTCTAACATAAGGAGATTTTTCAGGGGCAGGTTGGCCTTCAATTGCGGTTTTTTTTGGTCGGCCTATCTTCTTTTCAAGTGTTGTAGGATTCACGCTTTTTTTGGCATTAATACGTAAAGTACCAACATTTCGTGTCTTTTTGATATATTTTTGGAATTCTTTATGAGAATGAGGCATATCAATAAAGTAGTCGTTATGGTAAAAAGTCGATTCGTCTAATTCTGCAGGTAAAGGCGGGAGTTCTACCTCAAGGTTTTCGTACTTCATTTTATAGGACTTATACGTAAAATAACGATAACGTCGTTGTCGACCTTCGAATTCCAGAAATCGAAGAGCCCCGTAACGTTGTAAGCCAGCGTCTTTCATTTCTACCATTCTTTCTAAAAGCTTATACAAGATACGATGTTCATCCAAATTCAACGCAAAACCTATTTCCTATTGAAAATGTATTGAGTCGCGGCTATTACTTCTAGTATATATAATTTACCCTTTGTGTGGCGCCATTTTCGCCTGAAGCCAAAAGGACCTGTAAGATTTGACTTTCCATCGAACTGTCGATAAGTACATGAAGAATAGGAACATCTTCTTTCATAGTCTTGATTCGGATTGGGAATTCCAAGGGATCCATTGGTAGATCCTCGTTCTTTTCATTAGACGTGGGTGTTTTCAGTAAGTGAAGACAGCGACGACGCATACCTTTACCGTCTACTTTAAGATCTGATTTTCTAATATAACCTTTGCTACAAAGTTCATCAATAACACGGTTAAACCATTTTCGAACCAATTTTCTGGTGCTGTTAAAGCCCTACAAACGTCCGATTAATATTCGTTTGTTTGACTCGTTTTACTAAGATCGTACCAAGGCTCTCAATACATCCTCACTTAACATAGCTTGGTCCGGTGAATCTTTAATCAAGTCTATCAGTGCATCACGGATACCTACTTGACTATAAGCTTCGCCTTTAGAACTAACGTTGTAAGGAACTGTCTCAACATCTTCATCGGCGATATCAATGACTTGACTTTTGCCAACAAATCGAACGTGTGTACATATATTGGTACGAATTTTGTTGGTTGAGACACCATTACGAACAATGGCCCCTTTTTCTTCCAGAGATTTACAGTAATGGCCAGTTGATCGAGCATCGATATTTAAAGCCTTTGTAACATTGGCTTGGAACAAACCCTTTGATCTGGTCTTAATAATCTCCTTTAAAATAATAACAAGATTGGGGGATAACACAACACCAGGCTAAAAAGCTACAATAAGTACCTAGAAGCAACAATTGTCATATAACTAGCACTTACAGGAAGGCCGACATAAAGTTGACGCTCTTGAAATTCGGCTGAACCCGTAATATATAAGCGATCTCCGTATTTCTCTGTAATGTGCTCAAAGTTACAGTCTGAAATATCAATTCGACTAAAAACAGCATTGCCCTATCAATAAAAAAAAATTAAGTTTTTTTGTCCCACGTCAAGCTTTCTGATTTGCATATTTACAGAAATTGTTTTTGGTTTGCCAGTGGCATTTTTGTGCTGCTTTGATGTAGCTGTTGGCTTGGGCTGCTGTTTATGCTTTTCGGATTCAGAATCTTCACCAGAGTCTTCGCCTTCACTATCTTCACTGTCTTCATTATCAGACATATCTTGCTCAAAGTCAGATTCTTCGCTACTACTGATCGCAGACTCTGACCCTCCTTCAAAATCATCATCAGAATTCCCAGCTTTAACTTTGGCGGATGACTTTTTCTTTTTCTTTGGCTTTGGTTTGGGTTTTGATTTAGCCTTCTTCTTTGCTACAGTCTTCTTTTTGGACGTAGGTGGTCCCTTTCTTTTCTTGGAAACACCGAATAATAATTCGGATTCAGGTGCTTTAACAGACTTGGTTCCGATGTTATCAATTAATCCATCATCTAAGTCCATAGCATTTTCTGGTCCTTGATGGTTGGTCGTGACTGTATTGGCCTGGTTTACTGTTTCGATAGCCGGTGCCTGGTTTACTACGTCTACAATATTTTCATAAAATTCTAAATCCCCTTCTAATTTCAAATAGTTCCAAATGAAGGACTTGTATTTATCGTCTACTAAAGGCGTCATAGAAGTTCCGGCCTTATTCGCAATATCCTTGGATATAATTTCGACATATTCCCATACAGTTTCAATAGAGGAACCTTATGAAAATGAATGAGTAAAAAAAAAAAAGCCAAACTAGCTGACAGAACAAAAGTACCTGAGGTGCCGTCAATCGCTATTTCTTCCTTTAAGCGCGATAGTAAAATGTCAAGCATTCGACAAATGTTTTAATATGCTTATACAAAAAAGGATTGCTGTGTAAGAGTTCAATACACACAGGATGCAAAAATAGAAGAAAAATTATTATAACTTGTCGCATTTTAGTCGTCACAATTTGTTTACCTTGTCCGGCTCGAGCTAAATACTTCGGTAAATAGTACTGCCGCCTGTCTGGATCAATCTTTTGTTCCTTTGGGAATGCATAGTATATAAAACTATGCAGTAAATGCCAGCGTTCCTATAAAGGTAGTGTTTTTTTTGTAACGTACACTAATGCTCAATATAGTAGTTTGTCTCTAATACGCAAAAGCATCAATTAAGTTGGATGCACGTGTATAGATTTGAAGTTTTATGAAAATCACAAGCTGAGAATTATTTTAATACATTTTTACTTTTTATTTTTTTTTGTATTATATTCTCGAAAGTATGGATACCCGTTTTGCATACATGCTTCTGTTCATGTCAAGTATAAATGCAGAGAATCTAACAGAATTACTACAAGATTCAACAGCGACATTAGTGAAAACAGCCACTGAGAATCAGCAACACCAGCAGCAGTTTATTCAAATACTCAACACCATTATTGGAGCAATAAAATTAACGTTTTCATTTTTTAAAACGTTATTGTTTTTATTCTACAAATGTACGGCAACAATACTATCGCCGATTATGTGGTTAACAAGCAATCTCTGGTCGAGTTTTGTTGCCAAACCCTATCATCTATTCATGCACGTAGCTCGTGCTTTATATCCAGTCACCTTATTCTGCATTGCTGCCATCTGCTGTGGTTTATTTATTGGTGGTTGCGCTGGATTTGCTGCCGAAGCATTCTCGTCTATTCTTATATCAGCAACATGGGGACCGCAGCCAAAGGTAATAGAAGAAGAATTAGTTTTAATTGATCATGACAGTATGAAAAGACCCGAAGAAACCGATGAGGAAGAAGAAGAAGAGCATATAATAAAAAGTTCAGCAAATAGCAGTATATGGGAGAACTCGTCGTCATTCTTTGGTGTGCATCAGAATAAAAAAAAGGAAAAAGAACCACTAGTGCAAAAACCAAAAGTTGAATTATGGAGGGAATCTATCACAGATTCGCCCCCACCAGTAACAATACGTAGAATGAAGCTCTCTTCACCTCATAAAAGAAGTGGTTGGGATTGGGACGAAGATGAAGACGATATGTATCATCCTACGTCTTCGAAAAAGCATTTTTAAATAAAAATCCAATTTTCTCAATTTGCGCCTTTTGTTTTGTTTTCTTTATTAAAAAATGTTACTCTGGTCAACTAATTCTAATAACGGCAATGAAACAACCATTCGTCCTAATGCTAAACAAGTTACAGTTAGAGTGTTAAAATGGTCTGCCATGGCTATAATGCTTGGTATAATCACCTTCTTTACATTATTCGGTATTGATTTTAATCCCCATGTCAGTTTAAGGGAATCCTTTTCCCCACCCAGAGCCGAACCAGGCCCACTCGTATCTTCCTGTTTCCAAGACTATACTCCCGAAAAAAGCGAAAACCAGCACTTTGGGATCATTCCAAGCGTCCCCGTAGTTGAAGGCGATGTATGTTATAATTATGCTTCTTTATTAAAACCTGTCAAAAACATCGCCACAATCTACCATACATTTTGGTCCAGTAAAACAAGATTTACTGAAAAAGAATTAGCTATATTGCGATCGTTTATAGCTACACAACCATCAGATTCATATCTGTACTTGTGGGTAGCATTAGACGATGAAAAAAAGCTTGAAAAATGGATACACGACGATAGAATACAAGTAAAAGTAATCAGCAATGACTTGATTGAAAACACACCGTTTACAGAGAACTCTTGGCTATCACAACACCAAGAGCAGAGTAATTTGCTCCGACTGGCCACGTTGTACAAATTTGGCGGTCTTTGGTTTGATTTCAATGTTTTGTTTGTGCGTGATATGTCACCTTTACTTTCGCAAGAGTGGATCTCTCAATCCAACTGTCTCGATAATACTATATCGAAAGGATCGTTTTTACACTTTTTCAAATCCTCTCCCTATGTGTGTGAAATGATAGCTGAGGCTAACCAACAATTGAAATCTCACACCCAATTGAGATCGTTAGGCTCTGATCTGTATTCGCTGATATTTTCACGGTTATTAAAACATAAAATACAGACATGGGCAATGCTACCTTGGTGCTATACGGATCCCTCACAATGTTTAAAGTCCAATTCATTACCCAATGCTTTTGACAATAGTGATTTTGATAAAAGTAAACTCTCCAAGGTATTTGCATATACTTGGCACAGATCTTGGAATTCATCACCAGGTTCCATATTCAAGTACTTGGTAAAACAACACAAACAAAACATTTCTTGGTAAACTCCAATTTCTTTTACAATAATTTACTTTAATATGTTAATAAATTTTCCTTCATAATTATAATATGTTACATTACCCAATACATTCAGTTCAAAAGCTTGCGTCAATTTTATCTTTTTTTCGTTTCAACTGAAAAGATTAATTCTGTATATGACTTGATATGAAACAAGTTGATATAAGTCAGTGTATCTTATAATGTGTCAGTTTATTGAGGCGACAGTTTATGGTCGATATTCGTGCATACATAATACCAATCCCTTGGGATTATTTCTTTTATTTACTTCTTGTCTTTTTTTGTCAAACGGTTCAAACAAAATAGAGATTTCAGATGGCGAGAAAATGCATTGTATTTGAGTATCTAGGCTCATAATAATCCTTTGTATGGAATCTTTTATTCGGGAGTTCTATGAATGTGGGTTAGAGTTTTATAAAAAGAGAAAGTAACAGTTTTTTTTTTCAAATGTTTTTGTTGGCCGCAATAGGAAACCATACCAGGTCACAGTGCTATGTTGCGCTCTTTTTTGAGAACACGATAGGAGTGACCAGGGATAGTACGAAAGCCTTATTCTGATGCAAAGAAACCACTGAAAATGGATGTGGTGACGCCCAAATAAATATAAGCGATAGATACCGATTAGGAAGTTTGGGACAACCAAAAACTATACGGAAGCCATAGCATGGTCTAGAAAATATACAGGCCCTACCAATAGTGTGAATTATTAAGACGATGAACATTTGTAGTACTTTTCTGGTTGGATGTATGAAGAAGAGGGGCATGGCTTTTAACAAGATTACACTCGGGCATCTCAGCTCTGTGCTAGGTTTTATAGTCTTGGGTTTGACTTAGCAATATATAAAATGGGATTGATGTATTACAACGGAACGGGTGTCAAACAATATTAAAAAAAAAAGCTCTCAAGTGGTTCTTAAAGGCTGCGGAAGAAATTGAGCCTTCCAATTCAAATCTGGTGCACTATATCGCTAGAATCTATGAAAATAGAGATGGAGGGATTCAAGATTCCAAAAATGCCTCAATCTAATACGCAAAAAATATATGATTTTGAACATGGGAAAAGTCATAAAACCTCACTCGAAATTCCAATAATGTATTAAGATACATCCAACCCTACTCCAATAAAATGCATTGAATGGTACGCCATGGCTGCTTATAGTGGATGCTCTATTGCGATGACTAGAGTAGGCTGGCTTTATTATAAGGGGTTTGGGTATCCCCAGGATTACGACAAAGCCTTAAATCTGTATCAGAAAGCGATAAAAACAAATGATTGTAATGCAACTTATAGATTTGCATTGAATGGGATAGGATTATTATACTAGAAGGATGGAGTTGTGGTAAAATAATCGCTTAGGCTGGCCATATCATATTTTAAAAAGGCAGTAAATTTAAATAGTCCTGATGCTTTCAACAATGTAGGAAATATTTACAAATACAGATATGGTGCAAATATAGACTATGACGAGGAACAGCAATGATATCTCAAATCCGCCCAAGTTGTCGAAACAAACAATTCCGAACTTTTTTCTGAAAGAGTATTAAACATTGGTATTATGTATCTTGGCGGATTAAGTGGAAATATAGATGTTAGGTTGGCTATAAATTATTTAAAAAAGGCTCTAAGATGGGGAAATGATGAAGCTCAAAATCGCATTAATCAGATACTAAGTAACAATATTTCAGCTCAATCAACACATCCCTCTGTAGTAGTCGACAATTTCAAACCAAGTTCTCACCGTCTTCGGGTATCAGAGGATAGACTTTCTCAAGTAATGGCTAATCTGGAAGAAATACGAAAACTTAGAGTTAGTCAATCGCAAAACCGAGCAGGATGTGATACCAAAATTTTAGATACAGAGAAAAGGAAAAATTTTATACAAAGCAGCGATACAAAAATATCTAATGATGAAGTGATACGTGTATTAGATGATTCCGTAATAATGCCCGTTAATGTCAATGTCGTCCTTGTAGAAACAAAATCAGTCTTAAGTTAAGACAACCATAACAATGATTTAGCAGCTATCATAAAAAGGGTCACCAATCGAGTGTTTTTCATATTAAGGATGTTACTGTTCTGACATCTCAGAAAAACGAACCTGCCAGGAAATTTTTTAAGAAATGAGCTCCACTTTTATTACTGACTCATTTACAAACATTTTTCTAAACTTGCAGTACTTAAGTAAATCGCAAGCAAGTTGGATTTGAATAGGAAAATCAGTAAATTAGGGATACAAGGCACAATAGTCCATTGATCATTAATTACGGTTAAACTGGTTTATCTGAACTATCAGGTTAATTCGATACTAAGGTTTGGCTTTACCCAAAAAAAAAAAAAAAAAAAAAAAAAAAAAAAAAAAAAAAGGCTAAATTAGATTCAAAGCTAATTTAGAATGGCAATGACATCGTCGATTTGCTCGATCAGGTAAGTGAATTTGGACCATCTGAGAGTGCACAAACAATGAATGATATTTTGATTGTGGGGCAAATTACATTTTTACAGGGATAACGTTCACTTGAGGTATCATGATGATTCAAACTCTCTTAAAGCACAATCGGTAAATGATAACTTTAAAACATACTCATTTCATCATACAAAATCACCACTCGGGTAATTAAAAAGTTTAAAAGAAAATGACACGTTATCACATTATTTTACGATGCGTTTTGCTGCACAACTATGCATAATAATCACTATTGCAAATATAATTTTGATCTTTTTACTAAAATAAATGTAATTAAATCATAGTATTAAAAAAAAAATAGGGCGGTGAGTGTATAAACAATATCAACAAATATTTGATAAACATATAAAGTCTATATCATTGTCTAGGCAACGAAGCGAGAACATACTCTATTCATTATTGCGGGCTTATTATTATCATTATACCTGCATAAATGATTAAGGAGGCCAGCACAGAAGAACAAAAGAAGAAAGAAATGTTTTACACAAAGAATTTATTTATATACAGATGTGTGTGTGTAAAATGTGGGGGGGGGGGGGTAAAAGATTATTAATTATATGATGTGTGAAAATATAGTACAGTAGATATTATATAAGAAAAAAAAGGGAGGACGTTGTTGATTTAATAACCAACACCAACCATAATACCATAACCAAGGGTAAAGATGAGTAAAGTTACAATGACACTGATGGGAACACCCACAATAAGGAAATCCTTGGTTTTCAAATAAGGTTTACCAGTTGGATCTTCCATCATCACAGCAGACATGTTGGGGTAACCAGAAACGGGAAGACCCATACCAGCAGAACAAGCTAAACCAGCACCCATGACTAAAAGGTTAGGATGAGGAATAGGCAAGTTCTGACCAACTTGTTGAACAATGGGTACAATAATAAGAGCGGCAACAGTATGAGAGACAAAGGTGGAGAAAACCAAGATAAGGAAACAGAAAATGGCAAGAATCGCAATAGGTTCTAAATCTTGAACACCATCCTTGATTTGGAGCGCAATATCTTGCAATAAACCAGATGAGGTGACAGCGTTACCAAGAGCCATACCACCTTGAGCCAAAACGACAACAGACCAAAGGAAAGCGTTTAAATCATCTTTACCGAGAATACCAGTACCAAAGAAAACGAAAAGAGGGATAGCAGCAATGATACCAGTATCACCAATGTGTTCTTCAATACTAGATTCGGCACACCAAAGAGCAATGGTCAAGATAGTCACTGCCATCACAAAGACTTGGCTCCAAGTAATCTTGTCACGGGTAGGCTTAATCTTGTTCAAGTGAGGTACAGCACGATCAGGCTTGTAAACAAGCAAGAGGGCACCCCAACAACAGATAACACTGATGATAGAAATAGGAAGAGCGACACCAAACCAGATACCCCAACCAGGGTTAGGGCTCATGTATTGAAGGGTGACAATGTTTTGAGGAGATGAGATGGGAGAAGTCATACCACCAATACAACTAGCCAAAGCAATACCAAGTAAAAGACAAGGAGCAACAACAGAGCCATCAGGAAGCGTACGTAAAATAGGATTGATCAATGAGAAACAGAGAACAGGAGTAGCTACATTTGAGATCCACATGCATAAAAAGGTAGCAACGGACATAATTGCTAACAAAACCCAACGAGGACGGGTACCGGCACGAGATAATACATGAGAAGCAAATGCCTTGGCAATACCGTACTTTGACAAAGCAGCAGCAAGCGAGAAACCACCGAGTAACATCATAATGGTACCACTGAACATGGATTGGAAAACTGCTTTGGAAGCTGCTTTGGCAGCCATTTGTGTACCATCGGCATTACGTAAAATACCAAGAGGAACAACCAAGAAAGGGATCATGAGAGAAGTTGCATAAAGAGGGATGGCTTCAGTAGCCCACATTACGGCAGCAAAAATAAGCAAGGCGAAACAATAATTTTCTTGACGATCACCAAAGATATCAACATTTAATAAGATGATAAAGATGATGACAGAAGAGAAGAAAGCAATGAGGGTATTCATGAGTTCAGCGCGAATCTCCAATTGGGTGAAAGGTAACTTGCGCATCTTGGGAGGTTTGCTTTCCTTCACATGAGCATCCAAAGTCTTGCGTTCTTGACTGACCATATCCTTCCAGACAGTATTACGATCATAGGTAATTTGATCACGTAAGTGGGTCTTCATTTGACGGACAGCTAAGGAGACATGGCTGTTACAGAAAGCATCAGCATAGATATGTTCGACTCTTTCAATTTGAGCACGAAGAGCTTCAGCAGTTTGAGGCATGAAAGGTCTAGAATCAAGCACCATTTTCTTCAAGTATTGAGATCTCAAGTCACCATCCAGGACTTTGTCATGCTTCTTTAAGATCTTTTCGAAAGCCATGCGATTCAATTCAACATATGAATCAAGTTCAGACAAGGAGACATAGAGAGAGATGAGTTGAGATCTGAGGTCAACGAGTTGATCAACAAAGTTTTGGTGATCAGTATTTGATTGTGTTGACATACGGGATTCAAATGACATTTTACGACGATTTTCTTTAGGATGTTCTTTAGTGACAATGACTTCCTTGATGGAATTGGTGGAAGGCAAATTGACAGTGGAATCCAAATTAGACAATGGCGTGTTCATGTTGGGATAGTGCACCTGCATGTCATGATAGAGATTTTGAGTGGGCATACATTCCGATAAAGTAGTATCAAGAGCATCAAGTCGACTGTAAAGCTCAGTTTCTTTTTGAGAATAGAAATCAAACACCTTTTCGAGTTGCATATCTAATTGAGATAAGAATTTATCTTCACCTTGTGAGACGTGAGATGTCATCTTCTCGGGATCGCTTGAGTTGTTGAAAGCATCCACCTTTTCTTTCTCAATTTGAAAGATGAGTTTCTTCAAGTGATCATAACTATTGACAATCAAAAAATGATTAATAAAAGAATGATATGGCTATATCACCATTGACTACTTACGCAACATAATGATCGATCCAATCAGGAACTGCGTTAAATTGCAGTGAATGGGAGAATTTCATGATATAAAAGGCTCTTTTTTAGTTGGTTGAAACGGAAGAAAAAAAAATAAAGAGGAAGGGAAAGAGAGAAAAGAGGTGGTATTAAGAAATGAACCGGTTTATAAGAAATTGAAGGGTTAGATTTTTTAAATTTTTTTGGGCCCTTTTTATATGTAAAAAAATTACGGCTGGCAGCTAGGAGCCTAAATTAACGATTTGGGGATCTAAAAACTCCGGGTTGTACAGTGTAACGCTAATTCCTTTGATTTTTGTCGCCGTGATTGGCTCTCGAGGCTCCTCACACGACACCACGTGTGGCACCAAAACAATTTATGATTCGATGAGAACCAATCGTACTCTTCAGGTATTGGTTCATCCGAAATCCGAGTTTTTTACAGTTTTTCATGACAAGTCTCTTTCCACCACATGTACCTTTCATGTACATTAAGTGTATTAGAAGCAGTTAAATGACATATCAACTGTATGTTGATCATATTACGTGTTCAGAAGAAATCTAAGCAAATAAAGCAATCCACACACGCAATAAAAATAAGCCCAAAAAAAGAAAACGATTTGTAAGAGGGGGAACGTGTTTTGTTCAGAATTTGAAGAAGTTACTGCAAGCAGGGAAAGCCGACTTTTGGTCAATCCATTAGCCAATCATCGTTAGCACGTGTGGGGTCAAAGTACGTTGAATGGATCTCGGTGGACTCTGAATTGATCTTCCGGGACAAGAATAAAACTAACGTATCACAGGCTTAGAAAAATAAAAAGAAAAAATACTTTTATAGATTAAAAGGTCTTTTAAGATTATAAATAAACATGTATCGTATCATGAGAACAGTCCATTTTTAATACTATACATGATGAATTGTTGCGCTTTTTCTGTACAAATGCGGGTATTCTTTTATTACGTAGAATGTCTCATCCCTTTTATCTCGAGAGATATGCGCAATTTTATGTAGCAAATACTTGGCAACTCGTCGTAATTAGTTGTACGGCTCATAATGCATAAACATATACGAGATCATAAACAAAGTTACACGATAGTATACAAAAGCCGTTATTAAGTTTCTCTTATACGGGCATGAGCTTATTTCTGGCAAGTGACTAGAACTTAAAAAAAGGGACCCCTTTAACTAGAGTACCCAAAGATGCAAGTACGTAAATAATCAGTTCCCTGTGTAAAAACATTACATTTTGTATCCTCTGCATATTTCATAATCCAAATACAAAGTACACTGCGCTTATAAATCATGCATGGAGGTCCCTTAAGATGGTTCTTTTTGTCAGCATGAAACTCTAAAGAAAGGCCTGTTTTGACGTTAACAAAATGCGTGGAGAGCGAAAAAAAAAAAAAAGAAAAAAAAAAAAAAAAAAAGTGACGTCGACAATTATTGAGACATGGGCGCCGCAGAAGGAACAAAGCTGAAAAAAAAAACGGCTGCCCTCTCTCCCAAGCGGGGAAAAATGTAATATTTCTTTTAATTACGACATTCTCCCCACTCTAACAGCAATAATTCAACGATGTCAACAATTGGACGTACTTTAAAGAATTTGATGAAGGTTGGACCTGCTAGCTACATGAAGCAATTAGATACCATTTGTGATACCAAATGGGGTCGCCTTGTAGGTACCGATGTTAACGGTAACAAATATTTCGAGAACCTTGACGAAGTTTCCGGTAAGACGAAATGACACATGATTCCATGGGCACACATATTAATTCGCCCTGTAGGTCGTGAGCGTTGGGTTGAATATGCCAGTAACCAACCTGACAGTGGAGATATTACTCCCGCTTGGTAAAATTAAAATACACATCCACACCTTGCACGATAACTTATATAATTTATTTAGGCACATGTGGTTGAGTCGTATCGTTCAAGAGCCTCCTACCGAAATGAACATTCAACCTCAAAAGTGGTGGGGACAACCTATTCCCAACTTTTCTGGTACTCCCAAGGCCTTCAAGACCTACAGTACCACCGTTCCCAAATTACAAGCTTGGGAACCCACTGTCAAGGCTAGATCTGCATAAATCACATCTTTTTCGATTTCTAAAAAATAAACCTTCTAATCTCAACCCATTCATATCACACATACAAGTAAATGCATAATCATCATTGTTTGATTTAGATAATTCGTTGAGTTCATACCCTAACCCCCAAGCATGAAGGGTAGAATCTTACACAACTCCGCCAATTTATTCTAGCTATCTCTCTCTCTCTTTCTCTCTTTCTCTCTTCTCATTTATGTCGAAACCTAGTCAACAAGAAATACATTCACTTTACAGATCTTACCTTCGTATTGTTCAGGAATGGCCTCAAGATAAATTAAGGCCTAACCGAGGCATGAAGCAAATTCTAGCCAAAAAAGTAAAAGAGACCTTTCGACAGCCCCATGCCGACATTAATGTAGACAAGGCACGTGGAGAGATCAAGGCTTTGGAAGCCTTATTAGATAACACTTTTAAAAACAAGGTAAACCCTTTATTTGCTCTTCTGACAAATCTTTCTAAACAAGAACAGTACCCCATATCCGATAAGATTCTTACGCCAGCAGGAAACCCGAATTATTATTCCAAATTAGTCACGTCCTTGGAAGCAACCTTGGAAACTGGCAAAGAGAAAGGCATTCTAGCTAAGCTTTTTGGAAAATAATCATAATAAAAAAACTATGCTGCACTGACGCATAATAACTTAATTTCAGACAATTGAATAATATCAAATGATGCAGGCTCAGATAATGAAATCAAATGACGCTTTTCATTATACGACTATGTGTCTCATCTGCAAATATTAAAGGACTTAAATACTATTTCGGTAATGACTAGCTCATAAATGTACCGCAATCTTCTTTTAGTCGGATAAATTGGTATTGAATGCTATCAGCAACCCTAGAGGCCGTACACTTTTTGTTACAATGAAGATACGAGTGGTTTTATGACGACGCACTTGTATAGTTGTCTTTTTCTAGATCATTACAGTAAGAATTGTCACTGCCGAGGTGGATTGTCGACGTTAATGGGTGTCCTTATATATTACTTACTCTGAGTAATGCATTGATAATAATAACACAAAAATTTGGGCTATATTATAATAACTAGGAGAGTGTAGAACAGTCTAGCCGGTCTTAGATATGCTTTCATTGGACACATAGCTCACGTAGCCTTATAGAAAGAGGACCCTCTTACAAATTACAGCTTTCAAATAAAATTCCGGACCCCGTTCACACCTGTGTACGACTCTTTACTTTTTTGCGCGTTCACCTTTTTTACAATTTTTTTTTTTTGAAAACAAACAATTGTAACATGGAGAGAACAAAGTAAGTCTCTCTCATTCTAATTCTAATTTATGAAAAACCTCTAAAAATAAAAAGTTCTTCTAATACACATGCTTCTACAAGATCCTCAGGACGATCGATTTTATCACCGAGAAGACGATCGTTAACACAAAACTGCAAAAGACAAGTGGATGAAGCTCAACGGTATACAAATTACAATGCAGAAAAAGAACCCATCAAGGTAAAAAAAAAAAACAAGGGAAAAAAGGAGCCGTTGCAAGTAACACATTGCCTCACTCATATCAATTTTTTTTTTTTCAATGTATGTCATAGGCCTATTTAAGACTTCGGCCTACACTCAACGAACAAGCAGAGGAACCTTATATACAAATCACCAATGATGTAGAAATATCCATGACACCACCCCAAGTAAGCTAATAGATCAATCGACAACCCCCCTTTTTTTTTGTGTGCATGTGTTTAATTTTTGTTTGTCCTACAGAATTCAAATGCATATCGAACGAGACATCGAGCGCCAGAGAAATATCGATTTACAAAGGTTTTTAAAGATACGGTGAACCAAGGCACTTTTTTTGAGGAAACAACATTGGATCTGGTAAAAGATGTATTAAACGGAAATAATGCCTTGATTTTTGCATACGGTGTGACGAATTCAGGAAAGACATTTACTGTGATGGGAAATGAGGAGAATGCTGGTTTATTACCTCGAGCCCTTCACATCATGTTAAATAGTATACAACATTTAAAGAGTGAGGCCAAGGTTAAGAAAATTCAATCATCCTAACTATGACCTGTCTTTACTGACTCTGTTAACGTAGATCAAACCTGTTATGCATAGTTTGGCACAGACCTATGATGATGACAGTGAAGAGAATAGAGACATATTAAATTTATGCAATGTAAAAGAAGAAAATGGTAATTATAAGTTGCGACATTTGGTTAACATGACATTATGTAGATAGAAACCCATACAATGGATCCTTGCACTATAGACATCGATACAAATTTTGAGTATGGTATTTGGGTTTCCTTTATTGAAGTATATAACGAACAAGTCTATGATTTATTGGACACGACAAAGTCATCGAAACGAAACCAACTGCATTTAAAATATGAACAACGATCAGGGAACAAGTATGTGGCAGAGATGAATCGAGTACGTGTACATACTTTTGAGGAAGCATATGCTATTATGAAATTAGGGCAAAAAAATAGACAAGTCTTTTCTACCTTGATGAATCAAACCAGTAGTCGAAGTCATAGTATTTTCACCATTCATGTCGTAAAATGTCCGATCATGGAAGAGTTCATCATTGAGGTAAAATAAATATGCACATATTTGGGAGAATGCTAAATTTGGATAAAAAGGATCCTCATTGTGTAACCGTGTCGAAATTATCCATTGTTGATTTAGCTGGATCCGAACGATATAAAAACACAAATAGTACAGGTAAAAATATGCTTTCTTTTTTTTTTATTTGTATAAAAATAGACTCATTTCTCCTTATTAGGCCAAAGACTAAAAGAGGCAGGCAACATCAATAAATCACTCATGGTCTTGGGCCAGTGCATGGAAGTACTAAGATTAAACCAAATTAAAGCTGAAATGGGAAAGGTAAGTGGCGATTTATATATCATAAAGAGAGTTGAAGCTTACGATCTATAAAAACAGAACACAGCTGTCGTCCCTTTCAGACATAGTAAACTGACAGAATTATTCAAGAGCACGTTTGAAGGCAATGGCAAAGCTGTAAGTATGATATTTTTTTGCATCTTTTTTTTTTGTAGATCCTCATCATCTCAAGGGTAGGTCATTATCGTGAATGTCAATCCCTTTGATACGGGTTTCGATGAGAATAGCCATGTCATGAAATTTGCTGCAGTAGCCAAAGATATCACCACGTGGAAACAAATGCAGCCCAAAATATTAGATTTACAACAAATTGAAACAAGCACGAAACGGCGCAGACATCATGAATCCCAGGAGGATCTTCTTGCGCAGTTGGATGTTTTACGAAACAAGGTAAAGAAAAAAAAGTTGGAAACTTTACGTAATAGAGACACGTACGGGGATTGGGTATAGAAAATATTAAAAGTATGTATGTTAGTGGATTGATGCAGAAATGAGAGCTACTCATGCTGAAATGAAAGGCCATAAAGAGCTTAAAGAGATGGAAGAAATGTATCTTCTAGCGTTAAAACGAGAGGTAAAAACAAGAGAACAAGTTGCGTAATTTTTGGTTTTCTTTTTCTTAATGGTGATTTAGAGTGATCAAATGGAAATTCAAATCAGTGATAAACTGAACAACACAATAGGTATGATTTATTTATTAATAGTGTCATTGTTGACTGATTTTAAATATTACAGATGAAAGGGATAGTGATTTTCTAACTACAGTACGTCATTTTTTGTTTTATTTTTGGATAAACAATGATATTAACTTTTTAAAAAAAAGATTCAACAACGACAGCAAATATTGAGTAATGACTTGAACTATTTAAAATTACGAATAGAAGAAACCAAACAGAGTCTAGTTCAAAAGGTAAAAAAAAAAATAGGGCAGAAAATGTGCAACAGAAAACCTAAAAAAAAAAAAAAATGCTTGGCATATGTTTTCTTAGATCTCTGAAGGTTTATCTCCTGCGGAAGACGATGAAGATGATGATTTACAAAAGGAAAACGATGATCCTGTTATACGAGGAGAAACAACGGCTTCTTTCCAAAGTTTTTTAAGCTTACGAAAACAATTACGCAAGAGTATCTTTAAACGCGAGGAGGTAAAAGGCATACGTTTTGTTTATTTGTGTAAAAATATTAAACCTTTCCAAGTTATGTAAAGATGCGGATACGATCATGAACCAAGTAGAAAAGTTTGATGGTGTGACATTTGAGCTTGCTAAGGTTTGGTTTATTTTCTGGGAGAATAATAATAAGGATATGCTAAGCATGAAATAATTTGTAGGACACTAAAATGGGTAAACTGTTAAAACTGATTGCACAAGAGGAATTCGAAAAGGATCCTTACCAAATCCGAAACAGAGCCATACGATTATTTAAACGTTATGCTCAACTACCCATGGAACCCGCGCCCGAACCGCCAAGAAAAGAATTTTCTGCAATGACTTTTTCGGGGACGCACGATCATCCCTCACCGACACCAGTGGTATGAAAATCGATCTTATTTTTCCAGATGAAAACAGTCGTATTAATACCTTTTTTATTTAGTCTTTCAATGTCGGATTTAATGTGGCGACTGAAAAAGGTCCTTGTGAGGAAGAGGTAGAATATAAAAATAGTCAAAACAAAAATGTAACAACCTCTAAACAGTTTGATTTTAATCTATTTTTAGGCGTCCGATCAGCATCAGTTGTCTTCTATGTCCGTGGAAGAAGATGGCGACGAAGACAACGATGAGGATGACCGTTCCAGTGATATGGAAAAAGTGCCAAGCACTGCCACGCGTCATAAAAAAAGAAGGTATGTAATCTGGATAGAAACGTACATTACGCATAGATTAAAAAGAAATTCAAACAGAAAACTACGTTCACGTTGAATTGATCATCCATGGAGAATAAACCCCGATATAAATATAAATACAAAGCCAAAAATTCATCTACTGTAATAAATAAGAACTCTTTCCCAACAATTATATATATAAAACAAAAATGATCTCCCCTCCTCCAAGTTACGTAAAATCTACCTGTGCCTATGATGAAAAATTCATGTTTGATGAAAAGTCTTACTGTTACCAAGAAGAAACTAATCCACAGCCAGTGGTGACAATGCGTCCACATTACTTGTCACTAAGCAAAATTAAAAAGAGTTTCAAGTCATTTTTATTCGACAAAAGAGACCATCAAGAAAAACGACCTCAAGACGGTAAAACGAATCCAATGGAATAAGCATGTATATAAATGTTGTAAATAAAAAATGATAACAAGAATTTTTTTTTTTTTAATATTAATGAGCTAATGTATGTGTCTGTGTGTGTGAGAGAAAGTGATAGTGAGATAAACAAAGAGTGAGATAATTATAGAGTGAGAAAAATACACGGTCAAAATGTACATGAAATGATAAAAAGAAGAAGAGAAAAAAAAAATTAATAGTATGCCGGACCATTACTATTGCCGTTGCCATGGCGATTATTATTAATGGTATTACTATTATAATTATCACTGTAGGTATTTGAGTTATTATTGTGTCGATACATGTCATAACTATCATAACGATTGTTACGATTAGGCTCTTCATGGTTGGCATACGCATTAGGAGAGTTATTTCCAACATTACCACCTCCGGCAGCGTAATAATTTTTTTGTTCTTCTTGTTGATATGAGCCCACGGTATCTGCGGACATGTCATCTAATCGAATACCAGACTTTCTACGTTTACGTCTTTCTTCTTCCTGATCATAATCTGCTACGGGACCACTACAGAGTAAAGTGATGGCGTTGGACATGGCTAATAACTCGAGAGCAAGAGCAGCAAAGATCACCAGATACAATTTGCCAAAGGTGCTCTTTACATAACTCTGTAATTCAGGTGCGCAAGGAGGCTGTACATTTGTTGATGAGCTGGTGGGTTGACAATGATCTGTTAAGACAAAGCTATCCATGGCAGTCTGAAATCCACAGCATTCGAACTGAAGAAAAAGAGTCAATACTAAGTATAAGATGTTCGACTGGAGAAAAAAAGTACCTGATTCTGCAAATTGGTTCTGTAGGCGATACTGGATTTGGGCCAGAGGTTTGTGAGATATTGAGCCGAGTTTGCAGCTTTTTGGTAGACTTTGACGCCAATCATGACTTGAAAGACAAGCGCACCAATAATGATGATCATGTAGATATAGGTGATCATGTTCTTTTTGACATAAGCGCCAATGACACCAAAGATGGCTGCTACACAAACGACTGCGCCGAGAATGGCCAGGACTGTTATTTTGTAAATGAGTACATATTAAGAGATGGTAATATATATGAACATTTTACGTTTGAATGTATTGCCTGGGAATAAGGTTGCACCTAGAAATTTATCCTTCATACCAATCAATCCAAATGCAATAAATGCAATACCGAGACATGCAAATAATAAATTGGTGGAAATCATGTAGACCCTACTTAGTCTAAAGTATGCATGTTTAAATACATATTGTCAATAAACAACTACACACTAAAAAAAAAAATTATTTTTTACCTAGCGCAACAGTTTGACATTGTTTGGATGATGTGAAAAAGTAAATGGAGTAATGTAGAATAAATAAAAAAAAAAAAATTGAGAAATGAAGGAATGACTTGTTATTAACCTAAAAGTTAATATTATAATATAAAAAGGAAAGGAGATGAAAAAAGGGGGAAAAAGAAAAAGAGAAATATAAAAAATTGTCTGTGAGGCACACCAAGTTTATTTAAAAACCACTATTTTTTTTTTTTTTTTTTTTAATTAACTCTATTTTGTTATTTTCTATTGACTAGAATTAATAAATAGCAGTAATCATCTCTCTTTCTTCTTTTTTTTCTCTCCCTTTCTCTTTTTCTCTCCATTCTCTTTCTTTTTTTAACCCTTTTTTCATATTTCTCCCAGCTCTTTTTTCTTTTTTCTCAAAAAAAAAAAAAAAAAAAAATTAAGAGTTTATTAAGTGCAAGTTTTTTGTACTACTTTTTTTAAAAAGAGGGCACTTTTTGATGATATTGACGAATCATGTGTAGTAAATGAAATTAATCGACTCTTTCCCTTCGATTCGTTCTCAGCAATAGAGTGACGGGTGTTTTTTTAGTGTTAACGAAATTCACACCAAGTATGGAATTATTCAATCAAGTCGATAAGGACAGTGCATGGAATGACTTTTCTATAATGTCTAGTTCGTCTATAACCCAAACTACCTGCACTACTACTAAAACTAGAGTGACTAGAAGAAGAGGCATGCTTGATGCCTTCTTCATCGTGGTGAATAATACTAATGGATGGCCTTCTTCTCACACTTTTCCCCACGGGCCTTGGTCTTGATGCTGGTATCGGTTCTTCACCCATGGTCGAGTCCTCCAAGTCGGGTTCTGTATGAAAGAGATGTTTCACCACATCGGAGTGCCTTGTGGATTTTGGTCCTGCCGTGTCACCCTCTATCGGTGTCTATATGTAATATGTTAGTGTGATGCCGCCCTCCCTTTTTTTTTAAAAAAAAAAAATCTCTTTATTTCATTTACATTGTTGAGCTCTTCATCATCGCTGTAGATTGAGTTGGTTTCAGTAATGCTAGGTAAATGAGGAGCATTAAAGGAATCCTGCGCTGAATGATTAGATGATGAAGAGTGAGATAACTTTGATCTTGAAGCGATTCGAACTCTTGGTATTTCTGCTGCTTTTCTACCTGCAAATACATAGACCCTTACCCCTCTAGAACCCATAGGTAACGTAGCAACGCTCATATCTGAGATAGTAATGGGCTCTTCATCAGTAGTTTCTGCTGTAATATAAGTCCACGCATTTCTCTTTGTGTTAAAAACAGATAACTCGTCTAATGGATAGCTGCATAGTATCTCATTATCATCCTCATCTTCACGAATAGAATGGCCACCGAATATGATGAGTTTATTACCATAGGACACCATGTAGGATTGAAATCTATCCAGAGGACTATCACCTGTGGTTGAGATGAGATGTTCACGTTGTGGGGCATCACCTGGAGTGAGCATCTGACCACGCAGGTATTTCTCGACTTCAGGATGTTCATATTTATACCAGGACCATGTTTGACAATCCAATTTGTAGAGATCGTCATAGATAATGTAGGTGGAATCGTTGTCTAATTGAGCACCGCCGTGTATATAAAGAGAGTGACCAATCACGGCACTAGCATGACCGAAACGAAGATGGGGTACATGTCTTATTAAATGTATTAGAAAATTTACAAATCTGAATTAGTCGTCTACCTATTTACCCACTTATAGGAGGTACAAACCAACGATTGTCGATTGTATCATAGACAAATACGTCATTTTCGCCTGGATTTTAAAAATTAAAAGAAAATGGTTATATATATATATATAAATAAATAAACCGTTCTTCTTTTTCTTTACCGACGGAATTGTAACACAAACCACCAAAGACAATCAGGTAGCGATCGCCAATAGCGTCCAACGAGTGTTCATGCCTTGGTCTGGGAGGTAAACCTTGAGCATTAGTTACCATGCGAGTGTTGAAATTGGTAATGTCAATCTCAATGAGGCTATTTGAAAGAGTGTATGATTTTAGCAGTCGACCGCCGACTAAATAAATTTTAGTGCCTACGACAGTAGCGGAGGTAATTTGTGGTTGAACTTCAGTCATGTCAATTAAATTTAGTCGATGGGATGACCAGACTCCCGCAATAAGATCAAATGAATAACAGAATGGATTCTCGTTCATGAAAGGGATATAGAATGTATTGCCAACAGATACGCCTGCTCTATAATTGAGAAAGGGTGGTGCTGTAGGCATTAAATCGTCAATCGTGTTTACTTTGGCACTTCGAAAAGACACAATGTTACGTACTAGCATGCCTATTATTAAAAATCAATAAGACATTACAATAAACTTTACAAAAAAAAATAAAACTTACCAAAGTATTTACATGTCTGTGCTAAATAAGCTAATGATCGATTGTCGAGGTAGTTGAGCACCAGATATTTAATGTCTAAGCTTAGATCAAATATAGTACACGCTCTTTCTTCGTCTGTCATCATATGAAAGAAAAGGAAAAAGAGAAAAAAAAAAGATGAGAAACAAAAACCAAGAAAAAGAAGACATTTTTATACTCGTAACCCGGGTCGACAATGATGTCATGTGCTTACCCGTTTTGGCAATAGAAGTTCCTTGCACTTTCGAGAAGCTTTTTTTTTTTCAGACTCTTTAAACTTTTTTTTCTCCACCTTTACAACTTGACACTAAACTAAATATAGCAAATTTACTTTTTAATATAGTATTCGAATTTAAAATCACCCTTTTTATCACATTAAGTAATATGCGTTTCTTGTTCTATTTTTTTTTTTTCATTCAAAATCCAGAAAAGATCTGGTAGTTTCTAGACTTTCCCTGCCCCCCCTTGTTATTTTCGTGTCACCTGAAGAAGAAATTTTTTTTTTTGGCCCTGCTTTTTATTTGTGTACATTTTTCTCCCATTCCACGTATATTCGGGAATAGCATGGTATTTACGCGCTCTTTTTATACCAAAGACATCTGGAAAAAAAAACCACCTTTTCCCAATCCCTCCTTTTATGGGAAAATTACTGTATGTGTTTCCCCCGATTTTAATCGAGATTATCACATTACCCATCGAATTTATACATCACAAAAAGAAGCGTATCACAGGGCGGGGCCCGGAACTGATTTTAAGTAATCCAAACAAAGGTGATACAGATTCACTACCAAAATAAAAAAAAACAAAAAAATAGAGGAAGAGAAAATAACCAACAGCGCGGTAGAGTCTATAATCTATAGAAGGAATGCATAGAAGATCATTCAATCCTTCTTTTTTTAATAAAAGAATCAGAGAATTAGAAATAGACACTGGTTACTTTATTTATACCTTTCCGAGTCTGTGCAGTGTTCTAATCAGGAGGTGGGAAATATTGATGTCATTTTCTTTCTTGAACAACGGCAAGGATGACTTACCTTACAAAATACAACCATCTCATCCCCCGATTCAAAAGAGAAAGATCGATCGGTATTCGATCTTTCATCATAATTACAGCTCAAGCCCTCTTATGGGGACATCTGTGTATGCTTTTATCGGATTCTCTCTCCCTCTCTCTCTCTCTATGTCTTTCACATGAACCGTAGTACAATACGTTACACGTCATAGGAATACAGAAATTTAAACGTATCAAGTTACACATGGGTGCCTTCAATACTTTTTTGCTCATATGAACACCCAAAATAAACCTTATATACTAACGAGCTGTCAATGCATCCATATTTTTAACTTTTTGTTTATTGACACAAAAAGACCATGTGAACTCTACTTATGACGCAAATGTACATTTTGGCAAACACGTACACAATTTCTTGCAAAAGGCACCATGTGGTTTCTAGGTGGGTTGCTATGTGGGTTGCTATGCGAGGGAAAAAAAATGATGTCATATTTCTTCTGATATTGTGTCGATCTTTATATGAAACGATCGACTACTTATTATATACGCCAATTCACTTCAGTTATTCTGATTAGATTCGCCAAGAAACATCACCCAGTCTTCAGGGATGTGAAGTGCCCCCTTCTTTTTATAGAGAAGGAGGCGCTAAAATTGCATTCGTTTAGACGCTTGTTTAGGTACAGCGAGGATTCAAATGTATGATGCAATTGAGAACTAAAAGGGTGGCGGCGATATTATTTGATTACCCACAACCTCCAGTTTGGAACTCGTCTTTATGTAGTTTTACTAATGCTTCATTGTACCACGCATGAAAATTAAGCAATTGTAAACATAAACAGAAAAAAAAAGGGCTAGACTTTTTTTTCCAGTTTGCATGAATATCAAATTCTTACCTAAAGTTTAGCTTCTACCATTCTGTTGGGTTTTCCCAAAGAAAAAAAAAAACGGATCTGTGTAACATTATAGACATTTTTTTTTTTTTTTTTTTTTTGCTGTAATTTTTGACACAACATGTGACTTTAATACAATCAACATGTTGGTGGGATAAATTTTTGATCAGCGACGAAATTAATTTCTCATACCAAAATGTTGAAAAATCGTCAAGACAAGATAGTATTCTGGTCTGAAGTGATTAGTTTAGATTCTGATTATCTTAAAATCTCAAGAAAATAACGAGCTCCCAGTTTCGAAGAACGATTTAAACAGATGGAAGTAGGACGTTACTGTTCCCGAATACACAACTGGTTTTACTGTCTCTGTCGAACAAACCCAGAACATTTATCAAGAGGTTAGTCAGAAAATTGTCGGAAGATCTGTTACAGTCAACAACAAATAGTACTCAAACATGTTTTGATTTGCCAAATGGTACCAAGACAAAACCACTATGTCAACTTCCGAACTAACTATGGCACTCCTCATCCCTAACGACTATCTAATTGTTTTTTTTTTGTTCTTATCACAGATGCACAAGTTAGAATTATTCCTTGCTGTTGGAATGGCTGCTTGTTTGAACATAATTTCTAGTTAACGTTCACTCACTTCCTACTGAAAATAGTGTTCCTCTAAGATGTCGACGTGACGAAGTTACTCATGTACAATGCAGAAGAACAATCAAACATTTGAAATGTTCTATAACATTGCAATTTAAACCTTCCAGACCTCGTATCGCAAGTCAACTCTAGATCCACCTAAGTGGTAAGTTCGTTCTCTTTTTCTTTTTTAACTCTTTTTGTGAGAGATATTTACTCTTCTTACATTTTAAAGTAATAATTTCTGAAAATAGTGTAATTAAGAATATAGAAGCATTTGGTAATGTTATTGACACAATGTTATTTTAGCAATATTAAAGTTTCATTGTTAAAAAATATCAATAAATAAATAAAAATTATCACATTCTAGTTCTAATCTTTCTACAAATGTGTAAAAGAAGAGGTAAAAAACCCATTGCAGATGTGTACACGGACTAACACAAGAATTTATGATATAGTATCATGTAAAATTTGCGGAAAGTTTTTTAAGGGAAGACGTGGTATTGCAATTCATCGACGTTTTACTACTCACAGTGGAAGTGATACTGATCATGAAGTTGAAATGGAATCTGAGGGCTTTATTTCTGATACACCCGAGCCCGAATCCAGTAGTGGAGGGGACTCTTTTCCCGGCGGCTATGGAGGAGGTGGTGGCGATAGTGGTGGTAGTTACTCACCACCAAGTGATTTCAGTTCAGACCGTAGTAGTACAGATTATTTGACAGCATCCAGTAAACGTACAAGATATTATACAGCGTCTTCAGATAGAACACATACTCTCTCCATGGATCCTTCAGATACTACAGCTAGTTGGATAGAGGAAATGCTTTTTCCCGTTAGATATCCGAATGGTATGATTGATATTGAAGGAAGTTCTTTAAATGGTATCAGCGTTTCCCAAGAATTTTTTTATGCAGCAGAAAGAGCGAATCATAGACCAGATAGGCGGAATGAGGTGCTTGCTAATTTTGCTGAAATCATTGTCAGAAATCGTCGTGCCCCTGCTCCCCTGTCAGTAAAACTCCTTTGGGTGATATATGGATTATTCTTACTGTTGTATTACCTTGCCAAATACATGGCTCTTTATTATATGATCACAGCTATCTACTTTATTTTTTCGGGTCAATGTGCTTTCACGACGAATTATTTTATCATGGATATGGAAGAGAAGCACCTTTTATTTAATTAAATAAATCTCACACACAGTTTTTTTCGATAGATCTTTTAAAGCTCGTAATGATTCTGTCATTGAATGGCTAAACGAACAACCATAGTATGATATTAGCAACAGGTTAGTAGTGTACTGCATGATAGCTTGACATAGGTAGGAGCACGGCCTTTTTTATATATACAATTGCTAAAGCTGCAATGTAACTATGACGTAGATAACATGTTTGGACACCCACAATATTACGTCTCTGGATCCACCAGAACTTCCGTTGTCGTCAAATCTGGCGCATTTATAATACGATGACAAGTCAAACATGTCACGACTTACTTTATTAGATAAAGGTCTACATTTTTTTTTCAAAATGAAAAGATTACACTTGCTATTTTTTTGTGTCATAAATACCTCTTCTAAAAGTTGGAGACAATACAAGAATATTCAATGAGAGCTGCATTGGCTATGTCAGTTATGTTTTTATTTATTGCTGTGTTAGAGTAATACTTCTCATGGTAAGTGTGTGATATCCGATGTCTATAAGACAGTAATTTCAATCAAATACAAATAATCCTTTATTAAGCACATACATTGCTCCGGTATACTTCAGTTATGAATGTTCCGTATTACATAGTTGAGACATTAGCATATTAACTGGATATATATGATAGATGATACATTGATAAATTAAATTGTTATAACGAGTTTTCCTAGTGAGTTTGTTCTTCTCCTTTTGCAATCCATGGCTATTTTATAGTATAGCCTGATTAACTTTATTTGCTGCAGAGTCATATTAGTAACCCTTTTAGTGAGATGTTGATGATGAGAACAGTTCATGAGCTTTTAACGTCTTGGATCGATTAATTCTTTCAAATAGTGTACATGGTTTTGAAAAAGTAATTGCGGCGGTTGTCACCATTCCAGAATCTACTCCCTGAATCAACAAATTGGAATTGCTTCTGATAAATGATGGGTACCTTTTGTGAATCTTGATTTATGGATTTCTGAACTCCAAAGCATCATCACAACCGCAATCAAAGCATTCATTTCTCTAGCAGTGAGACCCGGCTATTGGTAATAGCACTTTCCACGACGACAATGTCTTTGAACACTACTTAATTATCATATTCTTCATCGCTAAAGAACCACAATTAGAGAACTGGTTAGCAAAATTCTTGTTTCCCTAGATAGACAAATACATTTTATCAGCATACCTTCATCCTGAATGGTTTTCTTTTCTTTTCAGCCGAAGCAGGTTCGGTCAAGCTCGTCTTTCTTGAGAGGCTGAAGAGAGCGGGCGCAGTGATTGTCCGTCCGGATTTTTATTTACCTGTATACACCAAGTACACCGCTGACTGATTCATATAAAAAATCAAGTTAGGTGCTGCAATCAGGTAAAAATCTTGATAAAGATTGCCAACCTGTAGGATGCTCTCCTACCAAAAGTTTCTGTATGAGGATGGTTAGAATATCTATAGTATCTATTTTGACTTTTTCATTACCGTAGCAGAAAGAAAACGACTGATTCGATAATCCTTCTTGTGATTACAAAACCTATTTTTTGCTACAAGGGGCAAATGATACATACTCATAAAGCATGTCTATACCAGTTGTATGCCCACATATGTTTTAAAGCTGATATCATACTGTTTGCATGCAGTGACTGGCGTGGGGGTAGCCTTAAAATGATAGGCATCATTCGGATTCAGCTGGAGAATAATAACCTTCAAAATTCTACAATGATAGGTTGGGTGTTATAGCCAAATCATCAAGTAAAGATTCATGTACATCTCTTGTCCAGCGTTTTTGTCAGGAAACGTTCCTCCAATTCCATGGGACATGATGTTCCAAAGGCTATTGTAAGAAAGCGTCTTTTAACCACACAAGGATTCTAGACGGGACTATTTGCTTGAAAATATAATATCTTCTTTGGTTTACCCAATATCGTCGTTTCCAAAGTCAACATCTTCAAATTTAGAAGTTCGTGTGTATTTGGATCTGTATCTAATCCACCTGTTACGATCAAATTCATTTAAAGCGTTAGATAAATCATAGATTGATGCATGACAAGAATCCCGTAGTTGTGATATCTGCTTTGAGATGGGAAATTGTTCTTACTGAACTTCAGCCAAACCTTTGCTTTTAATATCTAATCTTGATAAATTAACGTGGTTATCATTGCCCCACAAAAGGTTGTAGGAGCCCACCTGGCTTGTCTCCTAACGTAGTGGATAAAGTGAACACCAAGAATTGTATTTTCAATCTAAATATGCCACTAGAATCTTAACTTCCGTAAAAGATTGTCTGTTCCCTGATAAACCAAATCAAGCGTGCCCACCTTTGTTATACCGAATGATGTACAATTCACTTGGATTATGCTCTCTGCTCCCCTCGGCGTGAGGGGGTCATCTTTCCATAGGAGCTCTGGAAGTAATATTTTTGATGTGCTAGATTACGAGAGAGAAAGGGAGAAAATATAGTTCGAAAACATCTTTGTATTGAGACTTGTCAATCAGTTAACAGATGTGGTCTGGACCCATCTTGTGACGGCTTGTTCTATTTCTTATATCAAATCCACTTGGCTAATTTATCATAAGATAACATGAGCTTAATCTCCATAAGAAAACCAAATATCGTAAGAGTTAAAGGTACGATCGCCCATGTTTCAATTCAAAGCCTTTGTGCTACCCATTTTGAAACTGCACTTTTCTAGAGTATTCGATAATAAAATGCAGCAAGCATATGCTAGTATAATCAGGTCATATTCATGCTGCTTTTTTTATATCTATTAACTATTTAGATCTGTACGCATTTTGCACATCTCCTGTCGTTTAAGTTGGCCAATCATATTTATACTTGGCGATAGAAATAATCACTAAATCGTGATCGGAGTAGCCCCCAGACTTGTCAGTCAAGCCGCAAATATTGTTACATGATCAGTAATGGGGGGCGTTGCTAGGGGGGATTTGATTCGTCCCCTTTTTTAATTTCATTTTTTTTTTTTTGGATATATTTTTTTGTTGTTTTTTTGGGGCCATGAATAAACCCTTTTACAATGTCCTTTCCTGATGATGCTAAGCAAAAACGAAATAAACCATGTAATTTCTATGTCTAATATAATGTAAGGTGTAAATGCGTACTAATAAACAAAGAATGCTTAGGTGAAAACTGTCGTGCCCATCGAAGAAAGTGTAAAGTGACTCAAGGTATAACTTGTGATCGTTGCATAAAAATGAACTTAGCTTGTGTATTCAAGTTTTCTGTCAAACCCACCGTCCTAAAGAAACCTGTACCCGTCTCCAAAAAAAACCGCATGTTGGAACAAGTACGCATCATGGAACAAGATATGGCTGCCATGGAACAACAACTCCGGTTACTGAATGTGCAAGTGCGCTTGGACTCTGGTGGTGGTGGTAGCAGTAGCAGCAGTAGTGGTTACGATAGTGATTCCTCCAGTAGTGCTGGAACAAGCATAGGTGAAGGCTACTATACCGAATGTTCTGAACGGAGCCATGAGCACGGTGTCAGTGCCAAACGAGTCAAATACAAAGACACCAGTCCCTCGCCATCTACTTGTACCGCTTTAACAAGAACGAATGTGAATAACAGTGGTTGGAATCTAAAAGTAAGTCAAGACTCGAAGGGCATTCGGTTTCAAACGTCCATCAAGAGTATTGCTGATGTAGCTGTCTTTTTAACGGAAACTTTACGGTATTTCACCAGTTCACCTAATCGCACACCTAATTACCATGCAGATCGTTCACGGCAGACCATGGCAGTGACCAACAAAATGCTCCAAGTAGAATATGTGCTCCATAGCTTCTTCCAGAAGAAACACAAGCCTAAATTAATCGCACCTTGTTCTTCTCCTATATGTGATAGTATGACACGTGCTTTTATCAAACGACAATTATTACAAACCTATTTTACGTGCCACGGAACTTGTACACCCATATTACCCTCACCCTATTTTATACCCTATTTTCAATCCCAACCCAACTGTATGCTATCTTCTGCTGCAGCTGCCTTTGTTGCCTATTCACAATGTAGACATGTCGATCAATATACTTTTCCTGTGACTCGTGAAAGTATTGCCGAATCCTTTCGACAAGAAGCCAAAGAACTATTGGAGGATGTCCTGTTTGAAGAAGAGCCCAGTGTAATCACTGCTGCTTCTCTCATGTTGTTATCCCAATGTGCACTTATTACTTTACAGAATATGGAGGCAAGATTGTACATGAATTTGGCTTGGCGCATGGTAGTTCAACTCAAAGACAAGTATATCCATCTGGTTCAACCTTTGACCACACAAACAATAGCGACTGCAGAAATTTGTATGGCAGAGGCTTGGCGACGGTTATTTTATGCCGTCCGATACTTGGAGCTTAACTTGTACATGATTTATGACGGGTTAGCTGATTTTTCTTCCATCATGTTCGATAGTGGAATTGGATACCCTACCGTCTTGGCAAGCGAATACCCCAACAAAGAAGTGAGTGGAGCGATTCTTGTGTTTAGTCATGTCGTACGATTACACAACTGTCAAATGTCTCCCAATTCAGATGCTCTCAAATACCAACTCTTTGCGGGTAACCTGGAATCGATTTCGATTCTCGATATTGAGTGTCTTGAAAATCAGTTGATTAGTTTCTGGAAAACATTACCCGCCCAATTTCGATTATCGGATTCTCCTTTGGAATATTTACAAACTGACCGAATTCAACAATGCGAGAATCCTCATGCGATTTATTTAAATCAATTATATTACGCCTATTGGTTGGCTTTAGAAACTCGATTGATGAGATCGCCTGACTCCACCGATCTCAAAAGTGCCAATATGGAACGCTTTGATGGTGATCGAGCCTTATTGATTGTGTCTGTATGTTGTGATGCTATTTCCAAAATATTTCATGTCTTGTATTGTAGGTTGCCATGCACAGTGGAATTGCATTGGTTGCTGATTGCCAGTGATGCCATGGCCATGTTGAAGAATGCAGCCAACCCGCATATCAAATCAAGAGCACAAAAGAATTTACGTGTAACTTTACGTGTGTTGAAGGATCGTGTACGACATGTAAATCAAGATGAGGCCAATGAAGATTACAATTTATTGAAGAGTATGTTACCTGCTTCTGCTTCAGAAACAAGTATGAGTACAAGTACGAGCTCAGGGAGTTTAGCTGGTTCAGAAGCAGATAGTACCCATACAGACGATGATCCTATATTCGATACAAGACCTCCTGCCGCTTATTTTGGTGAATTAAAGAAAACAATGAATACCTTTTTCTCTGGAACTGAGCAACCACCTCCACCTTCAACTTAGAAACAAAAACTCCTTAATAATGTGTACATAATAATTTCACTTAATTTATTTTCTCTTTTTTTTTTGTATATAAAATTAATCGTTTTTTTTTCTAATATAGTTTGTAATAAAAACCAGTGTTTTACATTTTTTGTTTGCTTGTCTAAGAGAGAGGGGTAGAAAATACCATATTTTTTACGGGGTGGTGATGACTCCCTCAACACCCTCCGCCGGATATTTTTTTTTTTTCGGTTACCATCGACCAAAGAAGCTTTCTTCACAAAGTAATTTGATATCATAGGCCACAGTACCCTTCACAGGGGATGCATACACAGCAGGTTCCTTTTCTTCTACACGCGCTTGGCTTGTTGTGTGATGTCGAAGATAAATCGGTGTACTACATACTTCCTCCTTCTTCATAAACAACGGTGAAACTAAATTATTTTCTTTTTCGTTCAGTAACAAATAAAAAAACATCTTCCCCTCACCCCGGCTGCCCCCATTTTACTTACAACTCGTGTCAATCGGTCTCAAAGTAGGACGATCTTGTGTAACATGCTTGACAGGCGGTGATGGCATACTTACTGCCGCTTTTGCTATTACTATTGGTGCCGGTGCTGCTGTTGCCGGTGCTGCCGGTGCTGCTGCTGCTGCTGCTGCTGCTGCTCTAACAGTCTATAAAAAGAGTAATGATTATTAATGACAAACAATAAAAAAAGCAAGACGTATATGTCTTTTTTGTTTTTTTTTACCGTTGGTTTGGGACTAGTGGGTTTACAGACTAATCCTTTGGCATTACGGATCATTCTCTTGCATTTGGTTTTAAAGTCAGATTCAGTGGGTACAGATGTAGATTTACGAAAATTAGTCTCCATGGGAAAGTCTTTGGATTCTACGTCTTTCACATTGGTGGAGGCGGGAAAGATATTGCTGGTGATAGGTTGAAGGGGAGATGGTGATGATTGGATGAACTCTGAAGTAACCAAGGTGTTGGCTTCCGATAGCTTGGGTGTCACCACGCGGGTTGACGTATCCAATATCTCGGGTTCGTCATAAACCTCTTGTAAGAATTCAGCGGGTGGGGAGAGATCCATGGCAGGAGGTGTGACTTGTGCGGGTTGGTACATGGGGTGTAATACCATGGCATTTTGATCTGTGGGTTCAAGATCTTCTGCACTATTATTATCATCCAATGTATGCAGCTCAATCACATTATCTCGATTTTGCGTGGGTTGCACGGGACTGAAAGGTAAGACTGGTGAAAGGACATGATCTAATTTCTCAATCACTCCTTGGTCTTCTGGTAAATACGGTGCCAAGAGCTTGGGAAGTGGCATTTGTTGTTATTTATTTAGGTTTATGGGTTGATAATATATATATATATATAAGATATATAAAAAAAAAGGTAATGATTAAAGTTTCTGGTTTATATTTTTTTTATAACGTACTATTTTTTGGTTATTTGTAGGAAAAAATTCAATCGCGGGCTTTCCTTTTCGTTTTAACAAACAAGTGTCTTTTTTAAAATTGTACACAATTCAGTCAAATTTAGCTATCTATCATTAAATCCGGAGGTCCCGTTATTTTTTATTGTCCATCGTATTTAAGTAGCTCGTTCCTATCAGATCAATATGGACATGATAATTTATGGGTACACTCGTTGAACATTAATGTGTGGATTGATTTGCAGACAGTTCCCGTAAAGCGTCTGTTATCAATTTTACTCAGCCAACACCAACAAGGAGAAAATATATGTGTGTTTAAAAACTGAAAGAAAACTTTATTGTCCCTCAAAAATAGAGCACCCACACTTTTTTTTTTTTACATAGGAAAACTGTGAGTTGTGTACAATCAAAATATGAAACTGGGCCGTACTCAAGTTGATTCAAATCATTTATTGCTTTTGTTCACCAAATGTATACTTAAGACTGTATTTAGACTCGTAATAGAGAAGCTCTTAAAATAAAAAAAATAGATCATAGCGTGATTTTTATTTTTGATTTCCAAACCTCAATGTTTTGATTTTAATGCAGCAGTTGAATAGTGTTGAATAAACAAGCTAGTGTCTCAAATCGCTATCTTGTTTCATGGAACCCTTTTTTTTTTCAAACCGTATATTTTCACAGCTGTATTAAATATAATAGGAACATTCTCTTCGTCCCTCTTATTATTTGTTTTAAATATTTTATTCAATTATATCAATACAAGCGGATTGTTTCATGCGTTTAAAAAAGCGAAAATAGGTAACTATCCATTAGTTTATGCTATAAAAGAGTCCTTTAGGAATCAATTTATTAAAAATCAAGCAACTCAGGACGTCATTTTTTTCAATAAAGGTCATTAAGCCACCCGTATATACTATATTATCATACTTAATTGAGCTCGTTCTGATATACATTTTTCTTTATTTTTGCAACTATTGAAGGAATTCAAGTAAGTGTGTTTATCATTTCCAAGTCATATTTAACTTATAGAAATGGTGTGGGCGCATGACAGGAAGCTAGACTGATTTTGTTTAATATATATACTAAGTTCAAGTTATCATGCGAACGTTTTCGATAGACTTCCCAAAATAATTTGCGTCAATAAATTTCTCCAGCACAGGATTTAAGTTTTTTTTATTAAAACGGTTTATCCGTAATGCTTTAAAATATTGATTCGGAATTAAGGCAGACTATGTGGAGATGAATATTGCCATGTATAAGTAGCATACTAGAATGAACAATATCAGCTTCCCAGTTATAGACGACATTAATAACTTTTTGGGGAAATACTTTATTCACTATTTTTTTAAGTTTTTGTTATATGGAAGCCGCGGCTTTATGGTGAAAATACATGAACTTTATCTTGAAATCAAAAGAAAGTTTTTTATTTAAGGAAACATAATAACCAGGTTGATGTCTAAACGCGCAGCCGCCTTTTCGTTTTGATACGAATGAGTTCAACTTGGTATGGAGCCATTAAATTGCTTACTGTCCTACCAAAACAAGCATATAAGACTTAAAAAGTGACGTAGTCTTAAATAATTTCCTAACTAAAAGTACACCCTTTGTCTTTATGGAATAATAGCCTCTATGTATAAAAATAAAAGTGTCCAAGATTAAAGGCCTCTTTATTTGCGATATAACAAAATAAACTAGCAATAAACAAGTACTTGTTTACATCAGGATTTGTTTATTGTTATTAAATTAAAAAAAGATAGTTCCAGACCGATCTTTCATGAGAGATCCATAAACAAAAACTTGTTTTTGTAAGGAATTTGCCTATTGTACTCAAGGTTAAATATGCCTTTTAATGAGTTTCTTACACCATTGAGAACCTTTTCAAAATCCTAACATATTCAATGGACCATTTCTTACATTAAAATTTGATGGCGTTTTTTTTTTTCTGTTCCTCAGTTTATGACAAATAACTACAGATCGTGTTGATTGCTCTTCTTTGTTACTGGGACAACTGAGCCGATAAAAGTGATCATCCTTTGTTACATTATGAAGGCTCGTTATAAGCCTGTCATGTTGTTTAACGGCGCTGACATCTTAGATTATTCTGGCTCTACCACAACAATAGCACCATCATCGCGATCTAAACATTCATATACGTGAATAATTATAAAAATAAAATCTATATCAAGTTCTGTTTTACCAATTAATCTGCATTTGAAAAAAGGGCTCTTCGAGCGCGTTTAAACCGAATAACGACAATCTTCTTATTGTCAGATTTTATTTCAGCATATCCGACCATGCTATTACGGTATTTATTATCAGACAAACAAAAGTACTTTTTCCAACAGCAGTAAAAAACTGTTCGGACAGAATAGTCGAATGGTTCTGAAATAACTTGTTAATAAATGGTCCTCGCAATCTCCGGAAGATGTTTTATTGAAGAATATAAATTTGCATATTTAGCTTAGTACCACATTTCCTCTGATACCAACTTGCGCTGCCTTTATGCCTCGAAATATGAAGTTTCTAAATGTTTCTTCATTAATTTTTTTAAACCAGGAAAGGAAGGGATGAGATATACAGTCGATATAGTTTTCTTGATGTGTGATGCCTTCCATGAATACAAGCGGTTTCAATCTATCAACCTAAATAACCACAAAACTTTACGGCCCAGTTTTTATCTAATGATTGTAGTTAGATCTTGGTAGTCTATAAAGACTTGAGTGTCCTGCCTTGCAGTTCAAATTCTTTAAACGCTGTCATTTTTTTTTTAATTAAAAAAGAAATGTTAGCTGGCCGATGGCATGACAGCACCTCCTAAGGTTCAGCTTAGGCTTATAGTCTGATATGTTACTGCCTAGTGCGACAATATTTGTGCTAATGAACCACTCTACATGTAATATATCTAACACAATCTATTTCGAAATAAACATATGACCAGTTGTCTTGATAGCGTAAAATGAAGGACCTTTATTATTAATATCCTGAGGACTTGTTTATTGGTAAAACGCCTTGATTTGTTGTCCGCTTTGGATATCCTTGATCGCTGTCACTGTGATGACATTTGTCTTATCATAAGAGATTGAGACATTGGCTTCCTCTAATTCAGAAGGCACAATGTAGGAAGAGATCTTGTAAATAGCGCTACCTAATCCTTGTTTCTCTGTATATAAAACACGAGTAGGCTCATTGGATTTCTATCGTCAAGTAAATAAGTTATTAGCTATTTGTCCTTTTTTAAAATAATGATAATGAAAAAAACTACCTCTATTAAAATATCTTCATTGGTAGGAACTTCATATGAATTTTTGTTCAATTTAGACTTCAACAAAAGATAAATATCATCCGACAAAAACTCATCGATACCAGGCACCTTGGATGCCAACAGTGCCTTGATCAACTTAATCTCGTGTGCTGATTCCTCTGTAGGTACCAATTCCTTACCCGCATTGAATCGTTCGATATGATCCCAAGCAGTGTAAGTAGATGCCTTTTCAGAATCTTTGTTTTTCTTGGCTTCATCTGCCACCATGATGGATAAGAACTGAGCAATCATTTGAGGGTATTTTAAATTGGTTGCTTTGGTGTAGTTGGAAAATTCGGTAGCGACAGTTGAGGGTTCCAATTTATTGTTAGTGCACATGAAGACATGGTAGTTTTGGGATCCGGCTTGTTCACATTGGGTGCTGCAGAATGCGACTTGATCACAGTTACTACATTCGACCTTGTTTTCCTCATCCAATACTCTCATACAGTAATTACAATGTGTAGTCTATAGAACCCGATTGTTTTAGGAGTGCCAATGTTGACAAATGAATAAAAATGTTTACCTCTAACTGGGGGTGAAGGGCAGCAATGAAGGGAGTTTCTGTGTAGAGTACATCATCGACAGTGAAATCTTTAGTAGCGGTTAATCCACGTACAGGTTTATCTGATTCGACGGGTAATTCCTGGAATTTGACACCTAATTCAGGAGGAGGGAAATGGTTGTAAAACTCAGCTTGGCGTTGTTGTTGCTGTGAGAAGGTTAAATGAATATGATTTGCCTTCTTTTTGTCACTTGTTGTTAATTTACCTCGAGGGCCATGATATTCACGACAATGCGGAACACCTTTTCGGGCAAAGTCTTTTGATAGAGCATGATAAGTTCCAGGGGAGCAGGGTAGACACGAAGCGCTTTATAGAAGGGCTCAACACTTTGTTCATAATAGGCTTCACCTTGACCACAGAGTGTTTCTCCCATCGAAACCTGTTCCATGAAATACGCTTCTTTGGCTTCAGCAGTCTCGGGGAAGTTTTCTTTGCTGATAATTTCCATCACGTTTTTTACAAGTGCCTCGACAGTAACTAATTCTTTTTCTTGGCTCACCTTTACAGCCTTGGAAGCCTTCTTACGCTCACGCTCTAAATAAACACACACACACAAATCAGTTTATGGATAGGTTACTTTTTTTTTTCTTCTTTTTTCTTTTTTACTCAATTGCTTTTTGAAGTTGGGGTCAGTTCTACGCTTTTGATCAAAATAGACAAGGTAGCCAATGCCAAAAGTAGCCAAAATGGCAGACGAAATGAGTGCAATAGTTGTAGGCTTCATGGCGTTACAAGTACAATGACAACCAAAAAGAAAAAAAAGCATGCATTTTTTTTTTTGTGTTATTTGAGATAGGATTGTCGGGGTTAAAGGGTCGGAGGGTAAGATTTTTTTGACATTGTGCTTGGGAAGGATCCTATTTTCTTAGAATAGCAATCGTTACTTCCCCCAATAACCTATCCGTGCTCAATCCTCCTAGCCAGCTATTCCAATCTATAAAATCTGCTATGCATTTCTTTGTATTTAATGTATACCAATCAACGTTTTATCATTGACAGAAATACACACAAAATGAGGAAAAACAAGGCAGCCACTGTGACGTTGAATCCTCTTTTTTTTTTTTAAACCCGTATCTTTTATTTTTTTTTGCCTATAGTTCACCCTTTTTTTTATATATACATAATCAAAAATAAATAATGTTTAAACGTGTACGTAAGGAACTGGAAAAGCAGCAGATTCAAGACACAGAGATCGCCGCCGATGACAATGAGGAAAGATTAGCTGGTGTCTTTTCCGATTCGGGATCAGACAGTGATACCGATAATTCGGACGATGAACAAACAAAGCGATACAAGAAGAAGGCACGTAAAGCCTTGATCAAGACTGTCAACCAATTAGCCAAATTACAGGGCTCCGGTGATGAGGATGAGGAGTCCGATGAAGAAGAAGCCGAGTCTGAAGACGAGGAGGCAGAACCCATGGAAGAAGAGTTGAATTCAGAGGATGAACTCGAGGATACTTTCGTATGTGACGTTTGCCCCGAAAAGAAGCTCAAGCACGTTGAGCACGTTAATATTCATTTGAAGAGTAAGGATCATATTAAGAGAGTGAGATTTTTGAAAAAGACCGGTGGTCTTCCCCAACCTGTCCAAGAAGAAGAGTTATCGGAAGAAGTTCAGGCTAAGATTGCTGCAAAGAAGGCAAAGGCTGAAGCCGAAAAGAGTGCTAGAGAACAAGCTTTGAAGGATAAAAAACAATCAAAGGCCTTGAGTGCCAAGGAAAAGGCAAAGGCTCATCGTAAGCTGGTCAAGCAAAAGAAGTGGGAACGTGAACAGGAAAAAGCCAAGGCAGCCGCCGCTGATGCTGCTGCTGCTGTTGTTGTTGAAGAAGAAGCCAAGGAGACACCTGTCGTTGCTAAGACTGCTGCCAAAAAGACCGCTGCCAAAAAGGCTGGTACTAAGAAGACAGCTACTAAGAAAAGTGCAGCCAAGAAATAAATAGAAACTTTGTAATATAATAGAAATTTCACACACACATTATACATAATATAATTCATACCAATAAAAAGAAATGAAAGATAATTTATTTTTGTATATTTATTTACATTAAAGTGGAGGAGTTGAGACCACCTTCGATATCGGCCACAACCATCTCGGTAACCAATTCATCAAAGGTAACCTTACGCTTCCAGTTCAACTCGGTGTTAGCCTTGGTAGGGTCACCCAATAAGAGCTCAACTTCAGCAGGACGGAAGTACTTGGGATCGATACGTACACGAACCTTACCAGTCTCAGAATCCTTACCGATCTCGTTCACACCCTCACCTTCCCAAACAATAGTGCGGCCAGTCACTCTAAAGGCCTTCTCGATAAAGCTTCTGACAGTATGAGTCTCACCAGTGGCCAAAACAAAATCATCGGGCTTATCTTGTTGCAACATGAGCCACATACCTTCAACATAATCACGAGCATGTCCCCAATCACGCTTAGCATCAATGTTACCCAAGTAAAGACAGTCTTGACGACCGAGATGGATATCAGCAACAGCACGGGTAATCTTACGTGTAACAAAAGTGCGACCACGACGAGGAGATTCGTGGTTGAAAAGAATACCATTAGCGGTATACATGTCATAGGATTCACGGTAGTTGACAGTGATCCAGTAAGCATAGAGCTTAGCAACACCATAAGGAGAACGAGGGTAGAAGGGGGTAGTTTCCTTTTGAGGAGTTTCGGCAACCTTACCATAAAGTTCAGAAGTAGAGGCTTGATAGAAACGAGTACGATCGCTTAAACCACAAGTACGGATAGCATCTAAAAGACGAAGAGTACCAAGGGCATCCACATCACCGGTATATTCTGACATGTCGAAAGAGACCTTGACATGAGATTGGGCTGCCAAGTTATAAATTTCGGTGGGTTGCACCTTGGAGATGATGTGGACCAAACAGGTTGAATCAGTCAAATCACCATAGTGAAGGAAGAATTTCACACCTGAAAAAAATTTAATATTAGAATTTAGTCTTTGTTTATTTATTTTTTTGGTTGGACTTTTTTTATCATTACCAGTTTCATGTCTGTCTCTGTAAATGTGCTCAATACGGCCTGTGTTGAAAGAAGATGAACGACGGATAATACCGTGGACTTCATAACCCTTCTCTAATAAAAATTCAACTAAATATGAACCATCTTGACCGGTAACACCTGTCAAAAAAAAAAAAAAAAAAAAAAAAAATATATATATATATAAGAAATCAGTATTCCGTTGCTGAAAAAAAAAAGAGTGCAGACAAAAAAATAGATTACGAGAAAAAAGAGATGCGCATGGTCATCATCTGTTGAAAAAGATGATCGTATGCCTCTGATTTCGCAATTCTTTTTTTCTTCTTCTCATCTTTTAAACTTACCAGTGACGAGAGCAACTTTACGAGCTCTGTAGTCTTGAACAGACAAAGAAGCAAAAGCGTTATTGATTCCAGTGACAGACATTTCTTATATCTAATAATACGATAGGTTAACGAGAGAAAATCTTTTGTATAGGGTAGGAAGGCTTACAAAAAAAAATGTTTCTATTTTAAAAAAGAAAAAGAAGCCTAAACAAGTTTCAATTTTCATTATCTTTTTATAGATTTTTATTATTTATGAAAACTAGCCAATGATAAGCACCGCCCTATGTCATCTCTGTGGACGATCTTTTTTAATTTCAACACCAGTCTTTTAGACTGGCACACATTTTTTTGCAGTGATTCTTCTTATGCATCTTGCGAAACCGAACTTAGCTGCAAGGTGATTCTGCTCTTTGCTGCGTAGGGAGTCTCAAGATTTTATCTTGGACAGGCTTGTAGTTAGCCAATAATTAGGCTGGTCATATTGAATCCAATCCAGTTGTTAGAGGAATCGATTATCCTATTCATACGACACGTAACATATTCGATATGTGAGGTAAATGGCATTCGTATAGTGTGAAGTAGATGCTGTCAACCTCGTTGAACAATAATAATGGTCGTCATCGCTATTCGGACACGGGTATGCAGTTGGACCACACGCCAATTAGCTTCGACAACTTATTTTACATTGCCTTTTTGTCTCATTCATTAGTTTTTGTTTTTATCCCTCAAGGTTATTCTATTGACTGGAAGAAAAAGAGAGAAGGCGTTTATTTATCAGCACTTGATTAAAATCGCAAATTTATTTTTTACTTCAAACATGATTGATATTAATTAGCAGAGTAAGGATCGGATGCTCATTTCCATTTTTCTGTTTGTATCCACACCTTCTGTTCGTAATGGGCCTGATTTATTCAGCCTTGAAGTTCCATTGACAGCCGATGCAGCAGCATTCAATGTACTACTGGAAGTCTGTAAAAAGTATTGCTGGGTTGGATGAGTCACACTATCAGTCGACCTTAACCTCATGGAAGTAGGCGGTGTAGATGAAGGGGAAAATCGCTGTTGTAAAATATTACTGAAATGTTTGTTATGCTGAAATGATAGATTGTTGGTCCCCTTGGGATGATTCGTGACAGGTGCTATATTGAATTTGGGGGAAGCTGGTATAATAGATGACTGTGAGAATTTCCGTGCATTTAACAATGAGCTGTCTTTAAAGCTTTTGGGTTCACTCTTGTTGAAGTTAGCCAACTGATTATGACTAGGTGATATGGGTGATAACGGTGTCAGTGGTGAAAATACCGCAATAGGTTCCATATTATTATATATTTCATTTGTCTTGAATAAATCTTCCGAAGGTGGTGAGGTAGACACCACCTCATACTCATGCTTTCGAAACTGTGCTACAATATACTGTTTGGAAAAACTAGTAATATCATACAAATTGGCCCCTAATCCACCTCCAATATATACTACCACCTTGTATAATTCATACTCACCAGATCGTTTCTTAATATGTATCGAATCTGAAAAGGATCTGGATCCATTAGCTACAGTATTTAATACACTATAATCTGTGGTGCTGAATAAGGTGGATGTGCTCCTTTCTGTTGCTGGTAAGGTCGCATCACCTGTCATTGTATCCATCACATTGTCTAGTAAAAGTCGATGTAGTCGTGCCAACCGATCTATATCTTTGGGTGAAATAAAATCGTAAAAGGATCGATGTGCAAGTTCTTGTGGATAGTATCCCCAGCATTTGATGGTATCAGCTGATACCTTTGCACAACACACCTCCATAGACATGATGATGGTGAGATCACTTGCATCTGTCATAGTATTACTACTAGTAGTAGTATTATTATTATTATTTTGGGGTACTGGTAACAGAGGAGTGGTTTCAAAAAGGTTTGTGGTGTAATCAAATAGTAGTGGCTCTCGTATGGGTTGTGAAGTAGCTGTTAACTGTGGTATCATGGATTCTAAAAGTAAATTATCATAGGTTAAGGGTACACTTGTTGCAGTTGCATTTGCAGTTGTGGTAGTGTTGACGATAGGTGGAGGAGATTTATCATCGGATTGAAAGGACTCGATGGGCTCGTGGATGAATGAAATGACGGATTGAGGTTTAGTAGATGGAGAGATCTTTGTCTTAAAGGGAGGTACTTGAATGTTGGGAACTATATTTCGGGTTGGGTTCTTCAAAGTGATGGATGGAGTTTGGATTGTCCCGTATAGGATCTCATAGGTATGTTCGTTGGATGAATAAATTTTCTTTTCACGAAGCTTGGGTCGCCCACGCTTCTTATGTTGCATGTCTTGACATGTATCGGTCTTCTTTAATGTTACACACCGTTGACATGGCCGGGACACTATAAATGCCTTACAATTGAGTTTTTATATTCATATATAAATTTATCCCGGTTCTTACCATCACATGCTAAATGTGCTGTTTTACAATTGATACCTATACCAGAAAGAAAAATCAGTTTTTTCCATCATAGACTCATTCATCTTTATAAGCTTACAGGCACTTGGTACATGTGACTTATAGCCTCGTTTGGCTGGCATGCTACTAGTTTTCGCTTCAGTGCTCTTTGGGATATGGGTAATAATCGAACAGTGATTGGCATTTCCTCGCAAAGTACAACTTGAACAGGGTACGACAGCTACAAACAAACAAAAAGATTAGCACGAAAGAAAAAAAGAAAAAAAAGTGGGATGAATGAGTGCTTACAATCACATTCCAGTTGTTCTTTTTTACAGTTCTCACCTGCAATGGAAAAAAAAAAGTTAATTTATGGGGTAGAAAAAAAAAAGGGTGGGAAGATTCTATTGAACTTACAGGCCTGTCTGGTCTCTTTCTGAATTATATTTGGCATATTGGTTGAAGGTGAATGGTTGCTCTCTTGTGGTGCATTATGGTTCATTGGCTACTGCAGAAAAAAAAAAAAAATTCCCCCTTTCTATTTAATATGTGAAAGAAAAGAGAAAGGTAACCTGAAATTAAATATTTTTTTCTTTTTGGTGTGAAAATTTAAAAAAAAAAGCCTCCAAATTAGGTCAAGCGGGTTTTCTCTCTCTTTCCCTGCAGTGTAAATTAAAAAAGGTGTGCACAAACAGTATTTACATTAGATCAATTAAATATTACTCTTGTTTCTTTACCCCACATTCATTTTAATATGTTTTGTAAACTATGTTTTGCTTCTCTTTTTAATTCTTGTAAATTGATTAACCGACTACCCATGGAACCATTTAAATTTCCCGCTCCACTTTTTTCAGATTCCACTCCCTCCCAGAGTATCAATAGGCAGAGCTTTAACGGCGTTTATTCAATTTTAGCAGAATAAATCGGAAAGAGATTCAAATGGTAATTTTCACTGTAAGAACTTCACAGAAAAGTTAGACAATAAAATTTAACATGTGTCCAAACACAAATTACAATGACTAGTTAGATAAGCTTATTCGACAAAAGCTTAACGACCCAACACATTATTATAACTGAAAGAACGATAGTTTTTTTTATATGTACTTAACGTTTAACCAGGCATTGATCAGTTACACAGAGAGGCGACCTCCTTCTACACGTCTGGACATCATGTTTTATTTTTAATTTTCATCAAAAATATCTTTGATCTGGCCTTTCTTCTAATAGCCAATGGGATCTTCCAAAACTTAGAAAATCGCATTTGAAACCTTAACCTTTTCCGTTGTACGACACTTTTCTTGTTGAATTTGTATTTAAGTGTTCTCAACATCGGAGCCCAAAACCAAATAGCCCATTTTCTCCACCTAATGATCAACTACTGTATTCACAGCAAAGTCACTAAAAGGCTATTTTGTATCGCCTTACGCACATCCAACATTTGCTTTAAGCAATTTGTGAAAATCACAGCAGCCCTACACCAAGATATTTTACATCGATAAATATTCACTCAGACTGCTCTATTAATTGACAAATGCTAAAAGACATCATCATTTCTAATTTATAAGGGCATCCCATTAATGAAATAATGAAACGATATTTAATTAATCCAGTCTCATAATCACCTTCCTATTTGTTTTTTCATGATTAATAGAGTATATTTATCTTGAGAAAACTATTCATCAGTAAAGAGTATGAAGGATACATTTGACGGTTGATTTTGTGTCACTCCAAAATTGGGTCGTTACAGCGGCTGTGCGGGTAACGATAGAAACCAGTCGTTTCCAACGCCAAAGGGCGGTTTTTTTAAAATCCTAATCTTATCTAAGATTCAATGAAAGTCACACGTCTTAAAGAGAGGTATAGTAAAATGACAGAGAACGTCTATTTTCTATGTACTTTTTTATGCGCCTGTTTTTTTTACGTCTGTGAATACGCCTTTTTTTCTTGTATGTGAAAGCTCGAACATACGGATGATTAAATAAGCAATTAAATCATCCTGATACAAGCCAGCTCTTGTTTATCAGCTTATATAAATAAAACGCGTTCACACAATCTTCTGATTAAATAAGCAATTAAATCATCCTGACATAAGCCAGCTCTTGTTTATCAGTCTATAAATAAACATTTTTTTCTTTCCCTTCTTCATCTTTTTTATTTCTTTTTTATTCCCAATCTGTATAATACCATCTTTTTAAAAGAGAAGCATGTAATAAAATTGGAAAAGGTTAGTTAATAAAAACTTTTGTTTTTTTATAAAAACGCTAAAATATTACCTCTTTTTTTTTATCACAGCTACGGCTAGTCTTTGTAATATAAGCAATACTTGCCCGTTCCCAGTTTTGAACACTGGGAAAAAAATCGAGTGGGTCGTCGTTTGTGCAAGACTAAAAACGATAACGGTAGTGGTGCTTCACTGGCGCCGAAACTCCCACTTATGCTACACCCTCTAGGTCTTTTCAAAGAGCAAAAGTATGTAAGAAAAAGAATGGATCACGTGAATCTAAAAAATACGTAGGTGTAGACATTCTCAAATGACATGATGGGGCAAATGTCCATTTTCTTTAATTCTCAGGCTATCGTGTCCTCTATCGTGTACATTTTTTTCTAAAGCTCAGGCTATCTTGGTATCCTTCACAACAATGACTACTATTAGTAGAAAGCGTGCAATATGCATGTTATACCACCAAGATTATGATAAGGATAAAGCCAATGAACTACTCAATGCTGTCGAAAAACTCGACCTCGAGATTTGCTATAAAGATGATCCCTGTAAAACATTTCTGCTATATACAAATTCCATAAAAGCAGATCCGTATAACTAACTTACTTATCAAAAGATAACTAAAGCTCCTCAAATTGAAGTTGAGACAAAAAAAAGTGGTAAATGTCTACCAAAAAAGAAAATGCTTTGTATTTTCGATTATTCATAGATAAACTTTTTGTTTAGTCAGTCAAGCTCAACTGATAATTTTTCTGGATATTGCATTTTTACCAGTAAACCCAAACAACGAAGAAGCTTATGCTTGCAAAAACTTAAGCATGAATGATATATTAACCGTTGTTTGGAAATACTCGGATATTTTCATTGATAAAACTGCTTATGGTTTTGGCATTTGGTGTCATCCAAGAAAATTGTTTTTGACTGAAAGCCAAACGAAAAGAAAATACAATGATCTACAACAGAAAGTTTCAATACGATTACTCTATGCTTTAGAGGATGAGTATGTCGGTAAGACATACAGTAGCCGTTCATAGTTTCATTGGATCATAATTAATCTAGCGTTTAGACGATGTAATAGAAGACGTTGTGAGCTGTTTATCTCGCTATCAAAGATTTATTCAGAGCTTAAAAGACGAAGGTTATCATGTGATAGGCTAAATGCGAGAAAGTCTACATGCGAAAAAGATGATAACTCACGCGTTCGTTTGTTGAATCTAATGAGCGAAAACTTGAAGAACAGGTCCTTGGTTAGTAAGGTGTTTGCCTCCGTTAACTGTAATGCGAATGAACCATTACTGGAAGGGGGCTTGGACAGGCAAGAAAATATGCTGTCAAAAATAAGCGCTGATGGTGATATGCAGGGTGAAAAAGGAAACAGTATGTCATCATGATCATAATTAAATTTTAGCTTATTCAATAGACATGCTGATGCATATTTCTTCATTGGAGAGAGTCTGCATTGTGGCTATTGACCTTGCGGGATTATCAACAAATTGTGAAGATTTGAAAGTCTTCTTAAAGTAAGTCTTTTTTGTTTTTTTTTGTAAAGCAGGATACTGATGACATCCAGGATTATTAACTAGACCTCCGATTGAGTACAAAATCGGTTTATAAGGATCATCTTTATAGCAAATCTCGAGATCTAGTTTTTCAATAGCATTGAGTAGTTCATCAATGGCTTTAGTCTTGTCATAATTTTGATGGTAGAGCATGCATATTGCACGCTCTCTACTAATAGTAGTCATTGTTGTGAAGGATACCAAGATAGCCTGAGCTTTAGAAAAAAATGTACACGATAGAGGACACGATAGCCTGAGAATTAAAGAAAATAGACCTTTGGAATTAATAGGGGGTTTCATTAACTATTTCTCATTCTCATGATTTTTTCTCATAAATTTAATCAGCCAATAACATTGCTTCAATTTTTGAGAAATATAATTTTTCTGAGCAAGATTTTTCTAGAAAATATTTCTTGAGAAAATGAAAATAATTAATGAAACCCCCTAATATTTATGTGTTGTTACAGCCAATCTAAATCGACTTGCTATTACATAAGATAGAAGTATATTTCTTAAAAATACAGCCACCCCCCCTTTTTTTTTCTGAATAAATAGTAGTCTACCTTAATTTCATCTTCTGACTGGAATTCTAGCTCCTAATAATTTGTAATCGATTCCTCTGTTCCCTTAACCTTCACATTTTGGTTATACTTTTCATATAAGAGTCAACCAAAATTCATATTTTCCACACTCGACTGAATTTTTTTTTTTAAAGAACTACTTAATTCAGGATATTCTATTACCATTGTTGTCTATGAGTGTTATTATTTGATGTAAATGTCGACCAAGGATCGAAAGAATGGACCTATATAACGGTTTATGTGTTAAATAGTGCTATTTTATCATATCATAATTTGCGTGTCAAAATAAAGTTATTGGAAATAAACTTTCTACCAAGAGTATACCTTTTCAAAAATGTGCGGCAACACCCTAAAATAAATCAGCGATCAAAATGTTTTTTTTGATCGATATTGGCGATATCGCTCAAAAAATCGAAAATATCGATATCTCCGATATTTTTGATTTTTTGATCGCTGATCGCAAAGCCAAATTTTTAAATCTCTATAAAAACAACTTATACATAAATAAATAGATGTAGCAATACCATGTTAATAGATAAACGTAATTTTTTAAAGCAAAAAAATGTTTATGGGGATGATAGCCAGGGTAAGAAAAAGACAACTTCAGATTACGTAAGTAAAATGAGAAAACGGGACATGTGACTGTGGGTTTTAATGATTTTATATTTTATTCTCAGCGGAAAACAATGTTTCCAACACTTCCGGCAGTACTACTCATATCGACTTTAAAAGCGTCACCAGTCTTTATAACATATTTGTTATTGGAGCCGTCAACCGCATTCACCAATCCGACAGCAGACAAAAGATCCTCGGCATCAAAGACCACAAATTTTTTTTGCTCAGCCTCATCGTAAGGTTTCACGCGCGGGATAGCCTTTGAGTATGGTGAGACGTCATGATTCTTCATAAGTTCACCAAAAACGAAGTTCGAGCCCGGAGCACCTTCTTGATATGTAAAGTCAAAAAAGAACAAGACTTTACAAACGTACCAGTTTTCGATAGGCCGGAACATCCTAATTACAATAAGTCAGTACACAATAATTTTGATTTGCAAACATCAACTTACCGATTTTTATGAATTGCAGTAAACATAACAAACTCACCACCACGCGAACTTGCTGCGTTCTTCGATTTGCACAAATCAGATATGTATATTTGATTGTTTGTCCAGAGTTTTTGAGAAATGTTGACAAATTGGTGCTGATGGAACGAAGTTATAACAGCCGAAGTATTACCAGTCAGACGAATCAAAAATTGAGAGAGTGCTTTAAGCCAGTCTTTTGCCAGGTAGCCGCCAATGGTATGATTGTGCTTTTCTTTTGCTTGCTTTACAACCTGGCCCAGCTTTACAGTATTTACCCGCCAGTGAAAGGGTGACCACAGCTGAGGCAACAATGGATCGTTGGACGGGTGGGGCAAGAAGTTGTTAACTTTATCCTTCTTCAAATCATAGGCGGAACTATCGATTATACCATCGGATTGCAAAAAAGAGAACATTTCACGAGTTTCCATGACATTACCGGCGTTGACACCAGGATTCAAAGATGAACGGATTCGCTTCTTGTATATGCCAATAGACCTTTCCAATGATCTTGCAGAATAACACCTTAACGGTCTACCAGAGAAATGAAAAATTAGTACAAAAGGGAAGTCTAATAACTATGATGACAATCGATAACTAACCCCATTCGTTTTATCATGTATGGTATATGGTTCAGTTGGTGCATGTTCGATCTGAATACGGTTCTGGAGATAGAGCTGCTATCAAGACAGGTATCGAGGTAATCAAACCAAGTCTTAAAGCATCTATCATAAGCAAATATAATGTTCAAGTAAATATCACTACATAAATTACAACTCAACAATGAATATTTACCTTTCAATTTCCTTCACTTCAGATTCGGATATCGACCATTGCAAACTCAATTGAATACCACGAGACAGGGCAATAAATCCTGTGGTTGCTTCTCTGGCGGGAAAGAGTGGGGCAACAATCGTAGGAATCACATGCACCAACCAGGCGATCCAGTCCACCGAACGATAGATAGATCTAACATTATCCAGATTGACACCAGCAAACGAACCACTGAAATCCGCAGGAATTGCACGAAGGGAGTCATCCATGGCGGTTTTGATGCGAGTAAAATCAGCAGTCTCGAGAGCAAACGGGTACGTGTCTTCGTTACCATCAAACTTGAACCGAGTGTTGAGCTTTGGTGAAAGCATGTCGAAGCAAAGCTTGCTGACATTCGAAAACATATGTAGCTCGTCACACATGAAAAAGTCGATGGAGAGGAAGGTACTCAACTGACCAAAGGGAGAAGCACTTTTAATACCATAGTTGTGGTTGGGACAAGAAGGCTAATAAAGGTAAATCAATTAAAATATGTAAAAAAGGCTACACAAGTTAATACTTACTGCGTCTTTCTCAAGTAATAAAGAAGCTTTGGTTCTGATAGCCGAGTCTCTGCCAAAGAAGTACATACCACCTTTTCCTCCGTCAACTGGGTGACCGCCTTTAACTAAATTTAGAAGGGTCATTTTGTTAGTGTCCACGGTCATAGCTTAGTAAACTGACGACTTACCAATACAAAATCTACATCCCCACCAGTTGGTATGACCACTAAACATCAACAACCGCTGGTTGATCTCTATACCATCTGCAATGACACCCAAATTGAAAATTCTAGCCGACGTGACATGAACACCATTCTTGCGAACAACAACAGGTTCACGACTCAAACGATCAAGGCTTTCAATAATTGGACGCAGATACGAGTCAAAGTCTTTCTTAGTGTCACCAAAAAGAATTGCAACTTGAAAAGTATATTCATCGGTGTATCTGCAAATGGTGTTATTACGACGTAAAAAGATTGGATGTATTGTATATAGAGCCAAAATTTACCTGATAGACGGATCAATGCTAGCAATTATAACGTGTACCATCACCATACTTTTTCTTGATACCTTCGAAGTGAACCCATCAACACATAGAACGATGGCTAAATCGTGCTGACCAGTGAAGAGACCTTTAGATTTCATTTCTTTATACGCGGCTCCAGAAAAAAAATCGGTATATGGATCATCGTCTGTCATGGAATCGATTACGTTTCGGTATTTTTCGACTTCATCACGAAACTCGTCACAAGCTAGCATACGACTTAAATGTTCACCAATATCAATCATTTTTACCACAGATTCTTTATGTCTAACAGCGTTACAGTGAGGACAAGCGGTTTTATCGGCATCATCGACAGGATCAAAGAGATAACACCCCTTTCGGGAACAGATTTCATGGCTTTGACTGAAAGAAAGTGGAAGTTTCTTCTTGATCAACGAACGACACTCCTTCAATGCGAGTACTTTTTTCTTTTTATCAAGGCCTAAAAGGTACACTAAATTAGTAAATAATGATACTTTGTAAATACAAATCATTAACATACTGTTGTTTTGGTTCAAAGTGTTCTCAAAAAATTTCTTCATAACGCGCACAGCTTCTATGGTCATGTTTCTACTAAATGTAAGATAGTTGAACATAATACTACTCAGCTCGCTGGTGCTAAATACGTTAATGGGGACAATGATATCCTTGATGTTGTCCTGTATTGTTACATTATAATCAAGTGACAATGGTTCTAAAAGTGAAAATAGTACATCCGGTAAGTTGTCATGATGTCAACAACCCGAGCATCTTTAGTTACCTTCGAAGTTCTCTTCGTCCGTGGATTCATACAAATCCTCGTCTACTTCACCGTCTACAACAAAACCATCATCAGAGGATTCATCTTCAGCATCTACGTCTTGTATGGACATTTGTCCAATTAAGGGAAGAGCGATTTGGTTATCGAGGTCAGCCATATCAACATCATCGTAAAAATCCATTTCTTCGTCATAGTCAAAAGGTGTACGGTTGGTTATTATAGCAGTTGGGAAGCCAGTAGATACTGAAGAGGATACAGCAAAAACAGAAGTGTCAGTTGGGCCAGGTATAATGGAGGCAGCAGTAACGGCCAAGGGTTCATATGTGCCTCTTAAAAGACGTTGGTTAGCGCCGTTTCGAGAAGCTCTAAGGTTCTTGGGTTTTTGAATTTTGGGGTAAACCATTTTGAAAAGTTTTTAAGAATTTTGTTTTTGGTAAGTCGGGAACCGATTTTTGCGCGTAGTTTTATACATGTTGCTACATCTTATTTACAGCTTATTAATAGTCACTGACCGTTCTTAGAACCAATTGGAATTACTCGTGAATTTATCTTATAATTATTAATAGAGAGGATATAGTAATTCTGTGTAGACTATGGATACCTTTCAAAACCACTAGAAATCGTTGTTTGGGACTTCAAGCTTGATCTATTGTTAGATTTTCGTGTAACGAGGTTATTAAGCGAAATTTTTTTTAATTCTGTACCGTGATTGGTGCAAATAAGTTGAACCACTTACATCAAGGTAAATGACAATGAAAAAAAAATGTATCTTTAAAACATCTATATAAGATCCAATACTTACACCTATTTTCTCATTTACATCGATTTTTCACTCTATTTATCACAATGAACGGTACCCAAAACTCAAATTCTCGAGACGAAGTCATTGAAAAACTCGTTAATGCCATTTACGATATGCAAAGAAAGCTTGATGCAATGCCTGCCACAATGAAAGAATATATCTACCTGCCAGTTGGTCAACACTGTGAATGCTGCAGCAAGGTTAAGAAAGTGGTCAAATCCAATGGTACTTCTGCAATTACTTCTCGATCTGGATATATCACTGGTACATTTTTATTTTATTTTACTTTGTAAGACGAATTAAGTTAATAATTGCCCTATCTTTTCAGCAAGAAATTCCGCTGCTCAACAAATGTACGAATTCGTGGTCAAGGCTGTCGCCTATTACAAGGAGCAAGTTATACCCAATGGTATTCACACCTCTTGCAATTCTCTCGGTGTAAGATCCATCACCGTATGTACTTATACAAAGAAAACCGTCATAGACAAGGTTGCTGCGTACTGGAGATCTTTGGTAGGTACCTATACTGAGGATCAAGCTAAAGAAAGGGCGACAGCAGCTTACAACAATGTCTTCACCATTTGCCAACATTTCTTGAAAGCATTGTACCAAGAACGATTTGGAAAGAATGGTGTCATTTGGAGGGGGATTCCTGCCAACGAGCAGAATGAAGTATTGTATATGTTCGAAAGAATTGTATACTTTTGGAACAAGCGCTCTGGCTTGAACGTTGGTACACCCCTCGAGGCTTATCCTGGGGACCTTATCTCTGTCATTGACGCCGAGAACCCAATGCTACCCATGCACCTCGCGGATAAAAACTGGATATCCAAAAATATGATCCAGATAATGTTGAGGAACTCAGCAAGAGTAAGTAAAGTTTAGATATCAAATTAAGAATTTTTAACATTAACATAAACCTCAACTCTAGCCAGATGACATTGCTCATGATGCCTCGGGTTCATTTTTGACTGGCCTGGAAAACCTTGGTGTCAATTCGGGTACTGAAGAGAGGTACGAAGACTTGGATATGGGCCTGTTTGAAAATTTATTTTCGATCCCTGATAACAGACCTCTTGTACCATCGTCTTCTTCCGCTTCGGTACAAAATCCTGTTTTGACCTCTCTTCCTCCCTCTGAGATGCCTCCTCTCTCTGACTCGCCTCCTCCCACCTCTGACTCTCCTCCTCCCACCTCTGCACCTGCCCTCTCCACCCCAAGTACTACCCGTCCAAAAGGTAAAAGAAAGGCTGATGAAATAGCATCTGGGACCAATAGTCGACCCTCAAGGGCTTTCCAAAAATAGAATTGAGCCTGAATTTTTTTTTTTTTCTTATTTAAACTCTGATTTTTTTATTATTTTTTTCTTTTTCTTTCTATTTCTTTCAAATAAAAACTAAACTTAAGGTTTGTATATGTGTATAGTTTGTGAATATATGATTTATCATAACCATTTGTTTACAAATGAAGATATAGTTATGTGACTAAACATTAAACGTGCTGACACTCTCCAAACGGATTAAACCAAGACTCTTTGCTTTAAAAGTAAATTTACTTACTCTTTTTATATGTATTAACACATTTGTATAGCTGAAGCCATCTCTACTTTCACCGCTTGTGAAAAGGTAAATATCTCGACTTTGGTTTATGTGTTCATTATTAGTTAACCCAAATTCCTAAAGCTAGCTACTATCGCTGTTTATTTGAGGCTCGTACATCCCACGGTTTTGTAAAGGTACACATTGCTAAACTTGATAATTTATTCTCTTATTAACGTAAACCATCTTTATGCAGGTAAGTCAATACTGCTGCTCTTCCGAGGTCTTCGTATGGTCACTATCGTAGTTCCTCTCATTATGTCTGTCTCTGGTCATATTTTACTGGTCATTTTCTATATTTGAAGAGGTCTATCATGATCAGATTCGACGTTATTTAGTTTTTTTTTAATAAATAAAATTTTTTTTTCCAATATATACAAACGTATCAATTTTAAGCCTGTATCCTGATTTAGCAGGGGTGTAAAAGTAATATTATATCGATTATCGATTACCCCATTTTTTTTACCCCATCCAACGATATTTTTTTGTTTTTTTGATTTATGGATCGATATCGTCAATCGCGATATTTTGGAAAGTTTGATCGATATTGCCAATAACGATATTTTAGAAAGTTTGATCGATATCGCCAATCGCGATATTTTGGAAAATTTGATCGATATTGCCAATCGCGATATTTTGGAAAAATTTATCGATATCGCCAATCGCGATATTTTTAAAAAAAAGATCGTTATTTCCGCTCTAATTTGTTTGCGATATTTTTCAATTTTTGATCGCTGATTTATTTTAGGGTGCAAACGCAAGCACATTTACAAAAATAATTAACAAAACAATGGATTATGTAAAAACAATACCTTTTCTAGAAGAACTAGTCATTTCATTATGAACCTGAGGTAACTATTCCAGTAGTAAAACCAATGCAAAAAGCGTTAAGTTGACCAGGCTGTCTTTTTAATCAATTTGTGATTGGCTTCATCCAATCAATAAGAGTCATTTTAAAAATTGGACAAATAACTTGATAAATTGAGACCGTAGTCCTTTTATTCTCAATTAAACGTCTTTATGAGAGTAAGTGGTCGTTAAAGAATTTGCTTTCAGTATTACTAAACTAATGTTTACAAATCTACCTATAGATCGCGATTGAAGGCTGCTGTCACGGCCAATTAGATGATATTTACGGATCGATCCGTCTTGTTGAACAACGAGATAATTGCAAAATAGATCTCGTGTTGATTTGTGGTGACTTTCAAGTAAATTCAACTAATGTATAACTCATGACCTTATATTCTAACCTTATTACGTAGTCTATCAGAAATGAATCGGACATGAACTGCATGTCAGCACCAGCAAAGTACCGAGAGCTTGGCACTTTTTGGAAGTACTATTCTGGCCAAGTCCGTGCACCTTACCCAACCATTTTTATTGGTGGTAACCACGAGGCTAGTAATTACTTATGGGAGCTTTACCATGGAGGCTGGGTTTGTGATAATATCTACTATCTTGGTCATGCAGGTGTTATTAATTTCGGGGGGCTTAGAATTGGTGGATTATCCGGGATCGCCAAAGAAAATCATTATAAACGTGGGCATTATGAAGTTTCGCCATACAATCCATCAGACATCAAGAGTGTTTACCATGTTCGGGAATACGACGTTAAAAAAGTTTTGCAGTTAACGGAACCTGTTGATATATTCCTGTCGCATGATTGGCCCAGAGGCATTGAAAGATACGGTGATCTTCAACATTTGATGAGAATCAAGAAATATTTTGTAAAAGAGGTAAAACACAAGTATACCAATTGAACAGGGATCAAGGGACTCAATATAATTATATAGATTATGGAAAACAATTTGGGAAGTTACCCTAACGAGTTAATACTTTCAAAAGTGCAGCCTGCATATTGGTTCTCTGCTCATTTACATGTGCATTACGCTGCCGTCGTTGACCATGACAAGTGGAAAAAAGGCGAATATCCTCTTGCCACACAACAAATTTTGAATGGCAACAGAGGAAACCAGTATCAAAAGCCTGTAGTTGATAATCCCGATGAAATCGAAATATCGCTAAGTGATGATGACGAGACACCAGAGATCAAGGAAACTGATAAAAAGGCTGCAGCACCGAAAATCACAAAGTTTTTGAGTTTAGACAAATGTTTACCCAGAAGGCAATTTTTACAAGTCAGTATCAGTCGATCATCCTTATATTATGTATGCACAAACTTATATATTCGTTAGATTATAGATATTCCTACACCAAACGATGAGCTTGAAGATTACGACTTTTATTACGACATGGAGTGGTTAGCTATCACTAGAGCAATGCAACCTTATTTGAGTACCTCATTCAACCAAACGACCATCCCTGAAGATGAACATTTAAGGACTATGATTGGAAACGAACGTGCTTACCTGGAAAATAAAAGACAATCTGGAGAACTTGACTTAAAGATACCTCATAATTTTGAAACAACAGCACCCCCATTCAATCCGAATGCACCTTTAAGTCCGTCAGAAATTCTCCAAAACCGTAAGTGATGTGTGATGAATTGAAGACTTGAGTCTAACTGGTTGTTATAGAGTCTCCATTTTTAAATCCCCAAACTGTTGCGTTCTGTGAAGAAATTGATATGCCCAACAAAATTAACGTAAACTGTCCGGAGGGGCCTAGCATTATTACGCCGTATGATGCACCTATCAACAATGTTGTAGTTACAGAGAATAGCATTCAGGTAGAAGCTACTTTTATTGATTCAAATCTACAACCCACAAAGCGATTAAGGACAGAAGAAATATCATCAGAAATTTTGATTGATGATGAATTTTTATAAATTGTATTAATCATTTATTAAAACTACATTAATTATTATATTTATACAAAAAGGAGGCTTTTTGTTAAAAAAAGGTGGGAGGGTGAAATGGTATTTCTATTGAGAAAGTTTTTTTTTTTTTTTTTTTTTTTTTCTTTTAGAATTCATAGCCTTCGACTTTAAAGAGTTCAGCGAAATCAAAGTATTGGGTCATCAATTGTTGTACAGGGCGAGGTAAATTCATTGAAGTTAACATATTCTGCATCTTAGAAAGACCTTCTCTACGGATCAAAATATTAAGGTTACGAGCAATTTCACTAGGATACTAAAGGGAATTTTTTTTAATACTTCTACTTTGATGAATCTAACGTTACTTACCACAATTTCATGGTACCAGCGCTCATGATATACAGTTAATTTAACGGCAGCCAGGAGAGCTCTTTGAACATTTCCTTCGGTCACGTATATCTCCAAAAGCTTCATCCATGCCTTGGCCGAAAATTTATGGTCCAAACATTGCTCATAGGCTTCTCGAGCTTCAGTTTCATGCCACAATCGAAGCGCAAGATCACCCAATAATTCCCATTCGGTACCGGTTTTACGATAAGGCATCTGTTGGGCACGGTAATGGGCTGATTCGGTTCTCCAGAAGGTATAGATTCGTAAATCTTCGTACAAGACCATGAAAAGGTTATCTAACCAACGTTCACAAAGACGTTTGTTACTGAAAGAAAAGTTAACGCCATCGCTAGGATGAGGTGTACTAGTAGATGCACTTTCGGCATTCTCAGTCTATTCCCGATAAAATTGAGTTTTTCTATAGTTCAGTGCTACCTTATATTGATATTTACCTTTGATTTATCCTCTGCGACTTGGTCAGGACGAACAAGTGGGGTGTGATGAACTTCAACGGGAGCAGATCCTTCATCGTCTGCATTTAAATCGACACTATCCATTTGATCTGCTAACTCATCTGTGTTTTCCTCCGTTTTAGGCTTATCTTCTTCGGATTTCACTGATACATTATCTTCGGATGTGGGCGCATCCTTTTTAGTATCTTCATTTTCAGCAGCGACTGTATTTTCCAATTCGTTTATTGATGAACTTGATTTTTGAGTATCTTCCTTCGCCTTTTGCATGCGATATTCCTCTTCCATGACAAACACATATGATCTACATTTAAGCAAGTCATCCCATCCGATTTTACTAGCCAGTCTTGTCAAGAGTGCGTATGCCTTTGCAAACGTACCGTGCAATGCAGGTGCAGGAAGACGGGATAAGTTGGGATCTGCCTCATTTTCTCTTCCAGCAGCATCTTCTTCCATAATTCCTGAATTCATGATCTCCAATTTAATGGGTAAATGTGTCTTGATAGGGGCCGGCATACGATGCATATCACGTTCGCTGTAAGTGAACATGGGACATGAGTTCAATGTCAAGAGCGCATTTTTATAATCTTCGAGGTCGATATAGACTTCAGTCAACTTGGCCCAGGTCAAGAATTCTGAAGGTGTAGTATTTACTGCGAATTTGGCAAGTTTTAAAGCCATGTTATATTCACCCTGCGTAAATTTGCATGAATTTAGATACATTGACAATTTTTTTTTTTTTTTTTTTTTTGTAAAAAAAACAATTTCGACATACCTTACTACGAAGAAAGTCTACTTGGGCATGTAATAGTGGGTAGCTCATGGGCATACGTTTCAAATCATCATAGAGTACTTTGACAGCCTTAATTTCTTCATTCTGGCCAATAAATGATTGGGCCAATAAAGCACCAATCTCAGGGTCTTTCTTTTGCAACTTTTCATAGAGCTCGATTGCAGGACCAAAACGGAAACTATCTCCAAAATACTTCATCACGCCCGATGTTAAATGGTTATGTACTGTAGTAGCTGTTTGGATTTCAGGATTGCTACCTAATTGCCATCCTCTCCAAAAAAGAGCTTCTACGGCCTCTAAAAATCGAGCTTCTCCGGCTAAGTTGTTGATAGGATCGATTTTGCGGTAGCCGGCCAATCTATAATAACTATCATCCGAATAGAGAATGGCACGGAGGACGGCTGATAAGTATGTCTCCTGCCAAATGGTTGCAGTTGCTTCGTGTCTACATAAATTATATTTAATGTTTCACAGAACAAAAAAACAAATCGTCTTATTTTATATGATATACCTCTCGCCTCTTACATCAACATAGTAACTTTCGACACCACCAGGAATCTTTACTTCAACACGAACATCAACACGGGAGAATGCGTTGAAGCAGCTAGAAACATTGGTTAGTTGTAGATTATAAAATGGTGTCATGAAGAAAGGCTTACCAGTAAATGCCAGATCGAATTCTCCAAGCATTTGATTTCGAAAACCAAGATTGGGTATCATCCTATATCTCAATGTGAGACGAGTTTTGATATATGGGAGAATTTTTTTGAAAGGCCGGAAACTTACCAAGGAATATGTGAGCGAATTCAAGTAAGCAGCTAAAGTAGCAGATGATGAAGCGTCCGCACCAGAAACATAATGGTAACTACCGAGCTATTAAGAAGAAGAAAAAAATTATAGCTTTCGGAATTGCAAAAGAAAATAATCAGTACCTCTTTCATTCCAGGTTTGGAATGTGCTTTAATGATGTGGCATAAATCAGGAGGACCTAATTCACGGAATGTACCTACAGATGAAGTAGAACGCGTGAACACACTATCTGGCTGACATTGAGGAATAGGTACAATGAAACAACTTGTTTACCTAAGGCGTCGGTACGAGCAGCAATTGATTCACCGATTTCTGTCTCAAAAAACTCTGGGATATCCTTAAGAGTGTCTGCCATGTTTTATGTATTATCAATAAGGAACGAATGAAGAAATAAAAAGAAAGACAAGAGGCGGAAAGTTAAATTAACTAACATTGGGCGGTGATAAAAAATGGCGGATGCACTTTTTATTTTCTGGGTTGCGTATTTGATTGGGTGATACGGAAAACACAAGTTTTTAAATGATAACTATCAAATGGAAGACTTAGGCCCTAAGTACATTCTTCGAATGCGTAACTTTATTTTAAGCTTATTTAATGCACGCGCTATAAACTAAACTTTTAGACACATTACCGGTAGACTTCGACCGCCCGAAAGTACCGAAAATAATTACCTAATAGAGCAATCAGGGGACTCATGGTGATGCAAAAAATGATTTAGACGAAGTAATAAGTCAATGTTCAGACATTTACTGCACCTACAATAAGACGTTTTTGGTTAAATATTTGATGAGTTATTAAATCAGTGAAAGAAAATTACCTGCATTCATGAGCCAAAGCGATAACTTCGGTGGATGTTTTTAGTTGAATAAGTTTTATGTTCAAGTACAATGGGTGGTGGTTATGCGTTAAATAAGAAAACAAATTATTAAAGGATCAAGATGTACTTTCTATGGAGATCCAATGTCCCATAATTAGATTTTGTTATTCAGCTTATCTATTAAAAGGGTTTGCCGCTATACGGATGACTTACTGAGAAAAATGATATCGCCTGGAAAAAGCTTTTTGCTTAATCAAGTATATCACACTCATGGCGTTATCACTAAAAACTAATTTTTTCTTAAAAGAACTAAATATTTTTACACAGAGTCTATATTTGACAGCTTCTTTATCAATTGGACTTTAAGAGCTACATTATTTTTCCAAAAATTAGGAGTTTATGTAAACGGAGACGTTACGGACAAAGAGAAAAGAAAAAAGCGGATCGATTTAACCGAAAAGCATTGACCTCTTTTATCATTATCCGGATTATGATCTCAATAGTTCTTGTGCTAAATGGGCATACCTGAAACTTTAGTAAATGTACTTCCAAATGTTGATATATGTTACACATACTGAGAGTCAATGCCAAACAAGTACATCAATGTATGGGTAGTGATGACAGACACTTCAAAATGATATTGGCTATTTTGATAATAGATTTTACACTTGCTTTAGCGGTATATTCATAATTTTATAGAATAACAACCAGTCAAAGTGCCATTTTTCTTTGACATTTCAAGTAAAAAAGGAAGTTGGGAGAGTTGTTTTATTATAAGTGAAATAAATTAAAAAGTAGTAAATATATGGTACAACGTAAAGTCTTCTCTCCGTTTATGTATTTTATAGATTGCCTGATAAGTAGAAAAATTAACCTGTGTGGCGTTCTTTCTTCTTCATTTTCTTTTCGTAAAGCTCCAAGTGTCTACCCCTGGACACGATATTTGGGTACCACCATTGTGTGATAAATGTAATGATATAACGCGGTAAGAATGCAATTACCAGAGTGAGAATGAAGGTCATCCAGAAGGAGCATGACCCAAACACCATTTTTGCCATACCAAAGAGCGAGACGGCAGGGAAAGCGCCATAGACCACTACCCACAAGAAGGCTAGTAAAATTTCAAGACTGACAAAGAAGAATTGCCACCAGGTCCAGTAATACGTATTAAACCCAGGCATAATATTGGCCAATACGATAGTCGTAACAGCAACCGAGGTAGAAAGCTGGAGCATAGACTCAGACCGTCCATGAGGGTTGGGGTTTCCACCAATATAAAGAAAGTAAAAACCATAAAATACCACAAGGGATTGCCAGATGCCATCAAAGAAATATAGCCAGAATCGGAATTTGGTATATAGTTTTCTCTCAATACCAATGGTATAGATGGGCGGTAAGTGTTTCAAATAAGGCGATGTTATATCTTGATCAGTGGCACCTATAATGGGAGATATATTTTTGTTTAATAATCACATTTACCCAATATATATATGTATTTATATTTACCAAGAATAACCACTGGAGCAACAGTAAAGATAATATTATATAATTGAAGAAACGAATAATCGTAAAAGATATTTCCTGACCAGCCACTATAAATTTGATACCACAATGAAGGGAATACCCATAATACGTTTTTGAAGAAGAAAGTAAGAATCATTTGTGATATACGGGCATAACTCCAATGGCCTTGCACTAGTAATAATTTGTGAAGAAATCTAAACTGAGCAATGGCATAATCTGCAGCCATGGATGCTTGAACACCTTCTTGACCAGCAATACCCACACCGATATTTGCTACTTGAATCATACTTACATCGTTAGCGCCGTCACCTACAGCCAAAGTTACGACATTATGATATTTTCGAACGAGTTGGACAACAAGGGCCTTTTGAAGAGGACTGACTCTACAGCACACCACACTTTTACAGCGAATGGCAATCTCTAGCAGTTTTTCTTTTGATTCAGCAGTTTCAAAAATATGAACTAAGGCGGACCCCTCAATGATGAGAGCATTTTCCGGAGGTATGGCACTGTTGTTTTCAGCGTTAGTTTGATATTTTTCTCCAATACTGTCCAGCTCGTTACAGGTATCTACGAGATTTTGTAATACTTGTTCGGGGTTATCACTACCACGTATAGTCCAAAGTTTCATATCACCGTCAAGTAAGTTACTTGCGTATCCAATATTGATAGCTGTTTCTAATTTATCACCTGTCAACACCCAAACCTTGATACCTGCTCGACGTAAATCCTCGATGCATTGAGGCACACCTTCTTGTAACTTATCCTCAATACCTGTTGCTCCCAATAATTTAAGATTGACTTCCATCTTTTCTTGAACTTGGGCAATTTTTTCTGATCTCTTTTCAACAGCCGTGCTGGCCTCTTTCATTTCCTCTTTCCAATGGTTGTACTCGGTTTCATCCAAGATACGATATGATAACATCAATGTTCTAAGACCATTGTTAGAAAATGCCTCGACATCATCAAAAGTTTTGTTGACAATATCCCCATCTTGGCCGTGTTCATCCAATCGTTCCGAGATGATGTTATCGGCACCTTTACAATACAAGACGATATCGTTCCAAGGAGCTGGACGACGTAAGATGACGCTCATACGTTTTCGATCGGAATTAAATTCCAAGACGTCAAGCAACTCAAAATCGTATTCGTGGCCTAAAATATCGACGGTTAAGGTCTGACCTTTTCGTCTGATGAAAGCAAATCCAGCGTTTTTGGCAGCGTTGACGAGAGCAGCTTCGTCAGGGGATTCTGCTTTATAATCCAATTGAGATTGAACGGTGTGATCTACTTTATCTTGACTATCTTCTTGCATGATAGAATCAAATTCTTCACCACGACTCTTTCTACGGTTCTTTTTCAGTTTTTTCAAGTGCAATTTTCGAATTTTTTTATTGAAAGATCTCGAAAATGAAGCATTTTTTTTGTCGCCATGGTCGTCGGCCGAGTAATTTGTGGCGGTATCGTCTGTTTTCTTTTCGACTTTTGTTTCATCGGATTCGGCAATTTTTGGCTGTGCCTTGATGTCTTGGTCGTCTTCATCTTCCGTATCCTCCATCACTTTACCATCCTTTCCAATTCTTTCGATCACAACAGTATGACACAAGGCCAGCAGCATAAAGAACTCCTTCAGGGTACGTGAATCTTCATCCTCTACACTATCGTTTTTAAGATCTTTAAATAATTGAGGATCCGCAAATGAAAGACGATCTGGATCCAAGGACGCATACTCTGGTTCAAATATAGATTTCAATTGAGTTTCATAATCCTGAATGATTTCCAAACGTTTTTCCTTATTTTCATGATCCGCGTGTTTTTCATCGTTACTTGCAAACGGGTCTTCGTCGGTGTTAATCAAGTGTGGCGATTGACTAGGTTCTGCTTCTTCTTGATGTTGTGTGGCATTTTCTTTTTCTTTACGAAGACGAGCACCTCGTGCTCCCTCAGATTCAGGGGAGAATCCATTATCTCCGTATCGTGTACCATTAATGGTACATTCACGAAATTCCATAATGTTACGCGTAAGTGTTCCTGTTTTATCGGAAAAGATATATTCGACCTGACCAAGATCATCGGATAGAGTCCACTACAATCAAATAGAATTTTGTGAATTAATGTAACCGTGAAAGGATAACAACAATAATAAAAAAAAAAAAAACTTACGGTTTTGGGTACACAAGGTTTTTTAGAGATAGGGTCCCACATGTCGAGATCGTTCCAAATAAAATAAGCTTGGAAGGTCTTTACGAATTCAATAGATACATAGAGGGAGATTGGTATAATGTTTTGAAAGATGATGAGACTGGACCAGAAATTCAAAAAGCCTGCATAGGCTGGTGAATCAGTTTGAGCGGTGTAGAGCATGGGAGAACCGGAGGCAATATCCCGGGCTCTCATGACACCTGCCATAATGGCACAGACCAAACAAAGCAAAAAGAGCACACCAAACGCTATAAAGATCTAGACAGACTAAGAGTCAATTTCGACCATGATATGTTTTCAATTGAATTTTTTTATGTTAGTTGTTACCTCTTGGTTCATTTGCTTGTCCATTTGACTTCTTTTGCTGGGAGTTTCACCTGAATTCAACATAATTTTGGTATCTGTGCCAGTAAATAAAACGACAGCAATGGCCCATTTTGTATTCCGAATGACATGACCACGCAACAAGATATTCTCGATTTCGATGGGTGTCTTGCTTTTCTCGACCCATTTATCCCCATGCTGTTCCAGCGTGACCAAGGTCCCGTTAAACTTGTAAAGATCGGGCGAAGCAGCACCGGCCTCCAAATAAAAATGACAGTCGTTTAAACAGTCTGCCCCCGACTGAATATGTTGAAACTCTGGTATACTGTTACGTGGCTTTAAGTTTGTTTCGCCATCCAAATCTTTGGTTTCGACAAAACAGACACCTTCGTTATCGGAAGACGATAGTAAGACGGCATCTGCAGGTAAACTATCGCCATTGCGTAACAAGATAAAATCACCTACACGAATATCTTTGGACAAGGATGGGTGAAAGACATCGGCTGCGTCTTCTTCTAATGTGCTGTTTTCTTCTTTTTCGGGTTGATGTGTCACTTTGTTGCTGCCGAAAGGCGAGGATTTAAAAAAATGCTGCTTGGAACTGGATGCAGGAAAATTCGTGTTTTTGTAACCTGTCAAAGTATGCGTGATATTTTGATTGTATTGTCGGTCGACAATGTGACGTTGAAAGTCCTCAAAGGCGTCTTTGGCGGCAGTGATAAAGACAACGGTACAAATGGGTAATAACGTCAATGCAGGTGATTTAACACCAAATGTGGGAAGCATTTGCAGAATGGCCATGCCCAAAAAGTACATGTTGGCTGGTCTTCTAAATTGTTCGAACAAGTTTTTGGGAACAAATGAAAGGACGGTGTATTTGGACGTTCTGATTTTGTTGGAGACGTAGGTATAGACAGCATTTCCATTGGCTTTTAAAGTGTAAGAAGGAAGGGGCAAATTAATGAAGACTCGACGTCCGTCCGAGGCAATCTTTCGTAACTTAACCGTGGTTTCTGTGCGTGCAAGATTAAGGTTTGAAGAAGAGATTGGACGATGGGATGATGGGAGAGAGCTGTGTGTTGATAAAAGTGAGGTACGACGTACTTCTTCATAGATGCTGTCTCGTCGAAGTTCCTGTTCGTTACTGCTATTTTTTTTCTTTTTTTTAAAAAAATGATGCCATCGTGAAAGCATCGTTGTTGAATATACAAACAAATGTAGATCCAAATTAGGAAAAGGAAAGTAAGAAGAAGAAAAAAAGAAAAAAGTGAGTGGAGAGATAAAGGACGAGGTGATTTTTTTTCTTTTTTCTTTTTTGAGTAACAATAGCTCTTTTTATGGATACAGTGCGGCTGGTAAAACTGTTGTTGTATGACAAAACTTAATTAATTTTTTGGCTTAGAAGTGTCGAGTTTAGATATTAAGACATCTACGTTGGACCTAGGGTTTTGAATTCATCGCAAAAGAAACATGTCTTGATTTTTTTTTTGTAAAAAAATCACGTCTCAAGTTATGTTATGACATCCAGCAACGAAGAGTTTCAGTCTCTATAAGCGCTTTTTTTGTTTTTTTTTCTGACAAATGTTGTGATACGCTTTACATGTTTGGGTGGGTATTTTGTAGTTACACCATCTGCAGATGGATTACAGAACGAAGCAAACAAAATAGCTCCAATTAGGCTAAGAAGATAACATGTCTGCACAACTTTTTTTTTGTCAAGTTGATTGACCCATGGATCATAATGCTCGTATCCCACACTTATTAAACATGCTAATTTTGCTATTTTACACTTGTATGCCGAAGCTTTAAATTTCCTGATTGTTAATCATTTCTAGTACAATCGCTCCGAATGATGGTCATATTGGGCCACGTCGAGTGATCATGATAAGTGTCACAGGTTGATAAATGAAGGAAGTCTGACTCAAATTATTATAGATGCAGCATGTGACAGCAAACGTCTTCGATGATCTTTATATAGATACATTTGCCAAGCAACAAAAACTAATCAATTGTACCATGGGAAGTAGTTTTAATGAGTTATTCACGTCCAGAGTCATCCCCATATGTAGAATCACAACCTAGTGGAACTCACACACTAAGAAGTATTATCTTGATAAATTACAGAAAAAGTGATAAAAATAAACTTTTCCAGGTTCATTGTACGACTTGAAGAGGAAATCCAATAAGATTTCAGAACCTAATTCGTTCCGTGGTAAAGCCTTAATTTGAATTTCTCACTCTATGTTGGAATACTTGGTATCAATTGATTTTACTTTCGTATTTACTTTTATCTGTTTTTAAGCTGTATTTTTTCCCTCGGTATTATGAAATGTTGAATTTCTCTGTTTTTCCCCCGAGAATTGCATAATTAGAATGATCGTTAGGAATCTTTTTTTCATACAAAGGTTCAGCTGTCCTCAGTTGCGTATATGGCCCTGATTTATTACATATCGTGAACTACACTTCAATTTCTGCTGCAAATTATTTTCTCCTCTCTGTACATCACTAAGCTGACCAAATGTCCCACCAAATTATTCTGGATTATTATTTCTTTCTTTTTTTAAAAAATAAAATAAAAATAAGAAGCACAGCATTGAACCATCGAAAGCAGAAATGTGATTTTTTTTTTATTATTATTATAATGTAACGAGAGATGATATAAAGGGAGAGTAATGTCAAATTAAACAAGCAAGACAGAGATACAGACGGCGACAATAAATGTCAAACCGTAAGCCATTTGAGTGGTGCTACCTTGACTGGCGGAAGTACCTGTGGCGGAAGCAGCAGGAGCGGAAGAAGAGACTGAGCTGGTATCCGAGCCATCGGCATTGACACACATGGTCTTGTTAAAGCTAGGGGCAGCATCAACTACAACAGCATCCACACACTAAAATATATACAATATGATTAATTACAGGAAATTTACTGATTTTCTATTAAAAAAAAAATCATACCTGGTACAAAAGACCATCACCACCATTGTAAACGACTTGAAGTGTGACATTGGTATTAGGCTTGATATCGTTGAAAGCTAAGGGTAAACAAGCGGCTTGAGGATAAGCTCTTCCGCCTTGAGCAACTTGAACAAGACTGGAGGTATTTGAGAAATCAGCGACGGTGGGGTTATTTTTAGCAAGAGCATTGACGATGTAGGTATAAGAGGTATGACCGGAATTGATTTCGATGAAGGCACCGTCTAAAGGAATTTGAACACGTTGAGCGCTGGGTGTATCGAATCCACCACATGGAGCAGTGGCTTCCTTTGTATCATCGAATCCTCGGCTGGAAGGGTAGGTTAAAGTAAAATGGGCAGAAACAAGCGTTTGGAAACAAACAAGCAAAGCTACACAACAAGCAAAACGAACACCGGCCATTTTAATTTTTTTGTAGTAGAAGTTAAGCGAAAAGAAAAAGAAAGGAGGGCTTCCTTTTTTGACTTGAAAATCAAAGTTCGGGTTTTTATATGTTTTTTTTGAGTGGTTTTAGCTTTTGCTGCTCGATTGATTGGATTGATTCAAAATTATCTCCTCCGCTGCTCAGTTCCTTGAATTTCTATTGCACCAGATGTAATCGATCAAGTGTGGTACAGGCTCAACATTGGGGTTTTTCTCTTACGCTTTTGTATTATTCAAAATACAAAACAAAAAGAAACTGCAGGAAATAAAGAAGCTAAAATAAAATAGGGAACTTCAGATTAATTAGCATGTATCATGCAGTCATAAGCCCTGGTGGTGGTGATGGTGGTGGAATCAATGACAGGAGACACTCCATAATGTGACGGAGAATGATTTATCCGAATAAAAACAGCGTTCAAAATACGTCATCAAGCCAGTGTTTACGGCCGCGCGTTCTAGCTTCACAAAGTCACTTTTTTTGAGAGCTGTTTTCGGCCTGGATATTTCAGACGCGAATCTCCACTGCAGGACACTTTTTTTTATTTTATTTTTTACTGCAAATTTTAAGAAAAGATGGTAAATCAAATGAGCAAAGAAATAGAGAACCTTTCCAATTGGCTTGTAGTTTTTGACATTTACTTGTAGTTTAGAAATCAATATGATAACGATGTTTCGACTTGGTCACCTCAAGGTCGTATTCATCAAGTTGAATATGCTGTTGAAGCAGTAAAGCAAGGTTCTGCTGCCATCGGCTTAAGAAGTAACAAGTTTGCCGTCTTACTTGCCCTCAAGGTAAATTCACTCAGTTTCAAAGCAATTACGCATCTTACTAACGCACACTTTTATATTAGCGTTCTTCTGGCGAACTTGCTTCGTATCAAAAAAAGTTGATCAAGGTTGACGATCATATGGGTATTGGTATTGCTGGTTTAACCTCTGATGCTCGTGTTTTGAGGTAATGCATGGCTTGATTCTAGATGGAAAATATGCATGCAGTAAAACTAAAAATATAAATCTATAGTAACTTTATGCGTGCCGAAGCCATGAAGTCAAAGATGTTGTATGACAGACCTTTGCCCGTTCAAAGAATTGTTAACGCCATTGCTGACAGTAAGTGAAGGACAAGCATGTATGAGTCTTCTTTTACTTAATACGGTAATTTTTCTTCTTTCACTTAGAGGCACAAGTCAACACTCAACAATATGGACGTAGACCTTATGGTGTTGGTCTTCTTGTAATTGGTCATGATGTAAGCAAGGAAAAGGGAGTGCGCGTGTGTGTGTTTAGAAAATTAATCGTGCCGTCATATATAGGAAACCGGACCTCATCTTTTTGAATGTTCTCCTTCCGGTACTAGTTTTGAATATTATGCCATGTCGATTGGTGCTAGATCTCAATCCGCCAAGACATACCTCGAAAAATACCACCAAGAATTTGTTGAAGGTAAAACTATATAAAATGTGTATGGATATCAGAAAGCACTTTATGCTTAACCGCGCTTTGTGAAAAATTAGCTCCCTTGGAAGAACTTGTTCGTCATGGTCTTCAGGCACTTCGTGATACATTGCAACAGGATAAGGATCTTAATATTCACAACACATCTCTTGGTATTGTTGGTGAGAACCACGCCTTTGAGATCATTGAGGGAGAGGCATTGCAGAGATATTTGGATTTACTTGGTGAAGATACAGGTAGAACCAGATTGCCTGGTGGAGGAAGTGGTAGCAGTAATGCTGCCACTGCTGCTACAAATGAGGAAAGAGAGGATGTTGAGCCTGCTGCTGCTGTCTTATTCGAAGCTGCTGATCCAATGGACACCAACTAAAGAAAAAAACAAAAATAAAAAAAATTCACACATGTTTATAAAAAAAAAAAGATCAGATAGACACCAATCTTTTTTAGGGCAATTAAGTCTTCTGTGGCTATTGTTTTACAAGCGGTCTTAAGAAAGTAGACTTGAAATATATTAAGCACATCTGTAACTACTCTCTCTTGAAATATTTAGATATGCACCGTTATATCAAACTTAAGTCTGTCTGTATTTTCGAGAACAAAAAACTGATATTGCTCGAAATTAAAGTATCCTTTGTCCTAAAACAATAAGAATCTCCTCCCTTTCAGACACAGTCACGAATGGTCCAATAAACGGGTGGAGAAGCGAGGGAGCCTAGGAAATTCAGGGAGTTTCTATTTTTCTCTTTTTCTTTTTTTTTTTCAACTACGAATATAATATGGTAAGCATTGAGTTATTTTTTTAAAAAAGAAGGAATGGCATGCTAACAGCAATGTGTAGTCTTCAGCTGTTGTTATGGGGTTTGTCATTGCCGGTGCTGCTACCGCAGGCCGTCTTGGCATCAAGGCTTTCCAAGAATACCAAAAATTACCAAAGACACCCAGAATGTCAAAGTTTTACAAGGGAGGATTTGATGCAAAGATGAATAAGCGAGAGGCTGCATTAATTTTGGGCGTTAGAGAGTCACAGGCAACAAAACAAAAGATCAAGGAAGCACATAGACGTATCATGTTACTTAACCATCCTGATCGTGGAGGATCTCCCTTCTTGGCTTTAAAGATTAACGAGGCCAAAGAATTCTTGGATACAAAAGTGAAAAAGTAATTCTAATTACGACACATTTTATAGACGACAACGACGTACCATACATCCACCTACACCTACACCCACCCTCTTATACATATACAACTGGACTTCCTCTCTCTTTCTCTTTTCCCCTTTTCCACCCACTGTTTAATAATAAAACACACCCGCTTTTTTTTTATTATTGATACGATACATGAAATATTCACTTGTCAGGACTGGAAAGTGTGAGGATAATGGATATAATAAAGTTTTATGAGGGCTATCCGGTCAGATGTTTGTAACAGTGTATCCATCGGATACGATTGGTTGCGAAAACCTTAATTTTCCCAGCTGTCATGGCAACAAAATGGAAGGGATGTTGTCATTCTACGGAGTGAGGCGTCATTACAAATACGGAGAAATAGGATATCCTTTGGTACTAAGCAAACAATGAAAATATACAAAAAAAAAATGCATTACTTAAAATTTGTCTGTGACGGTTTAAGGGTGAGGGTGAGGTGTAAGCGGTGGGGGGTTGTTAAATAAAAAAAAGTTTTTTTTTTGGCGCTCCTCTTTTTGTTATTTCAAATATATTAAAAAATGGTTGATACTAAGACTGCCAAGCCTGCTACTGACGCCAAGAAGGTTGCCGAGACTGTTGTCCTCGATGTTTCTGACAGCAATGTCCAAACCAAGTACAAGGATGCCGGAAAGATCGCCGATGGTAATTAACGTGGGAATGACGCGACTTTTCTTTGTTTATATTAACCTTTGTGTTGTGTATAATAAAATAGCTGTCCTCGACCAAGTCATCAAGCTTTGTGTTGTTGATGCCAAGATTGTTGACATCTGTATGGCTGGTGATAAGCTTCTCAAGGAAGCCACTGCTGCCATCTACAACAAGAAGGGAAAGAACAAGGTTACCAAGGGTAAATATTTTTTTTTTTAGTGGCTGAGTCTCCCCTTTGTATCTAAAATTTTTTTTCTTCCTCCTCCCTTAGGTATTGGATTCCCTACTACTGTCTCTGTCAACAACTGTGTTGCTCATTTCTCCCCTCTTCCTTCTGACCCCGAGGCTGCTATCACCTTAAAGGAAGGTGATGTTGCCAAGATGTAAGTATTATTTATTGCGATAGAGAGAGAGAGAGAGAGCTGTAAACTAATTGAATTTTTTTTAAAAAGTCAATTGGGTGCTCAATTCGATGGTTACTGTTCCACCGTTGCCACCACCATTGTTGTTGGTGCTAAGGCTCCCGTTACCGGTGCCAAGGCTGACGTTATCAAGGCTGCCGAAACCGCCTTGGAAGCTGCCATCCGTTTGATCCGTCCCGGAAACAAGGTAACAATAAAAAAAGAAGAGGATAATGCATAAAATACAGGATATTAAATATTCGATGGTGATTAGAACATGGAAGTCACCAAGACTGTTGACAAGATTGCCGAAGCCTACGGTGTCAAGGCCGTTGAAGGTATGTTGTCTCACAACCAACTCAAGGATAAGACTGATGGTGAGAAGCAAATCATTTTGAACCCCTCCGACAACCATCTCCGTGATTTCAAGCGTATTGAATTTGCCGAAAACGAAGTGTATGCTATTGATATTCTCATCTCTACTGGTGAAGGTAAGGTTCGTCCCTTGAAGACCCGTACCACCATCTACAAGAACACTGGTATCCGTTATCAACTCAAGATGGCTGCTTCTCGTGCTGTTTTGAGCGAGATTCAACAAAAGGCTGGTGCCTTCCCTTTCACTTTGCGCGATCTTGAGGATGAGCGTAAGGCTCGTATGGGTATTGTTGAGGCTGCCAAGCATCAAACTGTTTTGCCTTATGATGTCATGTATGAACGTGATGAAGCTGTTGTTGCCCAATATTTGTCTACCGTCATGGTTACCAAGAACGGTAACACCTTGCTCACCAACCCTCGTTTCGATGCCGTTGAGGTCAAGTCTGAGAAGTCTGTCAAGGATGAAGAAATCCTCAAGCTCCTTGCTACTTCTTACACTGCTCCCAAGAAGGAGAAGAAGGAGAAGAAGTAAAGAAGACCAAAAAAGACAAGAAAAATGAATATATATAAATAAAAACTGTACATGTGTTTATTCTCTGAGTTTACGGGAAAGTCCCAATGATGATCTATGTGGAGAGTGTGAGTTAGCCAGAAATTTAAACTTTTTCTACAGACTTTACGTTTTTGATCCGTGAGTAAAGTTTAAAATGAAGGCATCTTCCATAGCAGATTGTGTGACAGAGGATTCAGAAATGTCACTAAAAGAAGATGTACTTGAATGAATGGCACTTTGATTTTCGGATGAGGAAGATGAGGTCTTGATGATGTTGGGAGAAGTATCCTTCTTGAGATTTTGAATAGATTGCGATATTTGTTGACGGCTGCTTGTTAAATTACTTGTACTACCTGCCGATCTTCGTGGTAAAAACGCAGGTTCTTCCACTTGCACTTGCATTCGCTGAAAATGCGTACTAAATTCCTGTTCTTCGTCATCCGAAAAGCTTTTTGTGTTGAGTCGGCTGGACGAACTTTGGTATAGACTTTGTGACGGTGAACGAGTCATGGGTTGTGGGGAAAGTGGGGTTTGTATAGGCGAAATCGAGCCATCGTAAGGTTGTTGAAATGTATCCGAGTACCGAACAGAAGCTATAATAGAAAAGATAAGTGAGTTTTTTTTTTTTTTTTTTTTTTTTTAGCTATACGTCAATCCGAAAATTTCGCTTTACGAGGTCTTTTGGAAGACGGTGCAGGGCTCTTTGCACTGTTTCTGCTCATGCTATTTGTATTCACGTTCCTAAGCTGTTGGTGAAGACCACGAAGCTGAGTTTCGTAAATAAAAGCCGCATGACGAACGATATAAGAAGTGGGTACACCTAATTCTTCTGCAATAACCTTCCCTATTATTGTTATCATGCTTTATTAGCTACATTTTTTTTGGGGTTTCGTCATAGTCTCTATCGTTGCTTACAATCTGTATTCTTTTGACTCATGTATTGCCATAGTTTGTGTTCCATTTCGTCTGTCCAAATAATCTATTTTGCTTTTTTAATGAATGGCAATTTATTTATTTTTTCATGTATTATTGTTACAGCAGGTGGTTCAATGAAACCCTTGGGTCGTTTGCATGGGATTCGAATCACAACATGAAAGTTATCTGGGCTCATTTGGTATATATGTATAAAAAGATGTATTTATAAAAAAAAAAGAGAAAAAGATTAATGGGCGAAAACAGGTCACCAATTAAACAAAGATAAGGTATCATAATTTATTTTTTTATTTTAGATCTTACTTTCGCTTGCCTTTTTTAAGCGATCCTTTGCAATCAACATCATATCCGTCATACCTGTAAAAAGTTCATTTTCTCTATTGTCAGCATCGATACGAGCCTGGATGATGGGAATTATTTGAGAACGAGGACGGCCAGCAACAAACACGACAAACTTGAATCCGTACTTGTCCTCATAAGCTTGGTTTAAAAGAGAGAGTTGATGGTTGACCTCTTGGTCCTGAGCAGAAATAGCATCTTGCTTAGATTGATACCCTTGCTCCTTGAGAGAACTTGCCGAGAGTCCGGTTTTAGCAGCACCGATACGAGGATGGGCGTTCATGACCTCGATTTTCTCTTCTTGGGTGAGTTGATTGCCGAGACATACGGTTTGGGCATAATCGATGAGTTGTAAGTAAGAACTATAAGGACGGGCGTCTAAAAGTCGACTGGCTAATGGAGGTGCTGTCTCAAAAAGTGTATTCACGCTTTCAATAAACTTTTCGGCGCTTGTCTTATTTAATTGTTCGATGGAAGGAAGAGACATAATTGGGATTTATTATGAAAAAGAAGGGGGTATATTTCAAAAATAGATGGTAATTTATATACCCTTTTCCAACTACAGTTTCCTAATATTTGATTGGTCAGTGTAACCCCTCATCAAATCTTGCGCCTTTAAAAAGATAAGCACACGGACTTTAAGGTACTACCTGCCTGTCAGAAAAAAAAGCAGTTTATCCCTGAAGACTGTATTTAAGGTAAAAACTGAATCTTTCAACTGTGTTTTGGTTCAAGCGCGTAATGATTTGCATAACTAGTACATTTACAATTTAAAGAACACTGATGTAATATAAAAATAAAAGGTGTACACTAAACTTAATACGTTATAAAAGGGACGGTTGTCATGGTAGTAGTTCCAAGATATATTAAAGCACTCGTCACGCGTCAATTCAACACATTAAGTTTTATTTTTGATAGATTTAACAGTGACTTGAAGACAATAACAGCTAAATAAGCACTTTCTTCTTCAACAATTCAAGCTGAGTACTATCTTCAAATATGTGCAGTCCCCTGATGAGACACATTCCAAGCTTTTATCACTAATGTTGAAAGTAGGTATCAAGAGGGTAGACGTGCGCTTCAGACCTTGACAACTTTATACATATCATGATTAATTTCAATCACATGGACGCACGTAATTTCAACCGGAGGGCTTTTTTTGTTTGTTTTTCTTTTCCTTTTTAAAGAACACAATGGGAACACCTCAAGAGAATTTTGATCAAGGCGTTAAACTTCGTTTAGCCGGCAATGAAGCGTTTAAAAAGCAAGATTATAAAGGAGGTAAGTTTCAAACTGACACACGTCTTCATTAAAATACTAAAGGCACACTTTATTAGCCCTGACCAATTACTACAATGCCTTACTTTATTTAAAGGCAGTGGGAGGCCAAAAGCTCAAGGATCAATACAAGGTTTCTGGCGATGAACAATTGGTCATGATTTACAACAATATGTCGGCTGTGTTTGCTAAACAAGAACGATGGGATCGAGTTTTGTTCTATGCCAAAAAAGCCAATGAGCTGGATTCCCAAAACACGAAATCAAAGTTCCGAATGGGTCAAGCCTATTTGCAGTTAGAGGATATTGAGAAGGCCAAGGAATTATTGGAAGAGGTACTGGCCTTAAACCCTGAAGGTAGAGTATTTACATTTCTTATAAAAGAGACGGGATAAAAACCTAATTTTTTTTTATATATGTGTATATGTTAGACGCACTTGTTAAAAAGGAATTACAAAAGGTATCCATAGCGATTAGACAGATGGATGATAAAGAAAAGTTGATTTACAGAGCCATGATGACCAAACTTTCACAAGAAAAGAAATAAAAAGAAAGTTTTGATATTTACAAACGGAATGATAATTATAGGGAAGGTGTATAAGGGGTTAAGTGTGTCAAAAGAAGGGGTTTATGTGTGGGTGATCAGGTAGGGTGAATTTCGGTTAAAGCCATAATCATGATAAATACGACAAACATCATAATCACGGTGGCTACAAGGTATCCTAACCAGCCATGCCCAACCCAAAGTAATCTCTTTACAATCTGTCTCTGATTTCTAAAATAACTAAACAGCGAGTAGATGAAACATGTGAACCCTAGCCCAACAAATATATATGAGACGATCTTTGCATTCAATGAAACAGGTTCACTTGTCCAAGGTAGAGAATAAGAAGGTGCGAAGTTCTTTGTGGGCATATCCAACAATGTCATGAATCCTATTGTAAAATAACTGTCAGTGTACCTGCATTAAGTAGTATATAAGATATTTAAACTCACCCACAAGTGAAAGTGTGGTGCCTGTTCGGATCCATGTAAGCAAGTTTCGCTCATTAGCAAGATGGTCTCTTGGGTCAGGACCGTCCACAATAGTATGTACAGAAAGGTCCAAGTACTTGAACACACTAGAGCACTTTTCGTCATTACAAAGTATAAAAGACTCGGGTGCATTAAGTTCAACGTCCATTTTTTCTTATTGTTACAAGGAGAGAAAAAAAGAAAAAAGTAAACAGAAACAAAAATCTATTTCTCACGATTCTATACACAGCGCAGGATAAACATTTAACCAATCGTGTCCCTTCTTTTTTTTCATGCAGTTGATTTTTTATAAGCATGTACATAGTAACCAGATGATTGTAAAGCCATTGAACCATCATCAGAAAGGGTCCTTACATTTGAGGGTGAACTGCTTCTTCATGTAGAGCTCCCTTTTTTTTGTTAACTATTTTATTATTGTACACGTATAAAACTAACTATTTTCATTCTCTCTCTCTCAATCTCTCTCTTTCTTTTACTAATTTCTGCTTGCAACTATGAAAGGCCTGATAAGGCCTTTTGGCATTTTACTATTGGTCAGTTCGTGTACTGTTGATGCTGGCATTTTCATCAAGGCAAAAGATCCTCGTATTATTCAAGGTAACACAAACATAACACAAACAAATCATCTTACAGTTGACACATAACTTTATTAGAGGCCGTCTGGCTCTATTCTAATTCCACCGCCATCACTTCAATTGCACCCGATGTACCAGCAAACCGATTTTCACTTACAATTGCACCGTTAGATCACTTACCTATGCCTCCCGTAGATGGTGCAAACGGTGTACTTTATAATCGAGAATATTCATGCTCATCTGACACAATTATTCAACCCATTCCTATTCCATTTTACGCCGATAGTCCCAAACTATCCAAAGTACCCAAAATTGCCTTGATCAAAAAACAAGGTGGTAATTGTACCCTGCTGG